ATGCATCAATCGCATTTGCTTCTAGGGCTTATTCTTGCAATCGAAGCAGCTTCTGCTTATCCTCGATCATGGGGACCAAGGAAGTTCACCAGTCTTGTTTCCTTTGGCGATAGCTATACCGACCAATCGCGGCTGAACTACTTTGGCTCTCATAACGGGTCAGCTCCCCCAGTTGGCTGGGAGCAGCCGAACGTAGGTCTTCGTCTGCCAATGAACGAACTTCGCTAAAAAGCGTAGAATAACAACACTGCATCAGGTGGCTATGTCTGGGGCCACTATGTCTCGCAATACGCCGATGTAAACCTGTACAACTACGCCGTCAGCGGCGCCGTATGCTCCAACGAGATCACCCCACGCACTTTCACTTATATCAACGCCCCCTTCCCTTCCGTTCTGGAATACGAGGTGCCTGCCTTCCTGGCTGACAGCAAGTATAAAGTCTCCGGAAAGAAGTTCCTCAACATTCCGCCACTGGAAACGGTGTACTCGATCTGGATCGGCACTAATGACTTGGGGAACTACGCCTTCATCACTGACTCCCAGGTCAAGAATAAGACCATCCCGGATTATATCAACTGCGTGTACTCCGTTCTAGACCAGGTCTATGCAAACGGCGGCAGGTACTTCGTGCTCATGAACCTGGCGCCCCTGCAGCTGGCACCCCTGTACGCGACGCCCGAGAACGGCGGCGTGGGGGCCAACCATTACTGGCCTGACAAGCCAGATAATCTGACCTTGATCAGTCATCGGATGTGGGAACAGGTTGCGACTGCGAATGATGTGTTCAAGTACCAGACGCCGTATGAGCTGCTGGTGGCCAGGAGGTATCCTGGGGCGCGGTTTGCGGTGATGGACATGTATGGATTGGTATGTTGGTCCTTTCGTGAACATTGGTTCTGGATGACACTGATTTGGCAGCTCTCCGAGGTGTATTACAATCCTGCAGAGTATTTCAACGGCAGTGCACCGGCGAATGTGACCGGGTTCAACAATCACTGCACACTTAGTGGAGGGGAGTGCACCCGGCTTCCCAGTCCGGATTCCTTCATGTGGTTTGATGAGTTGCATCCCTCGCAGCGAACGGACCAGATTATTGCCAAGGAGTTTGTCAAGGTCGTCAGGGGGGACAGTAAATGGGCTACCTACTGGTAATCTGCATGTGAACTCGTAGTACTGCTATGTCGAATATGCCTTGGATTAAGGATATATCTATGGCTTGATCAACGGTATTGTACATTTGAAGTGGACATAAATCCCCGTTCAGGGTTACATACTGGAGTTACCTCAAGCTCAAACTAACGCAATGGCTGAAACACATTCTTTGCACTATCGGCATTTTCCGTAAGAACTAGCCCTATACAGCTCTAAGCCACCTCCTGAATGCCATCTTGACAGCTGCGATTGTCCCTGATTTTAATCGTCAGCAATCCCCCGCAACAACAGCCGAATCGACCAATCAATGGGCCAGACTAACCAACAGTTGCAACCTCCCCGGCCGTTAGGGAGGTATAAGGCGTCCTCCGACTCTGCCTTACTCACGAACACTTCTACTCAATAATCGCGTACTCATGGAACTTCTAGTTAACAATACACTTAGAAGAATGGCCATGTCCGGCCGCTCGACTGACATGTCCTCACACGGATTTCACCATGTCCAATGCCCTCCCCGAAGTCCAACCACCGCCTTATCCTATAGCCATCCGACCCGAAACCATCACCCGACATGAAGTGATAGTGACTGTGACCAACCGCCCGGAACCATGGCACTCGCTCAACTACTCCATCGAGCACGCCGGAACCGAACTCTTCACCGTCCGCGGCCAGCCCTGGAAGATCAGCCAGGCACGCATGTTCCACGACCGCTCGGGACTCCCCCTCTTCGAGCTCCGCTGCCAATGGTACGACTCCTCGTCGCTGTGTCTCCGGCTCCCCGGCGGGGAGCAGTGTATCCTCGAAGCAAAGCTGCGGGTTGCGATGAACGCGCCCCGGGCGGTCGTCACGTTCCGGAATGCTGCGCAGCAGCCGAGATCAAGCGGACCGGCTGCGCAAAGCGAAGAGATTGTGTTGGAGGTGCATGCGCAGGACCTGTATAATATCCTCCAGGTGGTGGTTGTTCAGAATCGCAACGTGGCTTACATCCATCGGATAACGGATCGGAGTGTCCTTGCCGAGGGTCAACGACCACCGTTCCGCTTCAGACCCAAGTGGACGGTTCGAGTTGCGGAGGGGGTGGATCTGTCGCTGGTTAGTTGATCTTCAATCCAGCCTGGACTTTGCTTCAATCTGACGGTCGTAGATAGCGGTTGTTGTGGTCATTGTTGGCCAACGAGCCGGACTGGACGCAGGGGACGGTTGATTGGCATATGGAACGTGTGGTATATTCAGTGAAGGCAGTCTGTATGTAGAGTCGCCTTATGAAAGGCCTCTCGTCTTTTATTGCACGATAATACTTGGGTAGGATGTTGAAAAGCTGATTGTTGTGGTCAAACGGGCTCCTGCGGTAGAAGTTATACAAGTAAGCAGGCTCACTTCATGTGCGGAACACCAGGAGTACACAACAATTACTGTCTTTATGAGCAATTTTAAATACAACTGATCGATTTGACGATCGATTTAGCTGCAAATGACGTCAATTCAGATCGAGCAGACTTGTCGATTGGCGATGCATGCTCGATCTGGCGGATATGCAAACCATCAGAACAGTGGGCACTTGGATTCAATTGCCCTGTTACAAATAATAATGAGCGGAGAACTATCCGTGCCAGGCGCACCCACACCACAGAGTGGTGTGGGTGCGCTGCCAAGACACAGATACATCTCTCAGAACTAGACAGATAGTCCATTTATTCTTCCCTTGAACTGTCCATCAGCTTCACCTGCATGACTGATTACGGCATGAAGTGCCAGCCAATAAGCACTCATTCTCAAGGACCAGCGAGATAGGTCGATCGTACAGCCACCAGCATGGATGTCTTAGTCCCTTGCCTAATAAGGTACATACCAGTATTACGGGGCAATGATCTCCATGGCGTCCTCTCAAAATCGGTCCTTATATGTCGGGTTATGGATGATCCGAAAGTCTTTGAGCAGGCTCACTTTGGACGCCTGATGTTGCGGTCAATGCATACCAATAGCTGGGGCTGATTTCTACTGTCTTTGCATTTGCGCTCGAATAGCTATCTAACATGAGCTTCAGAGACTCAATAATCGGGCTGGAACAGATCAACACGCATTGCAAGCGAATGATGCACAGGCTCCCCCGACTCTTGGGTGATTGTAAGCCCATGCTTATAGCCATGCTTGATAAGCCCGGACTTCTTCCTCTTTTTACTGGTGGGCTTGATCTGCTGCCCGATATCTGGTCTATCTGTCACCGACTCTCTTCTTCGGGCTCATTGTTTATAAGACCGAATGGTTCCTTCTGACGCTCACTTGAACCTTTATGTACAGCATTTTTATGTTTAGGCCGACCCCTTCGTCTGAAGCTTTGATATAGTAGGCACCAGGTCTCCTACAGTTCAATTGTGTTTGACAGCTCTCACCAAACAGCAGGCGGTGATCTTATATCTCGTCTCACGAGCATTTTTCCCCGGAGGGTATCTCATAATGCAAGAAAATAACCAGTCTTCAGAGGTACTGTCTTACTCGGCTCCGTGATAACAGCCGTTGACATACTCCACAGGGGACAAGCACTACTGCAACAACTGTGCCAAACGGAAGGCCAGACTTGGAGGACCCGCTTTATCAAGCAAAAGAACGGTATAGACACGCACTTCATTCACTGATCAGCCTTATTGCTCATGGAGACAATGAAAGTATCCACAAACTTTTGGAGTTTCTACACGGAAGCAAGAGTCCATCCATGAGACTGTGCAGGAGGTGTTGCAGTTGAAGTTTCTTCCGGAGTAGTCGTTCCATTTGCCACTTACTCTATTTTGTCTACATCATGTTCGCGATTCCTCTGGGGAACAGAAAAGTTTTCCTTGAGAAGACAATTGACCGCGTATTTTGGAGTGGCTTTTGCGGAATAAGTTGGGGTGGACCTTTGATAGTATATCTGAAAACACGATGTCTGATGCATCATTTTCGGGGCGTTGGATTTCCAAAAAAGGAAATTGATCAATCTTGACTAATGCAGCATCTGCATTAGCTGGTGCGCTCGGAGTATTCCCCATTAGCTGAAAGTTCTATCCATCTATCAGAGTGCAAGCTGCTCGTCGGTGCTCATGCGGTGGCTTGCCTACATCAGTTGCTTCACCATAAAAGTCAATACTGCTTCATTAGCACCACGACGTGGACGATATTCTGAGACCACCGTCATCGCAGCAAACAGAACCTCACATACGGGCTAGACCAGGTTATCAGATAAGGTACCGTGCTCTAGCTTTGCAGCAGGTCAGAGAGGTAGCCTCTGCGCACCAAAATCTCCTCGGAGAAGCATCAAACACAGATCAGCTAAATACTTCCCTAACGACAAAAAAAGAGTGCAAACTCCTCAGAGGACAGTGGCCTTCAAGAGCTGTGTGAAGTAAGGGGCAATTGCGTGTCCAACCTGGCCAACAATCCGCGGAGATCAGCTCATTAGCCCAAGCTCAGGCAGCCCGACAACAAACGAGGCAACTTCTTTCATCTCATTGATACACTTGGACATTGTCCGGCACAATACAATATCCAGCTTACTACGCAGTAATGCTAGCTGGAGGATGTACAGTTATTCATTGAGCAGGAGACTCGGCGAGATCAATGGGAGAAGAGGCCTGAAGAACACTATTATCCTCCCTGCCGAGACGGATCAGCTCTGCATCCACCTGGAGGAGCGGAGCTAGCAGAGCAGTTCAGAGTCTGTACTCCAACCCTACGTCTTTGGCAAGTCGGGCGATGAGCGGTATCTGGACAAGCTGGGTTGGATAACTTCCTGCAGAAATGAGATAATCTCGAGCTTGACAGGGTGCTGAAAACACCTTGAAGGATGACTACCATTCCTTGTACAGTAGCCGCAACTAGTAATTCGACTGATCATTCCAGTATAACGTCCCATGATGCACCTCAGGCCCTGTAGCCCCAAATTCCCAGCCAAACTTCAACTTCACCCACTGCATCAGATGCGCGGCAATCTTCAGATGGCCAACATCCGTGGGATGCCACTGCGGCGCGATGTCGTTGTGCTGCAGGATCCCCGTCGTGTCGAAATAATGGATGAACCCCTGCTTCTCGTAATGCTGGTAAACCCGCTTGATCTCATCCACCCATAGAGGGCCCTGCACGTATGTGTCCCCCGAAGCTCCGAAACCACCCCACAGCGACTGCCATCATCAGCATTGTACGGACTTTGTTGAGGAGACTCACCATAAGAACGATATCTGCCTTGGGCCAAATCTTGTGGATGTTGCCCACGAGAGTGACATAGTCGTTGTAATAGTCTGTGCTTGAGACATTGTTCACCTGGTTGTTGTCGTTTGTGCCAATGTTGATGACCACCAGATCAGCTGGGCGTTGAGCGGCAAAATTCCACTTGGGTGGATTGTCGCCGTAGATCTCGTGTGCGCGCCAGGACGTGTCGGAGGTGCGGTACCATTGGTAGGTCTAGATGGTCAGTCTGGAAGACAACAATGGAGGCCCTGGCTTACCTGACCACGGGGATTTCCCCAGCAATTCTGATCGTGGAGGCAGATACCGGGATAGGCCTTGGCGGTTAGCATGGTAGGTAGCGGCTGTAGAAGACAACGTACAGTAATGGAGTATTCTACGTTCCCGAGCCCTGCTGCGAAATCATATGGCCATGAGGACAGTCCTTCATATGTAGCGTAGTCGCCGGAGCTCAGTCTGCAGAGATTAGTATGTGGACGTTTCTGGACCATCTGCACCTACGAGTCTCCGATGACTTCCACCATCTTTGGGTACTCAGGGGTGCTGGAGATCTTTGCATCTGCCGCGACGGATACACCGGCCAGCTGGATTGTGCTTGTGGTCAGTAAGCTCCTGCTGTCTACGGAGGCGGGAAACGTATCCATAGGCCCAGTTGGTAACTGCCAGAGTTAGCGAGATGGTATATGAGCGTTCCGTAAGTGCCTTACCTCTCAGCTCAAAGGTCTTCGCGTCGCCGGCATTAGTGAGGTTGAGTCCCGTCGTGGTAGGAGCAATGAATTGATACGTGGCATTGGCAGTGACATTGGAGAATTGCCAGTCCTGGCCACCCAGTCTGTGAAAGGTTAGCCTTGCATTAGATCTGGGACCCGACATACCTGTATGCCACGAGGACTCCTTGACTGGTGTATTGACCAAAGGACAAGGCGAGCTATCTTGTCAGCCTCGTCATCCCATTCCATGCGAGGTCTTCGTACCTTTTCGCCAGTGAACGCAAGCCTGAATCCAGGAGCTCTAAGAAATGTGAATTAGAGTCAATTGCAGCGACTGCTGTACATACGACCACCCTGTTCATGTCAGTGCTAGCTCTTGAGTTTAACTTCACAGACCTCACAAGAAATATGCTTGTCGTCCCATCTCCCCTTGTAAGAAATCTCCTTAACACCAGGCTTGTAGGTCTTCCACGTCGTTTTGTCCAGCGTAATGACCTCGGCTTGCCCCGGATACGGGTTCAACCGCGCCTGGCCATTCTCAAGGATCGTTGCTGATGCAGTGAACAGCCAAGTGAAGAGCAAAAGGAAAGCAAGAGCTCGCATTTTGACAGCCCACAATTCCCCGCGTACTGAAGTGGGTTCAACTAGTTTGCGTTTGCATCTCTTTTCTAATATATATACTCATACATAGTTCCCCGCGCTTTAATATACAACGGCGCGGGGCAGCCGGCCCTAAGTACCATATCATCTTCAGACCAATATGAGATCGACCAGAGCTAAGCACATAATTGGCGGCTGAATTATTTCCTGCAAATACTGAGGGGTATAGGAAGTATACATTGCCAGTCCTGGGAATTCAGCCTGAACTGTGCAGCGGCATCTTTCTCCGTGCTCAATTGGGAAGAACGCCGTTTCTGCCGGTCTGCATATGTCAGCTACCACCAGAAATACTTCATTTGTCTTGGATATCGGCAGGAGGAGGCGCAATCGTTAGTGTCAGTCTGCACACTTCTTCATTGCTGAACTGGCTACCACGTCATCGAGTGCCTCGTCCTTCTATGCCTCGGGCTCAACCGTCAGAATCCCTGCATGAATCGCTACGTAGTCAGGAATGATGAATGAATCCGACACATAAGCAGCAATGGACACCAATCACGACTGACTGAGACGGACGCGCCACTGAAACGGATCAAGATTGATGGTCTTCTTCGGATTCTCATCCCAGTCCACGTTAAGCCCCTCCTCTTGTAGCCTTGCAGCGATTTTCCTGCCGATGTTCACCACGCTCTCGTCCGTTTTATTCTTTTTAAAAACTCCGTATCGAAGCAATAGTCTCGCGCCCTTGACTGTCAATCAATCAATCAATCAATCAATCAATCAAGATTCTATTAACCTGATGTAGCCTATCTATTGAAGCAATTAGCTATGCAGGCGCTTCACTAATGAAGCAGGAATCTAGTGTCCAAACACCTGTCCATAAAGCCCATAAATGCAAAAGAGATATAAGAAATTAGTATATAGCCACATCAAAAGCAAAAACACAGCTAAAGCAGCCTGCTATCTAGCTACAGTCTCCCCTGCACTATCTTAGTGTGTTAAACACCTATCCCACCTTATTCTATGTAGTCATTCTAAACATAGTATAATTCCACGCCTAGGAAGACCCTTCCTAGGTAGCTACTTAATAGTCCTTCTAACTATTATCTTCTATATCTATTCCAAAGCCTTATAGGAGGCCTCCTCATTCCTGGTCCTGCTCTAATGGCTCCCCCAGTTCTGTATAGTGGAACTAGCTAAGCAGGCCTATTTAATGCATAAATTCAGTGACATAGTAGATCACCTATAGGTTAGATATAAGTATATTATAATCTAATAGTTTCCCCTAGAGTCCCTCTATATCTTATAGCTTAGCTATTATCTTCCTGCAGGCCTCTACATGCAGTAAATATTATAGGAGAATATATTTAGGGGTCTAAGACCCCTCTCTATAGCTACACTAGTCTAAGTTATAGACCTTAATCTTAAAGAGGAAGTATCATAGGCTAATTTATATAATCTATATCTAGATAATAATTAATATATGCAGCTTTAGTAAGCCTTTATAGAGCCCTAGATTCTTCTTATAGGGGGTCTTAATTAGCTACTATATTAGCTTAGCCCCCTTCTCTATCTCCTACTATTTCTTCTAGCATTACTAGATCTATTAGTGAATAGCTCACTTAGCTACTATAGTAAGCTAGATAATTAATTATTCTAGCTAACTAGACTACCCTACTAAGCTTAATTAAACCTTACTACCTTATATAGCAGTCTTCTTTACTACTTTATTTATAGCCTTATTCCCCACCATACCCACATGGGTGGGGATCTAGTATATCTTAATATTCTCTAGAGGTAGCCTATACACCCCTAAGGCCCTTACTCTCTTATATATCTTATCTAAAATATATTAACCAGAGGGGTGGCATGGGTTCTAGACTGCCTAGATAGCAGCCTAGCTATTAGTAAAGATAGTAAGTAAGTAGGGGCTTAATCTTATAGTTATAGTAGTATCTAGTACTATATAGATTCTATCTAGCTTAGTAGTATATATAGTTAAGTCTATCTCTATTCCTAGGTAGCTCTACTGCACCTATTATATACTATTAATAGCTTAAAGGCAGATAGCTAAGGCACCTATATAGCCCTAGTAGCTACTGCTATTAGTGTAGATGACTATATACTAGTTATCTATCTCTTTATATATATTATTATAGGTTATTAGTGCGGCTTTATGGTCCTTAATTATATAAAGGAGGAGTGGCTCCTATAGGGGGAGTATATATACTTTCTATATTTCTTATTCTTCTAGGTATTTTAGGGTAGGGGCTAGTGGGCTACCTCTCCTCCTAAGTGCCTCTAGTAAGGTGAGGCTACCCTACTATATTTCTCTAGTTAGTTATAGGCTTATAGCTTCCCTGTAAGTCCTTAGGGGCAGGTAAACTATGGCCCTATCTAGATTTAAATAGTAGTTTCCTTAATTATCTGTTATATCTGCAGACAGACTAGTAATAGATATAATTCTATATTAAGTATAGCTATAGTAGTCCCTTAGAAGGCACTACTAATTAGGATGGCTATATACTTCTAGATCTTAGTAAATTTATTAATAATCTTATTCTATTCTATAGCTAGAATTAACCTGCTAGCAGGGCTAAACCATACTATAATTCTATATAGCAGTTATAGAATAACCACACTATAATAGATTATATATATGGCCTCTATTAAGGCACCCTAGATTAATCTAGTAATACTTTATAGCACTTCTAGGCTGCTATTAATGTAGTTTAGTGCCTTAGTATAGTAGGTGCTAAAAGAGAGGGTTTTATTAAGCTAGATACTAAGGTATCTAGCTAATTTAGTAGGTTAAATAGTTATTTCCCTATAGTAGATAGGTATTTAGTTATAGCCCTTATACTCACCTAGTTCCTAGATATTAATAGGGCCTACTAGGGTTAGCTTATGGGGGGTTTTAGGCTCCCTTAGGTTAGTGAAGTAAATTAGTTTAAACTTATTAGGGGTAAACTTAGTAGTATATTTACTAGCCTATTAGTCTGCCTTCTCTAGGCACTTTTCTAGAACTATAGTGTTCTAAGTATAGGTCTAGCTGATTATAAGTATATAGGAGTTATCTATCTAGCTAGTTAATGTGGTTTTTATATTGCTAAGCTAGTGGACCAGTGTTTAGATTAGTAGGGTATTAAAAATTAAGAAAAGGATAGGTAAGAGGGGGCTGCCCTACAGGATCCCTATTATAGTTATAAATAGCTTATTAAGGAACCCAGGTAGTTATAGGTGGGTGTAGTAGTCTAATAGGAAGGATTATAGCTAGTTAGTAATCTAATCTAGCTACATAGTTTAGAGATTATATAGTAGATATTAGAGGGAGATATTATCAAAGGCTCTAGAGATATTTAGTAGTAGTATACTAACTTTCTAGCCATGCCCCTAGATATAATAGATTATATTAATAATTAGTTAGATAGTATAGTTAATAGAGACACCCTTCTAGCTACCTAAGTAGCCCTTTAGGAGCAGGCTATGCTCCTCTAGAGCCCAGGAGATGCAGAGTGTGATTACTAACTCTAGGACCTTGCCTAGGGTGCTAAGCAGGGTAATAGGGTAGTAGGACTTTAGGAGGCAGAAGTCTCAGGGGGCCCCCTTATAAAGGATAACTATAGTAGATATCTGGAAGTATTAGGGGTTATGGCCAACGTGGATACAGGCATTAAAGAGGGTCTTAAGTGCCTGGATAAAGGCTGGGACCGTGGTCAGGGCATGCCAGACCTTGTTAGGGATGGCATCAGGTCCAGGTGCCTTGTCAGGAGGCACTCGCGCCCTTGACTGCTGCCTCTGTATCCTGCTGATGGAAGAAGCAGTACCTGATGTGTGATTCATCTGCCTCGCCGCCTATCTCGGCATTCCCACAGCCTCCACAGCAGGTGAAATTCATGCGACAGATGATGTGATCCTCGTCTTCTAGACGGGAGAAAGCGTTTTCGAGCTTTTCAACGTCGGTCGGTTGATCGGGCCAACTGGCCTCTTCTTCTAGTTGCTGGTTCCAGAGGGATTGAATCAGTTGTTGCACGACGGTTGTGCCGTGCTCGGGGAGTTCGTAGCTGTCGATGAGCTGTTCGAGGATTTCTTCCTGGGAGTAGAGGCCGGTGAGGACCCGTACACGGGCGTCTTGTGTGATATCATTGATATTGGATGCGTCCATGATGGAGTTTGACTGGGTATTATCAATGGAAGGGTGTTTGGTCTTAGATAAATTTCCGTTGGTTTATTTTTAGAACGAATACGAGGTCCCACCATGGCTTTTCATGTGCCCAATTGGAATAGACTAAGTCAGATTTACGAAAGGACGATAAGATCTTCAGTAAGTTTGTTGTTGACAGCACAGCAAGAACAAACTCATGTCATAATAGGCCGTTATTCAGATACTGATATACTCACGGATTGATCATTTCTTAGCCAGCGACGCAATCTTCTTCTTCGTCTGCTCCACAACTCTCGTCTCATCCCAGATATAGTTGACGCTCTCTTGCTGCACCGTCGCCTTGGCCCATTTCGTAAACGCCGGAGTCCTCTTCTCCAACAGCTCAGGCAAATCCTCCCTCAACAGTCCATGCTCGGGCTTATAGAACGAGAGCAACCGCAACAGGAACGAACCAGTCAGCACTTCCGCCAGGGTCAACTTCTCGCTCCCGCCGAAGAACGGGCCGGATCCCTTCTGCGAGGCCAGAATGGGTTCAATCTCCTTCTCGATCGCTGCGACGATAGCCTCGCCAGCTGCAGCGCGGTCCTTGTCGCTTGTGGCGCGCTGAGAGGCCATAACCTGCGGCTGGACCTTGCTCAAGAATGTATCGACGAAAAAGGCAATGCGGGCGCGCTGCAGGGCTCCTTCGACGCTGTTCGAGGGGGGAACGAGGTGGGATGGATGCGCGTCTGCGAGGAACTGGGCGACGATGGCCGATTCGGTGACGATGTTGCCGTTGTAGGAGATGGAGGGGACGAGGCCGCGCTGTAGCTGTTAGAGTGGACGGTCATTGCCACGGAGAGGGAAAGGGTCCTACCGGGTTGATCTCAAGATACCATGGCTCGCGAGGTGTGTTCAGATCGATGATGACCTCTTCGTAGTCAAGACCGAGCTCCTTAAGGGCGATATGCGCTCTGTGGGCCCAGGGGCATCGGTGGTTGGTATAGAGGGTGATTTTTGGAGCGGACATGTTGCTGATCTGTGTTTCACTGATGGCAATATTGTTGACAACCACAGAGAGTGTGTCCTGCTCGATTTATAGAGGAAGCACGACAGTTGATTTGATTTATAAGCCTGCGGGATTTGCCCATGGTGAGGGGAAATGACGATACTCCGTAGATGTGGAGAATAATGCCATTGCTTATCAATAAATGCCCCGCTTAATCTTATTGCCGGCACATTCATCAACAATCAGCAGAAAAAGTCGCAATGAGCCTGTTTGCATGGTCTGGCATACTATAGAAGGTCAGCTTGGAAGCGCCGGAGCTTGCAGTGACGGAGAATGGTGTATACTCATGTATAGCCTCAAACTCACAGAGGTCTCGGGTATAGATGACGACCCGGAAGGAGACTGCTTCGAGTACCATCCACTGCAGTTCTTGCAGTAAAATCGCCATTGAACAACATGAAGACCAGATGCGAGTCAGTTCATACCGACAACAGCCTTGCAGAGACCCCTGCTAGTGTCGAGGGCCTGTCTCAGGTAAGCTTAATGGTTCACGTCTCCACATGCGTCAGAGCGGCCACAGGCCTTCTACATAGAAATAATCAGAATTATCGACTCATCATTAGTTATATTATATCAAATTTCAAAGATCTATATACATAAAACCACCAACACCATCTCCGTGAACAATGTAAGCCTCATGGTACTTCGAGCAGCAACAAAAGATATATATCGCATCCTCATCCTGACATTATATTATTTTCAAACAGCGCCGGCGCAATCGAACTCATAAATTTCCGTAAGTCGTGCATTCAACGTTCGTTTCGAAGACACATATCACCGAAGGGCCAGGTACTGAGCAACAGCTTCGTGGTGAACAGCTGCAGCGGTGTAGTCCTTTGCTGGAGACTTCTTGCTTGGAAGCTTGGGATCTGAGGGCGCCTTCTCGGCAGCCTTGAGCTTCAATGACTTTGTGAACATGCCCTTGAGAGTCGAGGCTGTTGAGGACGTTGTGTGGGTTGAGGCGTTGTCGAAGGTGGTGGTGGACTTGAAGGACTTGGGCGACATTGTGACGCGGTTATGTTCTTTGAGGGACTCGGTGTTTTGTATTCTGGCTTTGTTCCGATTGATAGTGCTCAGAGGTAGGGGTCTGCTTTATAGTGACCGCGTAATGTATAGATAGAAAGTGCTTTATGGTATTGTTGTTTGGCTTTCGAGAGCTCAAGGTAGGCAACTGAGAGGATCACGATTGGATTGAGATGACTGTTTGTATGATGCTTGATGTAGATGCTTGGTAGAAGATAGCTCGTAACAGAGATCTCTGGCTCTTTATATACATCTTTTCTCCTTGAGGCAGAGTATCGATATCGCTCATCTCCATGGATGACAAACCCCCAAATATGACAAACACAAGAATGACGCAAATTCAAGCCTAGACACAATGTTTGAATAATAGGCAGAATCGCCTGCAAATGCTGCAAACCAGCCATAATGGAGTCATCGGGGCCTCAGTTTGGCATAGTTCCTCGTATCTGGTCCACTGCTGCTGCTGGTGGCTCGATGCCGAGCCTTCAAGGGCGTGTCAAGTGTCATGCGTGAATGGTTGACAAACTACTCCGAGACTTGTCCGAGATCGGTGAAGGTGAGTCAGGCTGCAAGATGAGTTTAAATACGAGGATTATTATTAAGCGCATGCGTCTGGGTAGTTATTTAGGATGTGATATGGCTTCCGGAGCTCGGAGTAGAGTTCGGAGTAGAGGCCTCGGAGTTCGTATACAGTTGATAAGCTTGACGAGCTTGATCAAAGTATGGCGCATCTTTGGACTTCTTTGAATGTCGACATGGGCTTATTAATAGCCCTTGAATAGCCTGTTTACAAGGAGAAATCAAGTTACTTCAGACTAGCTAGAGATACTTCCATTGGAGTGTCAATGTCGGTAAGCAACTGCAGACACCATGTGTCTATCCCATGTCCATTTGGCAATGCATGACTCAATATTCGGCATCAGTCCGAGAATAGTTCCTACTGCTAATTTTTTCTCAACTCCGTATCAGAAGTATCCGCGAGTACGATCTTAGGCCTACCTGACCAATAAGCTGATCAATTGAATGCCTCAAGCTTTCCATTACGCGTGTTCTTCGACAGCGATTTCCGAAGCTGTTGTCAAATCTACCAACAAATACAATGATTGCGACTTGTGCTTCAAACCGGTCTTTATAGACAAGTAGCACCGTGCTTGCGTAGACGCAATACTGGCATTGGCTGCATCTATTGGCAGACTTGCCTCATAGACAATGAAACAAGGCGGTGCATGTGGCTTGCTAGAGTTCAAATTCCGCAATCATTGCAGAGGATCAAAAGTGTCCTCGAGAGAGGGGTTGATTAGCACGAAAAGTCTCGGTTTGATGTTACAAGCTAGGCATATTTCTGCGAGAGAGCATGCAGTCTCTTCCTCGCTCCATTCTCCCAATCGTCCCAGCACAAACTCAACATCGCCGAGTGCCGGCCCGGTCCAAGTCGTTTTTGGCCAGTTGCGTCCATCGCAGGCATTTTGTCGTCAATGTCACCGTTCAAGCTTCCCTTCTTGCCATCTGGTAACACCCGTTGCCAGCGAATGATGCCCTCGAGCTGGAACCCGAGGCGCTGCGCCGCGGCAATCGAGGCCTGATTGGTGCTGAAGGCCTGCCATTGGACGCGTCGGAGATGGAGTCCATTGGGTGGAGGATCCAACATGTGGTTTAGAAGCAGTGTATGAGCTGTCGTACCGACAAACGTTCGATGGAACCGTGGAAGGATCACGACCTACGCAGGTGAGTAGGTTTACACGTCAAGTAAGCAAGAATACCTACATGTCCCACCTCCACAACAGAGTTATCTGGATCCGCCCTGATCAGGCCGGTGGTCCCTGCAAAGGTACCGTCTTCTACCTTCAGCTCCTCAAACTCATCGGAGCCAGGCCTTCGCTTTCTGATGATACCTGCTTTGAGGATGATGGCGAATATAATCGATGCTTTGCTGGGGCGAATGCGATTGCTATACCACCCGTCATATGCGTCGGCACTTTCGAACGGGCCATAGGGAAGATATTGGAAGATCTCGGGAGTTTCCGACGACAATTTCACAAATGTCGCTGACAGCTCCTGGAAATTAGACTACACCTCTGAGTTAGTGGTCGTAGCAGGATGAGAGACAGCGAGCTATTACATCAAATGGAACTAGCCGGAGACGGTCATTTTCCAGTTTCGACAAGTCCAGCGGAAAGCAGAAATTGTCCATGTTGAAGGATTCGCGGTCACGAAGCGTACAATATACTGTGACTACTGTCAGTCTTTTGTATTTTCTCCCGAGGGTGTTTGTGGCGAAATCGGCAGTTTCACATGCTCCGCTTGACCGGACGTTATGACTCGTAGGGCTGCGATGCTGTGCGCCAATAGTATCAAAAAGATCAAATGAAGAAGAAAAAGCATCTGGCCACCAACGAGGCTTTTCTAGACCGAAAAGTCTTGGCATGCTGACTAGAGAGATGGGGGCTATGAGCCTATGACAGAGTATTGCTTGCTCGTATTCAATGTGGATATATGCCTGCTTACGGTCTACTCGTTTCAGACCGCAGAATTGGCCTTTGAGCGGCATGCTACATCGGAGTCATCCTATACTGTGCTTGTTTCCAAGTAATATCTATTGCCGCAATGGAACTTGACCCTCGTGACTTGCATTGCCAACTTCTAAAAGCAAGAATCATAGAAAACTAAATCAAAAGACCACTATGTGCTCAAACCCCCCGAGATATGATGCTCATCCTTGAGATGTCGCAAAACAATGGCGACTTGTAGATCCAAGAACGAATCTTGGTGAATGTGGCGAGCGTGAAGGCGACGCTGCAACTAACAACAAGGCCACAACTCAATACTTGGCTTGCACTGAACCGTAAGACACCCCGTTGAACTCAAGATTAAACAAAATAGACGCAGAAGCAGGTGTCATGGCAATATCATAAGGGATTTTGTAGTACCCCTGTCCCAAGGAATTCGTCCTACTGCGGAATAACTTGCGTGGAATTGCGCTGAGGTTTGCCTCCAAAGTGCAGACCTCAAAGACGTCTAGATTATAAAGTTAGCAGACAATCATCAGTTATGTGCATTATTCCATCGTACCTCCAGTGAGATGATCTGGTGCGTCGTCGAGGTTGCAGATGTAAAGCGAAGTGCTGACTTGTTTTAATTCTTTCATGCAACCTACTTTTGCGATGGCACGGTGCCAGTCCATTCTGATCGGCTGGTCCTCAAAGATGGGCTTTCCCTGGATGTGAATTAATTATTGGAAATCTGAACAGGCAATTGGGACCTCCCACCTTTTGAATGTACCACATCATGCGATTGCCCACGTACCACTTTTCAGTCAATGAGTCCCAGTACTTGTCCGTTTCGTTATGAAGCTGTGGATTGTATTCGGTGCGCCATTTGATCCCGTAATGACGTCGAGCAATCCGCTGTCCGACCTGATTTCCTCCTAGCCCTCGGAGAACAGCGCCACTGAAACCTTATTAGGAATGCCCAAGACTGCAGCAGATGACTGGGATACATACCGAACAACAGCAGACCATCTGTGACGGGTATCAGTGAGTGAGTTTTTGTCATTACCAAGGAAGACTCACGCATTAGGTGGCTGCATCACCGTCACATTCACCACGGCGGATTGCAAGCGGCGGAAGAGATACTCGGAAGAACCAAAACCTCCCACCAAAAGGATAGCCTGTTTATCACTAATTGTAAATGCTTCTAAGGTCAAGGCTATCCGTTCGTGGCCGCTCACCTTGGTCCGCATTCCAGCCATGGATACCTGTAGCATCTGGTCCTGCACCAGCCTCTCAATCTCATCGACGACAGGAAGAAATATCCCTCCGACATTCTCCCTGCTTGTGGTCAGCCTGTTCATACAGACAAAATACTGATGAGGACATGACCAACTTTGGCATATTCAAGAACCCACCCCGTAGCCCTATCTCCGGCTTGTCGCCAACACCGTTTAAAGGCACAGAGTAATCAACCTGGGAGTATGGGTCATCATCCTCGATCGAGACACCGGCAAAATTCGGTTTCACAATGTCCTGCCAGTGATTCAATGCTGTTTCGCGAGTTTTGTGGGATAGCCTTTCGTATGTTTTCTCCCCGAGAAGTCCAGCCAGATAGTTTTCAAACCGCTTGTCGAGAAGTACAGACCCGCAAACAGCCCCTAAGTTCAGCTAGTGAGCACTGATCTACGGTGGATTTCCAGTGGTAGACATACCGGTTCCCTGAGTGACTTCGATCAACTCGAGGGGTCTGACACTCTTCACGCGGTAGGAGATCAGGTCCTGCTTTGGTTATTATTTTCTTGTCCGTTGCCGCGTTTGTATACTGCGTACCACTGTGCCACCACCCGCGTCGCATATTATGATCACGTCGCCATCCTGGTCGATGATCAGTGTCTTGTTTCTTTGCTTTCGGGGCCGCGCTTACCTTGATTGTATTGGGCTGACTTGTGTTCAGACAAGAGAGGGCTGCTGCCTCAGGTTCGGATACCAGAGTCACATCGAGCGCAGGAATACCGGCATCAATCGCTGCTGTTAAAGTCATGTTCTTTGCTTTATCAGTCCAAACAGCCGGAACCGTAAGTACGTATCTAATCTCCATGCTGTCCAAGGCATTTCCAAATCGACGACGGAGAGTTTCCTTTGCCGAGTTCACAAGAAGCTGAAGGTAATCCCGAGTGACGTCAAGTGGCTGCTTGTCATACTTTGCCAGTATCTTCTTCGACTGTACCGCAGGCGCGTAATCGATTTCCTGAGTCGGGTCAAGGAGGAGCTTGATACCGCGAACGACCTCGCCAAACCTCGGTGTCTGATAACCCCACAAGAGTCTTCCGTTCTCATACGAGATAGTTGTAGGTACTTTGGGCGTTGTTCCTGACAATATGAGCTTCTAAGGTCCGAGTTTCTGGAAGATGGACTCACTGTTTCTAGCCCCAGGCCAGAATGTGATCACCTCAACATCCTCAGGACTGGACTGGAGAGCCCAAGCAATACTAAACAAGTGAGAATCATGACGCCATAGAAGAAATCGGGACATATTTACCCACTATAGGTGGTGCCAAAGTCAATACCCACGACAATACGGAGGCCCCCGGCCATCGTTAGGGAGTCTGAAGTTGATTTCGAGGACACGCTGGGGGAGAGCAAGACGACGGAAGGTGCAGTGTCTGCAGAACAGCTTCGTAGGGGAGATGTAAAGTAATACCTGGGTTGAGGTCAGACGTGACTCAGAAGAGGACTAAAGGTGCTTAATATGATCGCTATAAGAAGGTGGATGGGGAGCCAACTTTCAAACACAGTAGCACAGAGTAAAAATCTTCAGAGCTGGGGAATGGGGAAGATTAAATATGTGGCTGTGTTGATGGTTGGATCATTCACTGGCAGACCTCACTTCCTGCTTCTTTGTGCCTGAGATTACTCTCACTCTTTCAATCAAACAGGTGTGTTCTTACCCTCTTGTTCGCCTCCAGAGGAGTGTAAATTTATATTTCCTCTCACTCAATTCCTAATATGCTTTCATGGCTCTCCTCCTTTCGACTTGGCTCTGGAATGAACAGTAGCTCAGTGATAGAACCAGGTACATGACCTCACTTACTTTCCTTGACGATTATAGCTAACATTAAAGCAGAGCACAAGCAACCAATTCCACAGCATCACCAGGCACAAGCTAAGAAAGGACGGCAGTCTCGCTCACATAGAAAGCCTATCGGCAATCAACTCATCACAAATGCAGCGGTGGAGACAAGAGTCGCGATGGACGAGGGTTATTATGTGGCAGAACGCAGACTCCTCATTAACCGCATAAAACAACTCCACCATCGGGCACTACAGGCAGAGGAAAAATGTCGTCGGCAGAAGGAGCAGAATGCGGAGCTCCGTCATGAAGCCTCGAAACTGTTGCAGCAAAAAGATGAGCATATTGCTGAGCTTACAATACGGTTGAATGACTTACACTATCATCCGGACATTCTTACTGATGACGAAGCGATTCAGACCATGGCCAAGCTCGGCCAGAAACTCGACGTTTGGGTCAAGGGCAGCTTCAGGAACGAGGACCTTCTTCACGATCTCCCCCTGTTGGAACTCGTGGATATGCCGTACAGTCCACTACCTGTGGGAACGATCAACCAGGTGCAGAATCCGCATCATAGGTGGGCATTTATCCGGGCATTCGTCACGTCATACCTCTTCTACTATTTCTTTGACGACTACATGGTGGGAGTCAGGAACCCGGGTACTGAGTATGGCCTAATGACCATGGAGTCGGAGATTTTTGACAAATGTACGTCGTTGCTCCAGCAATAGCTTATCATTTCAATCACTGCTGCTGACTATTGCTTGTCCAGGCCCGGGTCATGTTGCTGACAACTGGCGCTCAGCGACCTGCATGGCCATCCAATCTATGACTAAAGAATATCTGGAGGACGCAGGCATGGAGTGTATCAAAAGAATTGAGCAACTCGCCTCCTGTGCCTCTTCCGATACCTGGCTAAGACAAAAGAAGTTCACAGAACTTCTTCAAAGCTGCGTGGACTTTAAGCGAAGCCTTGAGCGACAGCCAGCCCGATATAGATTTTCACGTACCTCTTCCGGTCATGGATTCACATCTGGCACAATGCAAAGCATAACGGGAGAAGAAGGAGAAGGCGCTGTTGTGGAGTTCTCTCTGTGGCCTGGGTTATGGAAGGGCGATGTTCTCCTCTACCCTGAGACAGTCTGGAGTAAGATGGACGAAGCTTCCGTGAAGGATTCTAACCCAGGAACAGAAACGGCTCCCATCCGTCAAGGTGAGGCTGGAATTAGTAGCCAGATCTCGGGGGGTACTCCTGGTTCCGGATCAGTTCGAATTCATTTGCATAACCATCTTGCCCTTGAATGAAATGCGACCATTTACGGGTTTGCTTTCTGCGAAGAGGTTCATATTCCTGGAACTTTTCATGCGCTTATCAGACGCCTTCGTTGTGATCCTGTATTTTCCTTAGTCTTCTAAGGAGGCATGCATTCTCTGGCTCTTTTCGTTTTGGAGTGTATCTCACATCCAGTTTCCCCTGCGTAGGGCAAGGTTTCCGCAGCGTCGCGTAATCGTCGTAATTGCCGTTTTGTATTCCTGTTTGCTTGTTCTTGCATTTCAATGAATCACAACAGAGCGCCGAGATTGATACCACAGGCAGATGAATCCTAAAATATAAAAGCTTCAGATATGCATAATAAGGCCCATAGTTCAATATCTACTGCCATGGCTGGACATGCTTGGTCAAGGTCGCCGCATCTATATGTGCTAATAATCGGTGGTATAGCATTTACAACCTTTCAGCCTGTATAACCTCCAGATAGATAGCTAAACTGCACTACTGTACTGTCTACTCACGCTTTAGTGCTACCTATTCTAAGTTACCTACACCCATTAGAAGCCTACCTATCAAGCATTCAGTAAACTAGGGTTATTTACTACGCGTACTTAACCTGGATCCCCCGTAATAAGGCTAAGGATTGTATACACAGTCCATATCAATCAATCAATCAATCAAGATTCTATTAACCTGATGTAGCCTATCTATTGAAGCGATTAGCTATGCAGGCGCTTCACCAATGAAGCAGGAATCTAGTGTCTGAACACCTGTCCATAAAGCCCACAAATGCAAAAGAGACATAAGAAATTAGCATATAGCCACATCAAAAGCAAAAACATAACTAAAGTAGCATGCTATTTAACTACGCGTCTCCCCTGCACCATCTTAGTGCATTAAACACCTATCCCACCTCATTCTATGTAGTCATTCCAGGCGTAGTGTGGTTCCGCACCTAGGAAGACCCTTCCTAGGCAGCTATTTAGTCTATTTAACCATCATCTTCTACATCTATTCCAGAGCCTCATAGGAGGCTTCTATATTCCTAATCCTGCTCTGACAGCTCCCCCAGTTCTGTGTGGTGGAATTAGCTAAGCAGGCCTATTTAATGCATGAATTCAGTAATATAGTAGATCACCTATAGGTTAGATACAAGCATGTTATAGTTAGATAGTTTCCCCCAGATACCCTCTATATCATGTAGCTTAGTAATTATCTTCATGCAGGCTTCTATGTATAGCAGATACTACAGGAGAATATACTTAGGGGTCTAGGACCCCTCTCTGTAGCTGCACTAGTCTGAGTTATAGGCCTTGATCTTAAAGAGAAAATATTACAGACTAATCCACATGGTCCATATCTAGATGATAATCAATGTGTGTGGCTTTGGTAGGCCCTTATAGAGTCCTAGATTCTTCTTATAAGGGGCCTTAATTAGCCACTATGTCAGCTTAGCCCCTTTCTCCATCTCCCACTATTTCTTCCAGCATTGCTAGATTTATTAGTGAGTAGCTTGCTTAGCTACTGTGGTAAGCTAGATAATTAGTTATTCTAGCCCTACTAAGCTTATTTTAACTTCCCCTTATATAGCAGCCTTCTTTGCTACCTCATCTGCAGCCTCATTCCCTGCCATACCCACATAGGCAGGGATCCAGTATATCTTTATATTCTCTAGGGCTAGTCTATGCACCCCTAGGGCCTGTATACTTCTATAGATTGCATCCAGAATATATTAGCTAGAGGGGCGGCGCAGGTTCTGCACTGCCTAGATAGCAGCCTGGCTATTAGTGAAGAGGATGAGTAAATAGGGTTTTAGTTCTGTGGTAATGCTTAGCACCATGCAGATTCCATCTAGTTTAGTAGTATATATAGTTAAGTCTATCTCTGTGCCAAGGTGGTTTTGGTGGATTAAATATCTATATAGGCAGACTGCTGAGGCTCCTACACAGCCTTAATAGCTACTGCTATTAGTATAGATAACTAGTTGGTTATTATCTTTATATATCTCATCATAGGTTATTAGTGCAGCTTTATGATCCTCAATCACATAGTAGAGGGGTGGCTCCCATGGGGGGAGTATATATACTTTATACATTTCCCATTCCTCTGGGTATCTTAGGGTAGGGGCCAGCGGGCTGCCCCTTTTCCTAAGTATCTCTAGCAGAGTAAGGCCACTCTACTGCATCTCCCTAGTTAGTTATAGTTTCCCTATAAGTCCTCATGGGCATACAAAGCATGGCCCTATTTAGATTTAGATGGCAGTTTCCTTAATGATTTATTGCATCTGCAGGCAGATTAGTAATAGATGTAATTCTATATTAAGTATAGCTATAGCAGTTCCCTAAAAGGCACTACTAATTAGTATAGCAGCACACTTCTAGATCTTAGTAAATTTATTAATAATTTTAGTCTATTCCCCTGCCGGAATCAGTCTGCTGGCAGGGCTAAACCACACTATAACTCTATATAGTAGCTATAGGATGACTACACTGTGATAGATCATATACATAGCCTCTAGTAAGGCACCCTAGGTCAAACTAGTAATACTTTATAGCACCTCCAGGCTGCTATTCACGCGGTTAATCACCTTAGTGCAGTGAATGCTGAAAGAGAGGGTTTTATCTAACTAAATACCAAGGTATCTAGCTAACTTAATAGGTTGAATGGTTACCTCTCTATAGTGGATAAGCATTTAGTTATGACCCTTATATTTGTATAGCTCCCAGATGTCAGTAGGGGCAGGGCTTATTAGGGTTAGATCATAGGAGGGTTCCAGTTCTGGTTCCTTTAGATTAGTGAAGTGGATTAATTCAAACTTATCTAGAGTAAATCTAGTAGTATATCTACTAGCCTAGCAGTCTGCCTTTTCCAGGCATTTCTCTAGGACTATAATATTCTGGGCGTAGCTCTAGCCAACTATAAGCATACAGGAGTCATCTATCCAGCTAATAGATGTTATCTTTATGCTGCCAACCTAATCAAATAATATTCAGATTAATAGGGTATTAAAGATTAAAAAGAGAATTAGTAAAAGGGGGCTGCCTTACAGAATTCCTATAAGGGTTATAAACTATTTACTTAGGAACCCTAGCAGCTGCAGGCATGTGCAGTAGTTAGATAGGAAGGATTATAGCTAGTTAGCAATCCAGCCTAGCTACATAATCTAGAGATTATGCACCAGGTGTTGGAGGGAGACATTATTAAAGGCACTAGAGATATCTAGTAGTAGTATGCTAACCTTCTAGCTACAATCCCACACACAGTAAATCATATTAATGATTAGTTAGATAGCATAATTAATAGAGATGCCTTTCTGGCCGCCTAGGTAGCCTATTAGGAGCAGGCCATGTTCCTCTAGCACCTAGGAGATACAGGTCATAATTATTAATTCCAGGACCTTACCTAGGGTGTTAAGTAGGGCAATAGGGTAGTAGGACTTTAGGAGGCAGAAATCTCAGGGGGCTATCTTATAGAGAATAACTGTAGTAGACACCTGGAAGTGTCAGGGATTATAGCTAACATAGATGCAGGCATTAAATAAGGTTTTAAGTGCTTAGATAAAGGCTAGAACTATAGTTAGGGCATGCCAGACCTTATTAGGAATAGTATCTAGCCTAGGTGCTTTATCAGGAGGTGCCTATCTAATAGCTTTAGTAATCTTATACTTATTAATGTCTGGGAAGGGAATATCCTATATATAGTTATATATACAGTTCTCTATATTAGAGAGATCCATAGCTGGGGGTGATGGGAAGAAGGCCTCTTAGAGTAGGTTAGCCTTCTATTCTACTATCTCTACTGTTTAGTCTCCTAGGCAGAGTATAGGTATAATTCCTGCCTAGCTACCTCCCTAGTAGTTCCAGGCCTACTTAGCAATGTGCCACATGCCTTAGGGGCCTTAGTCTACTATTTATTAGATGCATTTGCAATAACCTTGCTATAGGGTGTGAGATATAACCTTCCCCTTATAGTTATAGACCTTTATATATGCGGTCCAGTCATCATTAGTGTATGTGTTAGTATAGATTTATTAGTAGAGGCAGGTTTATTTAACTATTTTAGTGCATTTAGGCATCCAGTCAGGGCTAGCCCATTGGGAAGGGCATGCCTATGGTGTAGATTAGGTAATAGCCTGCTAGACAGTTTTAAGAAGGTAGTCAGTGGCATCCTTAATCTAGCTAGTAGTTTCAAGGTCTCCACACCATCTATGGGGATTAATATTTACAGTAATAAATTTACATAGCTTCTTTATATCTAAAGCCTTCTAATTATAGCACTTTAGGGCCTGCGGCAGCTATATTAAGATATTAAGAAGCAGGCAAATTAGTAGGTAGTTAGAGTTAGTATAGATGTTAGGGGCCACCTCACAGGCCATAAGACAGGCTGTTAGATCCATGGATCTAAATATTAGGTTAATAGTTAATTAGTGGCCTTGCTCATCCCTAGTGACGGCGCCCAGTTCCATCTAGAGGTCTAAGAGCCAGGTATCAGTTAGTTCTAGGAGCCTGTCAGATCTAGGGTTAGTATGGCAGACATGATTGCTGCCCCAGGTTAGATGATAGAGGTTAAAATCTCCCAGGAGCAGGCAGCTATCTTATTAGTCCAGGACCTGCTCCAGGAGGTCAAGAGTATTAGTTCAGATATTAGTATCCAGGCAAGGGTTATATATATTATATAAGCAGAGTATCCCTGTATCATAGTATAATTTAAGCTCCTAGCAGTCCCATAAGTGGGCTGTATATTTCCATTTAGTAGGGTTAATCTTGCAGGAGATATATAGGCAGACCTAGGCGCAGCTACCAGATCCTGCCTTAGGGTAAAGTAACTAGTGAGTTATCTTAGCAGGGTGATGGGTGGTATCTTAGAATAGATTATCCCAGGGTTCTTAAATAGTGATAATGTCAGCCTTTAGGACCTCTAGGTCATATAGAAACTAAGCCATCACCATGTTCTTAGAACAGTGTACATTATATTATAGTATTTAGAATGTTCTATCTATAGAAAGCATAGTATGAGGTGTTCTATATACTCTTTTAATAGCTACCAGTAAACTAGGGTATCCCTGCAGAGAAGTTGACCTAGGGGTCCTTCTCTAGTTACATAGGGGTATCTAACCCCCACTTCTGCTTCTTCTTTTCAGCCCAGGTGCTAGAGTTGGTGTTAGTATCCTTATCTTACAGGACTAAGCTAGGCTATCAGTCACTCTCAGGGGCATCAGGGAGCTTAGTATAGCTGTTCCCATCCTTATTATTAGCAGCAGTGTTATCTTAATATATATTAAGGTAGGTCCTGTGCGCAGTGGCAGTTTATTAGTTTTATAGCTACTTCAGAGGGTGAGCATTATCTTCACTAGTCAGATTCAGCAGGTTAATATTATTCAGATAATCAATAACTCAGGCTAAGCAATGGGAGGCAGTGGTAGAGCTAGTTTAATTAGTTAAGGTCCTTATCTTCATAGATATAGATGATGCCTTAGGGTATGGTGCTAATGAGGTGAATAAGATGTTATTAATATTCTGGTCTGATAGTGATATTAGGGACGACATTAAGGTAGGCACCTAGCCACAAGGTGGCTGCTTGCAAGATGGCTCTGATCTCACCCTCTTAGACCCCTTGGATAGTCTAATAGCCTTCTTCACTATAGTAGAGCCCTCAGTGCCCTCAGTGCCCTTAGATCCCTCTATTTATATTAGGGAGCCCTCTACTGAGGCATCCATATCTGCAGGGGTGGACATTAGGGCAGAGGTGCTTAGTATAGTAGTAGAATCTAAGCTACTACTCTTAGAATCCTATTAGAAGTCTTATAGGTATGGCAGAATGCAGTGGTATTACTAGTGATAGCAGGAAGCTGCTTATACCTTATCCACCTCCTCTACATACTTCTTACACCCTTTAGACCAGGCAGCATATATATCCCTATAGTTAGCATACTTTCATAGCTCCTAGCCAGCAGCAGCCTGCTGTAGCAGGTAGTTATAGGTCTTATAACTACCCATGCAGAGGCTATAGATAGTTTTATTAGAATAGATACTTCCTATATAGCTATATTACTAATAGTTAAAGCACTAGTAGATGCAAGCAGACTAGTTATATAAGACTATGGTTAGGATAGTAGAATCTCAGATAGTTCCCTTATTAATAGCTTTATTAGTGGCCTAGGGGGTAGAAAACTTAATTACTAGGGTAGAAGACTTCTTATTAGTAGGCTAGTTCATAAGCTAGGTAATATAGATAATCTTTACTAAATTACCCTATATAAAATAGTTTATAGCTAGTAACTAGTTAGTAACTTACTTAGCCTTCTTAGGGTCTGCTAGGTTACTAATTAATTTAACCTAGATATTATAAACCACCATGCCCTAAGTTAGCAGGTAGATAACAGCCCCCTAGTAAAATAATTTAGCCTAGCTAGGGTGGTAGTATATAATCTCTACTTACTAAGTAGTCTATAGGCTAAGGCTTAAGTTACTTAACTTAAGCTAATAGGTAGCTATAAATTTAATAGATATAAGAGTAGCTACTATAGTCTCCTTTAAGGCCTTTATATAGGCCTTCTTAGCCCTATTCTTTATCTCTACTATCTTTAGGCACTAGAACATACTTACTATACTAGTATCTAGTAGTTTAATAATAACCTCATAGTCCTTACTTAGTTCTAAGGGGGTAGCCCTGGGGCTACTTAAGAAGCTATAGGAGGAGATTACATGGTCTAGGGGGGGTGCCCCCACAGTAGTAGCTGTATATAATTAAACCTTAGCAGATATAGGAATAGATTAAGTAGTTAGAACATACTAGGTAGAGGTAGTGTTCTTCTTAATATTAAGAGTAATCTTATAGAGGTTAGTGACTACCTTCCTCTAGTTATTACCTAGAGGGTTTTTAAGGACCTCCTTAATAATAGTATATATATTAGTGATTAGCTTAATAAGAGGCTTTAGGATTCCTTAATTATAAACCTTTAGATAATTTAAATAGACACTTATATTATAGTGAAGGTCTAGGACATAATTATATAGAGTTTTCTATAGCCCCTTTTTACTACTGTGGGAGGCTGTTAGGGGCGGCCACCCTAGCTTCAATAATAACATGGTAATTAAGACCCTATAAAATTAGGATTAATTGAAGGTGGTCATCATCATGAGAAATTAGGCAAATTTTGGGGTTAAAAGATGTTGATTTGGGCGAGAAATTTCAAAAATTTATTCTGCGTCGAAGTTTTTGTTTTTTTTCATACACAGTCCATATAGGGAGCTGTAAGCAACACTTTTGGTCATTCTTGCCTGACCAGAGTGCCTTACTTGACCAGAAGAGCTGAAAATCGGACGCTTCATACAGACATGATATGACTGACTGTACCTATCACAGTAAATGTCATCAACTGTAGCCAGATCTATCCTGCCAAGCCCGGCAACAGCCTTTCATAAAGAGCAAGGGGGGATTGGCTAGCTCTAGGGATTCAAGAATCCCTCCTGCTTCCATCTCGTTATATATTTCATCAACAGTCCCTCGTCAATTGGTCCCTGTTGCCTCAGCGTCCCCGAATGCCTCCTGGCCTTGTCCGTATCCAAGACCAACCCGCCGCACGACATGGGCACGAAGTAATGATCAAAGAACTCGATCAACTGCAACGCCGGATTATCACTCACACTGGCCCGAAACCTCCTGACGCGATCTACCCAAGTCTCATACGGCACGATACCTTCCTCACTAATTCCCAGCGCCCGTGCCAACGTCCCGATCATCTCCTTCCATCCCTGCCGTGACGGGTTATCGATATGGTAGATCAGATCTGTCGATGTCTCAGTGAGGAGCAGCTCGCCCAGTGTGGCCGCTACGTCGTTCACCGGATACCACGAGAGCGTACCCTCGAGGTCCGGCAGGAGCCGGAGCACCTGTGATGACTTGATCAGGAAGGGCATGTACTCGGTTGGATTCCAGTACCCGTTGGACGTCGAGCCGGCGATTTGGGCGACGCGGACGGCCATCGCATGGAAGGATTCCGGATACCGATACAACGTCTGAGCCAGCATTCGCTCGACGACGAGTTTCGCCTCTGCGTAGCCCGTTCCCGGGAGCGAGGCGATTGTGCCTGGTTCCTCCGGGACGAGCGGGGTTCCCATCCAGAGCGGGTAATTGGCGATGACGGCGCTGGAGGAAACGAATTGGAAGCCGAGCTTGAAGGGGGCGGGGCGGAGCTCGACCACGTCCGTGGCGAGGGTGAGCAGGTTGCGGGCGGTTTTGAATTGCGTCTCATAGGTGCGGATGGGCCGTGTCAGGCTCATGGGCCAAGCGCTGTGGAGAATGTGGGTGACGGTGCGAGTGAGGTGGGTGTAGGTCTCGGGCGATAAGCCGAGGTGAGGTTTGCTGGTGTCGCTTTCAAGCACTTGGAGCTTCGACAGCGATGTCGCGTCGAGGGTGATCCCGCGCATTTCGAGCGAGGCGCGCTGCCGTTGGGCTGCGTCGACGGTGCTGACCCGGTTGAGGCAGACGACCGTGCTGATGTCCGGGCGTTGGGCGAAATAGGCCACGATGTGGGAGCCCAGACTGCCCGTGGCGCCGGTGACCAGCACGCAATTTTTTATGCTCGGGGATGAATTGCCCATGGCTGCGCGGGGCCGCGATGGCGGGACAAAGCCGTTCGTGTACTTGAGGACGTACTCGTCAATGATGGCGCCCCGCTCTGGGTCATCCGATGGGCGTTCTGTCAATTGGGATTCTGAAGCCGGATGCAAAGCAGGTTTCGGCGCTCGATCATACCTGGTCCCAGACGCATGAGCAATAATCAGGCGCTGGATGTTGGCTTCGGGAAGGTCTCCGGCCGTCCAGTCGACATGGCCGTATCCCACTGAGTGCAGCACTCGCTCCCAGTAGCTCGCGGGCTGGAGAACATAACTTCGTCCGTCCTCAAACAGCCACCAACCCTCGATGAATCCAAAGACGAAATCCACCCAAGGCACCTGCTGCGTCATCTCGAGCATGACCAGGAAGCCTTCCGGCCGCAGGATCCGATGCAGGTTCTTTAGGGAGACGGTCAGATCCCTCGTAGCGTGGACGCAGTTAGTGGCGAGGACGATGTGCTGGCTTTCGAGGAGTTTCGCGTCCGGTTCGGTTTCCATGTTCAGTACCTTGAACTCCATGAACGGATACTGCTTGAAGCGCTTGCGCGCAGCCGCGATCAGTGAGCCAGAGATGTCGGTCATGGCGTACTTGACGGGGACACCGAGTTCGGCGAGCAGGGGCACAATCCTGCTTGTTGTGCCTCCAGTCCCTGCGCCAATTTCGAGGATACAGATGGGCGCTCCCGTCCGCGGAAGTTGACCGAGCAACTGAAGCAGAAAGTCGGCGAGCTGCTGGATCCAGACGGTATTGATGGGTGATCTGGCATACATCTCCGACGCGATCTCGCGGGCTTCGGGAGTGCCGAAGACCAGCTGCAGACCATCCTCCTTGCCTGTAATCAAGTCTGCAAACTTGGCTCCCACCAGAGCCGTGAGCCTGTGTTCGGCGGCGTGAACTGGCTCGTCGTGAAGCAGCTTTGCGAGCAGTGCCTCTGCAGAGATGGTGGGTGCTGCAACAGCGGTGCGCGTGATTTCCGCGCCATTGATATCAACCAGGCGTGCCTCGGTTTCCAGAAGGCCATAGATCAAGTTCATAAACTTTTCATGCTTGGGGTGGTATGGAATGCGCTCGAGGCGTTGGCCGGGCGCTGCGGACCGGATAGAGCAGCCCAGTTGCTCGAATGCGTCAACGATATACTTGATACAGAGCTCAGTGGATCTCGGCATGACCTCTTTGTAGTAGTTTGCGAGGCGGCCCTTGATGATGGCGTCGTCCGTGGTCCATTTGAAATCGCTGAAGGTGTCGCGGACCGTGGATGTCGAGAACGTGGCGTGGCTGTCGGTACCATTCGTATGAACACCATTTCGGGTAATTCCATTAATGCCATTGACTCCATTGGCACCGTTGGTACCGTTGACTCCGTTGACACCATTGACACCATTGACACCATTGACACCATTGACACCATTGACACCATTGACACCATTGACACCATTGACACCGTTGGTACCGTTGGTACCGTTGACATGAACAGTACCATTTGTGCCAGCAGCAGCTTCTGCTGGCACTTCGTCCACATCGTCATCATCACCAAGCCCTAGCGTAGACTGAATACACCTAACCAGGCTCGTAAAGTCGGTCAGTTCCATCAGCTGCTCATTCCGAAGGGTGCACTTAAATGCAGCCTGCACCTCGCGTACCAGCTCCATTGCCATGAGAGAATCAATGCCCAGCTCAATTAGGTCGGAGTCGTTCTGAATCTCTTCAGGTTCCAGCCCGGACAGATTGCATATTATTTCGCGGGTTTTGGCCCAAACGTCTGGTCCCGGCTGTTTGGCTGCTTTCTTCTTAAGTTCATTCACAGGCTCTGGATAGGGTGATGAAGCTGAGCGAGTGGACTCTCTGACGGGAGGGATTGACGAAGGAGTCTTTGAGACAGAAAGAGGGATACCAGCAGAAGGGGAAGCAGGTGTTTGTTCGGCGGCACGGCTTAAGACTTTGCGAATAGATTCCATGGGTACTCTCTGATACGAGAGGCCCAGTATCGCTTCGACCAATGATCCATCGCGAGGATCAAACGCAAACACGTCGCTGACATACTTAGTCTCAGACTCCTGGTGGTGAACCGCGAAGACCTCCCAGTGATCTGACAGCGAACCCGTTGTACCCAGCCGGGGCCTACGCGTCCATCTGGAGATCCCATCGCAGACAAGATGCCGCGGTCATCCAGATCCGACGAGTCGGTCATCAAGTTGACGAAGATACCAGCGACCTGGCAGAAGCACTCGGTCAGAACGGAGTCGATCCACGCTTCCTCTTGGTAGGATTTGATGACCCGGCCAGCTGACTCGTTGTCTACTCCTGCGATCTTGGTAACGCAGCGGAACGGTTTCCCGTATTTTACCACCTGCTCGAAGGCCCGGTAGATGTTCCGTCCCTGGAGGACTTCGTCAGCATGACCACCATGGAGGAGACGTGCACAGCGCTTCTGGCCGCTCAGGCGAGCCAGATTCTCGTAGTCGACCGTGAGTTGAGGGTCACTCGCTGGTCGGAAATCCGCCGTTCCGGAGCTGAACTCTGAGTTTTCCGAATGGAGCCGCCAGTCCCAGGTGAGACCTTTGTCGTCTCTAGAACACACGTCGAGGTACACCTTGCTAGAAGGGTGGGCGGGGAGTGCATTATGGTAGGATACACCCCAGATCTCCGGCTGGAACTTGTACTTGTCGAAATCCGGCCGGAGGTTCGCCAGCGCGTCCAGGGCGATCTGTAGCTGGAGAATGCCTGGGGCAACGGCAGCTGTGCTGGCGACGACATTGGCGGAGGTTGGCTGTTGAAATTTGTCTACCCCCGTGTTGACTCGGAATCGCGCGGACTGCTGTGAGGGATCCTGATAGCTGAGGAAGGTTGTCAGGCCCTTGGCCACGCCAAGATGCTGCAGAGGCTCGGCAGCTGAAACATCAAGCTTCGGGGGCTCTTGCAAGTGCATCCAATGTCGTGACTTTTCGAATTGGTACGGAGGGAGAATGACGGGGGTATAATCGGGTGTTTGCCTGGCATGGTGGGCCCAGAAGGATATGTTCAACCCTTCCTTCCACAGCTTCATCGTCGTGTCAACTAGGCTTTGGATGGAAGAGGATTCACCGGTTATATTGACGGGCTGGAAATGATGTTTTGACGTCGAACTGCCCAGGGCGCGGCTCGCCATATTGCTGACAGTAGAATTCGATCCAGCCTCGAGCCAGATAGCGGACGGGAACTCCTTGGCCAGTCTCTGGACTGCGTGATTGAAGAACACTGTGTTCCTCAGGTGCTGAGCGATGAAGTTGCCTGCTGGTCGGCCGGTAGTTTTAAACTCGGTTGCGTGTTCGACGCGAATTGCGGGCTCGTTAAACGTAATCTCTTGACCCAGTGCTTCGAGGTCATCAATGATCGGGTCAACGAGGGAGGAATGAAAGGCGTTGGTGACGCTCAGCCTCTTTGTCTTCATGCTAGAGAAGGCAGGACTGGTCTTTGCCAGTTCCTGGGTGAGTTCAATGCATTTTGTTGAGCCAGCCAGCGTGAACAGCCTGGGCCCATTGCAACAAGCGATCGAGACATCAGAGGCGACACCTGATGCCTTTTTCGACAAGGAGATCAACGCTTGCACATCCGTCAAATCCGCCTCAACGGCGAGCATGGCTCCTTTATCCACGCCCCAGCTATCCTGGATGAGACGCGCACGACCAGAAACCAACTTGAGCGCATCCTTCAGCGAATAAACCCCCGCGACGCACAATGCCGTCAACTCGCCAAAACTGTGTCCCACCACGGCGGCGATTTGGACACCGGACTCAACCCACAGTCTGGCGCAAGAATACTGCGTGGCAAAAAGCATTGTTTGAAGCTTGACTGTGTCTTGTATGGGAGACGTCTGGAAGATGTCGGGATAGATGCTGTTCAGACCCAGAGAGATACATACGGCGTTGCACTCGTCAAGATGGGCTTTCAGGGCAGCGATCTGGTAATAAAGATCTTCTGACAGACCTACAAACGTGGACACCTGCCCGCCGAAGCAAAGAATCACCGATCGGCCAGGCGGCGGTTGAATTTCCGCAGTGCCTTTTTCTGCTTGCTCGAAAGCAAGCAGCTTCTGGTCCAGGTCGGTAGCAGAGGAGACTTTCAGGAGCAGAGCGATGGGAAGAGTGCGGTTGGACTGGCGTGCTAGCTGAAAGGAGAGATTGCGTGCACTCAGGTCCTTGTTTGAACCGGCGTGTCGCTGCAGGAAGTCCCTAAATTTGATAATGTAGGCCCGAAGACTCTGGGAGTCGTGCCCACAGAACCAGAATGGGAAGCTTACACCATCTGCCGACACGAGAGCAGTCTTCGAAGCATGAACGCTAGCCCTCGGTCCCTGAGTAACGACTATGGAAGCGTTTGAGCCAGAGGCCCCGTAGTTGTTGATTAGTGCTGCGCGAAAGCCCACATCCCAACGCTTCGCTCTTGTCGGGATGTCAATCATGTCCTGCGGAGTAAGTTGCAGTGCAGGGTTGATGGAAGTAAAGCTGGCCTGTGGCGGGATGAAGCCCTCGTGGATCATGAGCAGGACCTTCACCAGGGAGATGATCCCCGAGGCAAACTCCGTATGGCCAAGGAGTCCCTTGACCGACATCAGTGAGAGCACATCCGAGCGAATCGAGCCGCCTAGTGTTCTTTTGATCGCTGCATACTCCGCCGGATCGCCGACGGGAGTCCCTGTGCCATGCGCCTCGACTACCGAGATGGCCTGAGGTGGGAGTCGGGCTTGTTGAACGATATCATGAAAGAGCTCTGACAATGAGTCCGTGTTGGGGACGGTGATCGGGGTGCAATTCTGATTTTGATAAACTTTCGTGCTCGCAATCACCCCGAGCACTTGGTCACCATCCGCAATGGCGGACGACAGTTTCTTGAGATAGACCACGCCGGCCCCTTCCCCTCGGCAATATCCGTCTGCTGCGGCATCAAATGGCTTGCACTGGCCTGTCGGGCTCAAGAAGGAAGCGCCAGCCAGATTATGGAACCAGTCCGGGTGAGTGAGGACGTTGACACCACCGGCCAATGCACTGGTGCATTCTCCGTGAAGGATCGAGCGACAGGCCTGGTGGACCGCAACACCCGAGGACGAACAGGCCGTGTCGATGGTCACACTGGGGCCCGTCCAGCCAAAGTAGTGACTCACTTTTCCCGCGACGAAACTCCGCAGGTTTCCCGTGGCAGAATAAGCATTCTCTGGGTAGCAGACAATGTTCCGGTCATAGTCGACATTGCCGATTCCGATATAGCATCCAATATGCCTGCTCGCTGGTGACCCTTGGGCTCTAAAATAACCTGACTGCTCCACAGCCTGGTATGCCAACTGCATGATCAAACGATGTTGCGGGTCAGCGGATGCCATTTCGCGCGGACTCTTCTTGAAGAATTTGTGATCGAAAGCGTCATAGTCCGCAATGAAGTTGCCGTACCATTTGCGATTAGGATCCGGCTTCCTAAACGGAGTCTGCATTGAGAAGCGCTCCAAGGGCACCTCTGTGTGCTGGGACTGGCCGCTGGTGAGGATTTTCCAATATCTGTCGAGATCGTCAGCCCCTGGGACAAGGCAGGCCATGCCGATGACAGCAACCCGATCATCTGGGAGTTCATCCAGGCTCTGGCCTGAAGCTGTGCAGGCAGTGGAGAAGTCGACAGGTCAATGTCCGTGAGCTGGACTAGCTGAGAGCCCAGCTTCCTTGTCAATGTGGGTGGCGTGCACCGCTCTGCACCAAAGCATATGAACGTGGCACCCCCGGTCTCCAGGTGGGATGAGTAGACGCGGGTAAAGTTCTCCAGCCACTGCGACGGCTTCAGCAGGATTTCCCGCAACGCAATCTCTTGGAGACTGCCGCCGCTGCTCAAAATGCTGGGCAGGGGCATTTCGGAAGGATCGGGGAACTGGAATTCGGCATGGCTGTTACAGAACGCAATGAGTCGCTCTGCATCTGCTGCATGTCCGGACCAGTGAAATCGGCCGGATAGCGCGACGCCGACCACATGCAAGCCAGAGTCCTTCAGTTGCTGAACCAGGTTGGCGGCCTCTCGCTGAGAGACAGTGACTGTCGATCTCTTCTCGTCGACATGAACGGATATGTATGCCTGAGCATCGTGAGTATATACTTTCGTGAATCTATAGATCTATAGGCTGCAAGGAACCCACCTCAGGACATTCCTTTAACACTCTAGACAGCGTATCACCGGGCTCAACGCAATTCCAGGACACAGAGACCGAGGTTGCAACACCATCTGAGCCAGGCGATGACTGCTCCGCATCCACCAGCGCGCCAGCAAGCATGGCAAGCCGGACTGCCACGGCGCCGTTCTTGTAGAGCTGAGCCAGGCTGGAGGACGACGACACCGCAAACGCGCTGAGAATGCCGATGCATAACCCTAGCGTCTCAGCGGTCTCTGTGACGGACGCCGGGAACTCATCGGTCTCGCCGAGGTTCGGTAGTGCCGCCGTGAGCAAGTTCGCATACTGTGTTAGCTGAGCGATCACGACCAAGGGGGAAAGAAGTATATTCGGTAATGGAAAGAGAGAGGGCGATATCTCTCCAGTCTGCAGCCCTTGGTTGAGGTCGCGTAGCAATTGGGCGCCGTTCAGGTGTTGCAACTTGGGAACGTGGTGGATGAGGCTTTCCCAGGCTTGCAACAGTTTCGATACGACACTCAGAGCCCACTTGGAGTGCTGGTCGGCATGGAGAGAAAGACGGAGCTGATGGAAGAATTTCGCATCGAGAGCAAGTGCTTGAGGGCCGAATAGGAACACCTTGGGCTTCTGGCGAGGATGTGCGGTCATGTTGAGACAAGACTCGAAGGATGTTGAATATACACGGCCGTTAACATCAGACGTGCTCCCTGATTGATTGATCAATTTTCTATCTCGCTATTTAGACGGTGGCCCCAGGTATATTTACACATTCTTGCCGTTTCTGTTTCCGTTGCAACATGCACGTCTGTTCCTGCTGCACGCAATGTGGCCGCTTCGGCTGGTTTGCTGAAGGATTCGTTTACGTCCCTTGCAATAGGTGCGACCTGACTTACCTCCAAAAGAGGAAGAACGCTAAATTCACCATGTTACATCTCCTATCAGCTGTCATCTACACTCGGCGGACGGCTGATCCCGCTAATTGACAGGCTGCGGTGTAAGCTTATGAAAGAAAATCGCCGAACGATACTTACCAGGCGAGATGAAGGAGCCGAGAAAGGTATCCGATCATTTCATGGTCTATCGGATTTACCTATGCTTTTAAAGGCTAACTGCAGTATGAGATGCTATCACCCATTCATCCTAGTCCTTGAGATAATGTCCTGGGATGCGATGGAGATGAGGTTGCTGTATTAGTGGACTACGCTTCTGTCTGAGAGAAGATCTGAGTCTGTAATCGTAGATATCTGATTGATAATGCTCTAATCTAAAAGTCTAATCCAGTCTCCCTAGCCAGCTCGCGAATTTTCTCTGCCACAAGCGTCACATCTTTGTACTTGAGCGGCACCCGATGATCCCCATCCCATTGCACGACTCTCCTTGTCTCGCGATCACAAAAGTCCTCAAACAATACTAGATGGCGCTCCAATCCTGGATCCCGTAATCCATGGACATGCAAAGTAGGTGTACACAATATATTCCATTTCCCCTCTCCCCGCCAAATACCCCCATTCGCGAATCTCATATCCGTGATTTGCCCTGCGTCCGGCAGCCCAGAACGACGTGTGACCTCCGAATCCATATCCAACGATATCAGCGGACCCTGGCCGGCCAGAAGAACGCCGAAGCGGAATCTCGGCAGCGGGTCATCCTCAAAACCCCGTGTCTGTTGTCGGTACAGCAAACTGGCGGCGACTTTCGCGCCCTGGCTGAACCCCAAGATGACGATCCACTCACCCGTGTATCCGGCGCAGTCATCGTCACGGATCGCCGCCAAAAGAGATTCATCAATTGCAGCCACCGCGTCTTGGGGCGCGATTTCCGGGTGCTCCCATCACCAGCAGAGCCAGCGGCGGAAGGGGCCCCATTAGCTGTAGACCGCGAGAACATCGGATCCGCAATTCGACGCGAAAGGCGCCTGGGCGAAGACAAAGCAGTATTTGGTCTGGAGGTGGTTGACGAGGGCTCTGCATTGGGCGCGGAAGATGCACACATTAGTCCCGCCGCCGTGAAGACAGAGGATGCGCGGAAGATGCAATGTTGGATTGGGGACTATGACAGGTTGGTCTAGCGCCATGGAGATAGATACACTATTTAACAGGACCGTTCTTATATGATCTTATTATTAATTCTATTCTAAAAGTTTGAATATCAAAGGGCAAATGGATCATTTCATACCCAACACAATATCTAGATTTTGACATAGTGGTATCTTGACGCCCTACTGGCGCTCTATTAAGCAAGCAAAGGCAAAGATAAGCAAAAAGGAAGCAAGCCTATACAAACAAGCCTTCTCAGCAGCCATCTGCAGTTCACAATAAGATGTAGCCGTCAGCCACTGCCATTGCGAGGCCTAAATGCCAGGGGTCAGGCCCTTTCCACCCACAAAAACCTACCAAATCAGTCCCCTCACTCTCCAACAGACAAGAACAACGTGCCGAAACAGCTCAACATTTGTCGTGACTCATTATGATGGCGTGCAAAAGGAATAAAATGCCTGGATTCAGGGCGTGATGATAACCATGCCAGTCAGCCAGCCAAACCATTAGTACCAACTACTCAAGAAAAGCTCTAGAGAAATATACTAACTATGCACTCCTCCTTCTACCTCCCCCTGGTCAATATCACCCCCTTCCTCGACGACCCCTCCAGCCCCGCGGCCCAGCAGGTCATCGACGATGTCCGCAGAGCCTGCCAATCTACGGGCTTCTTCCAGATGAAAGGCCATGGCGTGCCACTCAAACTCCAAAAATCCATACTCGCCGCCGCCGCCAAATTCTTCGCCCTCCCGATGGAAGCCAAACTCGCGCTGGACGCGCGCCAGAATGTTGGGTTCCGCGGGTACGATGTGATGGAAACACAGTCCTACGAGCTCGAGTTCGGCGCACCCCAGGGCCAAGAGGCCCACGTCGTCCGCGACATCAAAGAGGGCTTCTTCATCTCCAGCGACCTCCCCCTGGACCATCCGCGGGTGCGCGAGGGCCGATTCTTGCAGGGCCCCAACGTCTGGCCGAGCAAGGAGCTGCTGGCCCCGCAGGAGTTCCGGGTTGTGCTGGGGGAGTACCTCAGCGAGATGCAGCGGTTGTCGCGTGTGGTGCTGTCGCTTGTGGCCGCGACGCTGCCGTACGGCCCCGCGAGTGTTTGACGAGCTGGACTCGGACGACCCGATGTGTTTGCTGCGTCTGCTTCATTATCCGCCGGACGGGGAGCAGGCAAGACGGGAGAAGGGGCAGCTTGGGAGCGGCGAGCATACGGATTTCGGAACGTTGACGTTGCTGCTGCAGGATGAGCACCAGGGGCTGGAGGTGCAGGATCATGAGACGGGCGAGTGGCATGGGGTGCCACCGCAGGAGGACGTGTACATTGTCAACATGGCGGACTTGATGTCGGTCATGACGAGCGGGGAGTATAGAGGTGGTTGGCATCGGGTGTTGAACCGAAACCCTGAGGATCGGTACAGTGTGGTTTTCTTTTACGATGGCAATCTGGATTATAAATTGCAGCCGCTGGATCCGGCAAAGAGGGTTGAGGGAGAGAGTGTGCCTACAATTGAGGAACATGACCGTCTGCGCTTAACGAGTAGCTACAGCATTGAGCAGGAGTGATATGAGAGCAGGGCGTATCGAGATTCGCTAGTAATGCACTTGTTACATTGACATTGTCATTTACATATTTCTTAGACCTCCAATATTGGAGTGCGCAGGCTGATATGTATGTAAAACACTGGACGCAGGACTGGGCCTTATATCAAATCAATCTGGATATTGTATAGCCTACATATCAAGCATGAAAACCAACAAGACTACAAACAAAAGGGAACTGAGAAAACCGACACTACAGACTATCTATTCCCCGATCAGAATGGGCTTCCGCTTCTCGCTGAATGCCTCCAATGCTGCATTGCGATCCTTGGTCATGAGAACGGAGTCGTACGCCGCATTCTCAACCGCCTCACAGCTATATGTCAATGCACTGATGGCCGCTCGCACCGCCAACGGCCCAGCATTGCATATATTCTCTGCCAACTGAAGCCCAGCCTCCAAGACCAGACCCTTCTGCGCCTCTTCATTACCTTCAATCCCCACGAGCCGATTACACAGTCCCATGGCAGCAGCCTCCTTCGCTGGCACCAACCTCCCCGTTAAGACCATGTCCAGAGAATTGGAGACACCAACAATACTGGGCAACCGGTACGTCCCCCCGGCACCGGGGATAATCGCCAGCCTCGTCTCGGGCAACGCCACAACGGCATCAGCTGCAAAGACACGCAGGTGGCAGCACAGCGCCAGCTCAAGCCCCCCGCCCAGCGCCTTGCCCGAGACACACGCGATCGAGGGGACAGGCAGCGCTGCGAGCCGCGAGAACACGGCGCGCAGGCTGGTCAAGAAGGACTTCGTTTCGGCTGGTGTCATTTGCTTCCTCTCTTTGAGGTCAGCTCCGGCGCAGAAGACGCCGTCGACCGCGCTGGCGATGATCAGGGCGCGCGTCTTGTTTGTGTGAGATTCGTGGTGAATCTCTTCGATTTCGCTGCTAAGCTCGCGCAGCATTTGCCAGGAGATGGCGTTTTTGGCGTCCGGACGGTGCAGCTGGATGATTTTGATGGTACCGGCGTGTGGTGCGAGGACGCGGGTTACCATTAATGTAGAGAGGGTTTTTGCGTTGGAGGGGACCAGGCGGAGGTCGGCGAGCCCCTTCGTTGCCACATCGAGCGGCGCCGGAGGGTGGAAACCATTGGGTCCGTCACTGGGTAGCTCAGTTGCAGGGGGGATATCTTTGTTTGAGAGGTCAGTGGGAATGGGCGTGCTATCAGGCTGACTGACAGGGCGCTGCTCATGTGCCACCGCTTCGACCTCCCGGACTTCGACCTCCGCTGGCTCTTTTTCGTGGACATCAGCAGCGGCAGGCTGAGCAGCGGTGAACCGTGCAAAGAACGGATCATCCCGCAGACACTCGATCGTCTTCTCCTGCTCCGTCACCATGAACTCGCAGCTCCCATCTGGCACCTGAGGCAGCACGATGACCGCGCCTGCCTGAGTGCCCCTCGCCGGGAGGCGCAGCGCCTTGATATGGCCGTCGTCAAAGATCGGCCCAAAATTCATGGCGTGCAGGTCCATCTTGAACAGACTGGTCAGGATAATCCCCGACGTCGCCATGGACTCAAGAATGTTAAGCCGCGTGTGGGCTTCGAGCGCCGTCCGCTCCGCGTACCCGACCAGATCCCGGAACTTGTCGCCTGTCAGGGACTTGAGCTCGTTGCGCAGGGCCCCAGCCGCTGCGCCCAGGCCGGTCTCTAGATCCGCGAGCACAGACAGCGCAACAGATGACTTGGTCATGTAGATGACATTGCCAAAGTAGGTTTCGGTGATGTTGAGGTGCCGGCGGCAGTCCACGGGCTGCGCGACGTAGGTGGTTGCGTCCGCATCGAGGATGCCCGCGCGATGCCTTGCGACCATGATGCTGCGCCAGATGAAGGCGGATATGGCGTCGTTGGTGGAAAACCAGTCTTCCGGGCCCTGGGAGGTGGCGGAGAGCGCGTTTTTGAGCTCGGCAAGGGCCGTGGCGCTGATGCGGAAGGTGTGGCAGGAATTCGCCACATTGTGAATCTGTGCATGGGCGTTGGCCGGCGAAGATGTCCACGCGGCGTGGCTCTCGATGGCGCCGGGAATCCCCTTGCCCGACACGAAGGCTGTCCGGTCGGAGCGGTACACCTCGGTTCTCTGCTGAAGAGGATGACCGGTCTCGCCGGACTGAGCCTTGCGGAGCTCTTCGGCGAAGATCTTGATAATCTCGGTCACCCCGCGGCCGTCGGCAGCATTGTGGATGATGGAAACGACGAGGAGCAGGCCCCCCCGGATGAAGTTGGCCTGGAAGCGGCAGACATCGACCCGCTCAGCGTTAAAGTATCCGACCTCTGGGAGGGGACAGAGCTGCTCGGTGTTCAGGAGATGTTGCGAGAAGTTGGCCTCGGCCAGGTCTGCAAAGCTGAGCTCATCCGACAGGTCCTTGACGATAAGGCGGGCGGCGCCTTCGGGGACGATGTTGCGAAGCCAGGGGCGTCCTCCTTGGTCTGCCGAGAATGGAACAACAGAACCTGCCAGCACGGGGAAGCGCTGGACGGTGTGGTGGAAGGCGATGTGGAGGTAATCGGTCAACTGCTCTCTGTCGGTGTTGTCGGGGAGGGAAAAGCAGAGGATGCGCTTCGAGTGTGTCGGAGGCAGTATCCTGTCCCAGTGAGAGATCTTCACGTCAAAGGGAGGACACTCAACAGTAAACGTTTGTTCCATTGCAACAAAACTGAAGATTGGCCAAGGTGTGGATGTATATTACAGGTGGAGTCGCGCACTCAAGGTGTGTCCCTGCAGAGCTGAGGGGTCTGCTCATTTATTCCCTCTCGTGTCCAGCATTCAGTCGCTGAGATATCTCCGGCTGGATCACCCAGCCCATGCATGCATCTCGATCCTTGGTACCAAGGTCAATCCATCCACATGGAACATGTAGAGCAGGTATTGGATCATGAACTGCCGAAGTCCATACGATGACGAGCTAGAAGGTGGCTGACCCTTGTCGGGCACTTCATCGGCACTTAATTCGCCGTCGGCTCCTTGTTATCTTCCATCCTCTTCTTCGTTCGCCGGATTCAATGGTTTGTCCAGCACTCACTGCAGCCACTCGGGTAATATCGAATCCCTGCAGCGCGTGGAGGCACCGGGTCCTATTGAGCACAAAAACGTGGAAGGATTCATCTGCCTGCAAAGTATCATTCTTGAAGTGTGAAACACAAGCTTTTTGTGAAATATTACATGAACGACCCCGATCTTTGGGGCAGTCCGTCAGTACAGGGCTACGTTCTAGCCAACCCAAGTGGAACAATATCGATCCCTAACCCGACCAGATGAGGCTGGATAAGTGGAGAAGAATACACCAGGTACAGAGGAGATAAGCACTGCACCAGACCTAGTCTCCAGTCCAAAGGCTTGACATGTGGCAGGTTAAGGGTTGCATTGGCCGCCCTGCAGCATCATGATTCATGATACAAGTGATGGCACCACAGGCACCAATTAGATACTACGGCCATCCAACTGGCTTTACAGTTAATTGTATGATCATGATTGGTTGAGCAAGACGAGATTGCCCTGATAATCCACGTAATACAACTAGTAAGCCACTATAGACCCTTTGCACTGCCAAGCTTGCATTAGAAGTTGTAGTTAGAGATAATAATAATAGGTTTCTCTGATTTTCACGGCCCGCCCCTAGTAAGACATTTGAAAAGCAAATTCAGATGATCACCAGTCGCGTACTCTGTGAATATATATAATGACTTGTAAGTCAGCTTTTGGGTAGACTGCCATCTAAATTACTACGCCTAGGAGAACACGCTGACCAAGGAGAGCCCCAACATCCCTGTCGCGGACGTCCTCGCCGCTGGTTCCACGGGACTATCGCGTGCGTTCCCTCGCAAGGAGGATCTCGATGCGGTGACGCATGCGTACATGAACGGCATCAAGGCCGGATGGATCTGGTGTATTGCGCTGGCGGGGTTGGCATTCTTGGTCTCCTTTGCCGCCGAGTGGAAGAGTGTGCGGCCCGAAGATGTGAAGAAGAGACGCGAGCAAAAAGCGGCGGCTGCGTCTGCGAGTCCTTGAGTGTGCGTATAGTCATATTGTGGATGAACTCTTGCAATAGTGCCTGTGAATATAGCCAGACTGTCAGTAGCTCAGATAGACCATTAACTACAAGCTCCTTGCTTTATGTAGAATTGGGTCTCGAACATTTGGGAGGCAATTTTCCCAGTCAACAAGTCAAGGATGAAGCACCGGGATTGTACCAGTGGCCATACAGTTTGTTATAGATGAAACCTTGACGGTTCTTACATCACTGCAAGACATGCTGGGTCCTATAAGCTGTAGATCCTGCACAAATCTTGATATCACGCACGCCTCCACCAATAGTCTGATGGGCCCGACATGAAGTTCAACTTAGCTATCTGCATGCTTATCAGTTCGGACTTGAATATACAGTGGCAATTGCCTCCGACGAAATGAAGAATGTAAATCAAATCCAATCAGACGCCGTTGGTAAACCCATTGCCTCCCGCTTCTGTGTCGATTCTCATCGAATCCATCAACCCACAAACCTCAAACAGCTTCTTGGGCCCCAGCCCCTCAGGGATGCCCGTGACTCCCTCGTTCTTCAGCCGCTCCAAGGCAGCCTTGATCCCCAGATACGCAGGCGCCAACGACGCAAACGAGAAGATCATAATCCGGAACCCCATCTCCTTGGCCTCCTTGGTCGTAATCACCGGACCGGCCCCGTTCTCAACCATGTTGAGCAGCAATGGCCACGGGGCCAAATCCTGGACCGCCTGGCGCGCCATCTCCTTCGAGGTGAATCCCTCCAGCAATCCTACATCCGCGCCAATGTCGCGCGCCGCCTTGAGACGCCGGATGCACTCGTCGTAGCCGTGCTGCTGCAGCGCGTCGGTGCGGGCAATCAGCACGATATCCGAGCGGAGGCGGTCCTTGGTTTGCTTTGCGGCGCGGACCCGCGTGAGGTACTTGTCCAAGGAGACGACCTTTTTGCCTGCGAGATGGCCGCATTGCTTGTTTTGGATTTGGTCTTCGATGTGGAACCCGGCTACGCCGGCTTGGATGTATTGTTGGATGGATTTGGCCACCATAAGGGGGCCTATCGGAGTCAGCGAGAAGGCTGAAGAGATCTAGGGAATACATACCTCCGTATCCAGTATCTATGTCGGCAATTAGAGGAGGACCAAATGGGTCCAGGTTAGTAATCATCTCCGCATTGGTTCTCATGTTGTAGAGCTGGGCCAGTCTGAGATCTGCCATGCTGAGTCTCGAGGCCGTTGTTCCCGCACCGGTCTACAAGGTCAGCGTTTGCCCTGAAGGTAATGTGGAAGATTGGTAAAGACTGTGATCTGGTCTGACCAGATCCACCCTTTTATAACCTCACTTCTGTCGCAATCCCCTCCTCGGCGCAATGTCTCTCCGTCGGATGAGTGTCCGTCGTCGAAAATGTCTCTTTATCGTAGCAGAGATTGCCGGATGATACCCTCCATGTCGACCTGTAGCTAGCATCTCGGCCATATCGTCCCATATCCATTGCGCCTACTATCTATATTAGCTTCTCTTGGCTGCTGACGACACAGGCGCGCCCAGAATGCAGGCGTGATTGTGGATGCTTCATCGATGCCCTTATCGATCCAGTGGCAGGCACAACGCGTCTGACGAGGAAATTCACAACAAAATTGGCCTCCGGACGGAGCGACATCCAGCCAACGAGGATTGCTCTTTGTAGAAGACCCCTGCTCACGACATCCTTGTAACTAGCGTGATACAACATAGCCACAAACTTCGCAGGCCAGGTGGAATGCCGTGCGTCTGCATTCCACGCTCTGATAGGGGGGAAAAGTCCGTGAAGAAGTTGGTCTGCAACCTGGATATGCAATTCACGCTCTTGGTCTCGTCAAAAGGTGGCGTTTTTTGGATTTCGGACCGTGTAAATCATCCACGATGAGTCCATGATCTACAGCTTCCTGCTGGGCATATCCCGAGAAATGTACAGTCTCCCAAAGAGGGTAGTCACAGTATCACACTGCTAGCCAAGCGCTTTGGAGATTTTAAAAGTGTGACTGGGTAGTAACAGAGGTCGAACATGCTGGATCTTGTGGAACACAACCCCTGGCTCATGGTCACCGAGCCATGAATCGGTGGAATGCAGGCCGTGTCTCTTCAGCGTTCAATGTAGTTTCTGACCTCTCCAGTCACCGAATCACTCCGAGTTCGACTCTACTCTGACGCACAATTTCCTCCGTCTTCGCCTAGCCAAGTGGCTTGGCACTAGGGATGGAGTCTCGGCGCCATCGTCACCCCGCTCCTTGAGCAGCTCGAATGGTGGAAAGAAGAGTTATTATCTGAAAATCGTGCCGGAATCCGAAATGAACGTACTGATTAGCGGGGACCGTCTGGTCCTGTTTGCTATCGGGTAAATCTGTGCTAATCTCGCTGCATAATGCTGCATATAGTGAGGGTCTCAATCTAACTCGGGGAGAATATCTCGCGTCGATACGACGGGAATTGGAATTGTCTACTTTGAGGATATCTCACGGTCTCCCAGTTTCTCGCTGCGCTGCAATTTCGTTCCTCTCTCCTCTTTGATCAAGGATCGCCACAATGTCCACCTCGTCGGACCCCAAGAAGACCATTGCTGGTTTCTTCAAAGCAGACATCAACTCCAGACACGCAGAGGTGCTCCTGTATGCTTGCTGTCTGAGCTCTGGTCTTGTGGACAGCACGCTCTACAATGGTAGGTATTCTGTTATACCTCTTCTGGTGCAGCTACTGATTGGGCAGCCTACAACACATTCGTCTCAATGCAAACGGGTAAGTCGACCAGAACCATGTCACGAACGCGGCTCATCCTTAAGGAAACACCATTTTCGTCGGCCTGGGCGCCTCAAATCAGAATCTGAAGCCATACGGCTGGGCCCGCTCTCTCACCTCGATCGGATGCTTCGTCATCGGCTGCTTTCTCTTCGCCCGGCTGAACCGTCTTCTCGGACCGAAACGCAGAGGAACGTTGGTCCTCTCTTTCTTTCTACAGGTCGCTACTGTGCTGTGGCTGGTTGCTGGATTAAAGCTGATGATTTCTGTTTCTTGGATATTCTGGAGAGAGAAGGAGGGGGAAAATGTAGTATAACTCTCCTATTAACTACAATGATGCAACCTGACAGCATAAATCTTAAATCTACGCAACCCAGATATTCTGCTCCTCCCCATATCCATACGCAATAAACGAGTCCCGGAAATACTTCTCCAGCACCACCTGCTCATACGATTTATCGTCCACGCAGTAGTCACCCCCCGTAGGCCCGATATGCGCACAGTGTATATCCGGCCGGTACTTGACCATATGCTCATGCACCTCACGACAGAGCAAGGTGTCCCGGCCCAGCTCGAACGCTTGTCCGAACCGCGTCTTGGTCGTCAGGAAATCCATGCAGGCGTCTTTACTCTCGTATTGCTGGTCCGCCCCCTTGCAGTAGTCCTCGTGTGTCTGGCAGATTGTGCTTGCTAGCTGCTGCGTAAGCGCTGCCTGCACTACGGCCGGGTCCGTGGTATTCATCCTCGCGGCTTGCGCTTTGAGCAGCGCGTCGAGCAGGAACCCGAACCACCGGAATGTGGCGTCGTACTGCACGATCTTCTTCTGCGCGTCCCATTCGATCCAGGTGTCGATAGTTACGGGGATGACGATTCCGAAGGAGGTCGCGTTGAAGGTGACGACTGTCGTGGCCGAGGCGATGTTGTCGTTGGCTGTGAACTGGGTGATGCTGTATGCGATGGGGACGCCCACGAGACTAAGGTGTTCTGGCTCAGAGAAAAGTCCAAAGATATATTCGTTGTTGAGCTCGCGGCCGTCAAAGGTGCGTGTGATGTCCACTCGACCTTGGACCTGAACCAATATGTCAGTGTGGGTCGTGATTCATGGGTGATCAGTAAGGAATACATCTTCGGCAAAGACAGAGTCATCCGTGGCGTTGATCTGTGCTAGGTTCGCCGGGTAGAGAAAGGTATCCCAGAAACTTCTCTCCAGAGACCAGAGGTCGTCAAAGGAGTACCTGGGGTTGTCGTCGGCATGATGATCAGGACTCGACGCCGTCGCCAGGCCCAATAGGCAGCAAGCGGCAAAGAAGGCACCTCCAATCGTGTGTGAATACATCGTTTGAGACTAATCTCTGGTTTGGTTTGAGGACACCTTCCCGGCCGCAATTTATACATTCCTTCTGATTTATGCTGACAGGTCACGGAATATCCCTGGAATGCAGGCATCAACACGCGTTGTTGGCGAGAATGTTGACCGAAATAACCTATTATTGAAATCAGCTGAATCACATCTCAAACCAGCAGACATCAGCAATTCAACCAATCACCGCAAGAGAAAGCAAAGGAAATGGTTCCTGGCTCCAGTTAGCAATGTGAGGCCCCTTATGATCGACGTCCATGGCTGGCTCTACCGGACCATTCCTTTCACACCTAAAGAGGAGCCTGGTATCCCTTGCAGAGATCGCATCCTACTTCCTGTTCATGTCGAGGCTCACCCGGGGTTGGGTCCAGCTGCTCCGATCTGCACTCTCATGTCTATCATATGCAGCCAGGAACATGGCTTGTGTCATTTGCAGGTGATCCTGACGCAGGTGGTACGCCACCGCATATGATGATCGATCTGATGAGATGAGACATCCGAAAGGCTGCATCACTAGCTTGGATTGCTTTTGCCGCTGCTGATCATTGAGTGTGATGATGTGATCCCTGTGAACTTGTTGGAAAGCGGCTTCATCCGGCGGGACTTTGGCGACTCAAGTCTGAGACAGTGTGGCGTGTCTTACTATTTGACCGACGAAGGACATTACCAGCTGTTTTTGACGGATTTATTGCACGAAAAGGATGAGTCAATGACCATCGAAAGTAGAGAGATCAAATGGATGATACGCCAAATTCCTGGTGATTGGAGAGGTGCCGTATTATTTACCAGTCCATATACAACCGGCAGCCCAAGAACGAATCGGGAAAATTTTCTGATGATGAATACGACCAGATCTAAGTGGGAATTACTTCGTGACCATAAAGGTATCGAGAGAATCGGATACTCCTTGTAACGATGCTACTCGTTCGGGATTGATGACTATGTACAGTGGTATAAGACACCTTGCGCAAAAGAAGGCTTTCTCATTCACAAATGTGAGAGTCGCCTAGAAAAAAGACCCCATCAAAGCAGAAGCAACAGCCTGTGTCGTGAGATTATGGATTGCAATGCCCGGGTGGTAGTCATTAAACCACAGACAGGTGGTGCCGTCGCTGTTATAGCAGGTGGCATTGGCCGCCCCATATGCCGTGGGATTATCCAATACCTTATTGAACGGGGCCTGCGTATCCACCACTGTTGCTGTGACACCGCTGTTCTTGGACTTGAAGTTAGCGAGATATGTCGCGATCAGGTTGTTGTACTTTGCGATCACTGCTGCTTCTGCGGTAGTGGCACCAGTGCCCTGGGAAAGCATGAGTGGGGAGCGGTTGATTGCTGTGCATTATTAGAATCCATCGGTGGAATCAACAGAATTAAGACTTACGAGGAACGCCGAGGAGCACGTAGTTCCGCACTCCAGCGTTGTAGAGGATTTGCAGCTGCCCAAAGTAGCTATCCATGATCTCGGTGAGAAGTTCGTCAATATTGGACAGCCAGTACGAGTTGCCGACGTCGTTTACGCCCATCCAGACGCCAACGAGGGTATCCTTGCTGGTCCACGCCGCATAGGAGGGCTTCGAGGCAATGCTGTTGGTGAACTCGGTGACCTGGTCTATGAAGCTAAGGACGGTAGAGGTAAATGGAGCGACAAGGCTGGCGTTGGTCGTCGCTCCACCGTAGGCAAAGTTGTATGAGAGAGTCAGGGACGTGTTGTATTTCGAGATGAGGAAACCGATCCAATTCAAGCCTCCACTGGTCGTCCATCCCGGCATAGTGGGATTCCCGAGGGGATTCGAGGCGGAGGGCTTGGTGCTGTTGATGTCGAATCCTGTCTGCGAATAGGAGTCGCCACTAGCTGGATTAGTTGAAGACGTCTGCTATGAAGCTGAGCGCAACTCACAAAGTGATAAAATACTTTAACCCGGTGGGTGTGGCGGTGGTAGTGGCGGTGGTAGTTGTTGTGCTCGTTGTGGTAGTCGGTGTAGTGCTTGTTCCAGGGACGCATTGATCTAAGTGTTGTCGATTAGAAGTGATATATCTTCAATAGTATGATTGCAACAGACGTACAGTACCAAGAGTTCCAAGCTGTACAGACAGCTCCAGAGACGCACGAGGTAGGGCCCGAGTAGCCCTGGCCACCACACTGAGCGTATAATGATGCTTGGGCATTGGCACCAAGTACCAGAGCCAGGGAGGCAGTCACTGATACGATTGATGTACCCAGCATTATGGAAGGCAAATAACGAGCACAATACCGGAAGATGAGAGGAAATTTATACGGTGGTCGTCGTCCAGACAATGCATCCTGACGAGACGATCCTCGAAATATATAGAATTGGACATCTCTGCATCAAAAGCCACTGAAGAAGACTCATTGGTGGAAAGACACTTCGCGTCCAATATCTGAGCCTTCAGAATTGCGGTCTTCATCGACATCCGTGATCAAAAGGGTAACGGGCAATCAAATCTCGGCCAGTTCCCCCGACAAGCCGGAACGGGGTCATTCTCATCGTTTTAACCGTCCAACTGGCCAAATTATTGGCTGAATGTTTCCATCTGGGGACGAGCTTAGCTTCCTTGATTTCTTCAGCCATTTCCCCGCAATTTGGTCTCGCTACCTGTGACGAATGCGGAGGCTGATTCGGAGACATGGATAGCTCATGTCATGGCATAAGATTTTCGTGGTAATACCCGAATCACGCATGAATCACCTCTATGAGTTATTGTTGAACAGAATGACAGGCCCTAAACCATTAAAAGGGAATTCTATTTATACAACACTCTCGTGTCTGCAGTGGCTGCCTTTGTGTTGGAAGGTCCAAGGATGGAGATTGTTACTATATATACCTAGATGTACCCTGTATTTCTTATAACTGAAGCTATGGCATGGGCTCTAGGGAGGGCGGGAGTGGTAGGATGTAACAAAAGTCAATTATGTAGGCATAGTCTACTGTACTCACCTCATTTGGCTGGACGGGTATGAATGCTACTACTACTACCCAACTCATTCTCTAAGCAACCCAGATACAAATGACTAGGTGCAGCCGCTGGCTGATCTGCAATGGTGGGATCCTATGACAGAACATGTAGAGGGACACAGTCCAGCAGGTGTTGCTAAAAGCCCATGGCAACATTAGCATCTGTTCAACCTCGCTGGTTTAGGTTGTGTTTTGTCAAGGATGATTTCAAAAGGAGGATATTGCAGCATCAAGGATTATCTTTTACCTCAGCTCTATCTGTAGATCGTGCTGTAGACCAATTTGCGGCGAATGATGTATCTAATAGCTGACCTGTTCGATGCAAGAAGGCCAGGTTTTTCAGAGATATCCTTGAATTCCAGACACCCTTGCGTCCTCAGTGGCTCCGTACAATTATCTAGAGAGGGACCTTGTAGTTGCAAATTGGCCTTCCTGTTGATTGATGGACTCTATATTCGCATCGCCTGAAGCATCATCTCTCTGTCTTTTCAAAGCCCATCTTACGCAACTGCCTCTTTCCTTAGCGTTACTGGCAAATACTCTTTGCTGTTTCTACTCATCGTATATAGATTAACCTATATTCCGATTGGCTCTCTTTTGCCTATATCCCGCTACCTTATCCTTATAACGACGCCCCTGGCATATGCTCACCAATGTCTGCTCCGGGGCAGTCTTTACTGGTCATGGGGAACGGTAGCTTTCAGTCGTTTGCTCCATTTGCATTCCGTGGTGTCGGAGATTACTATCAAACGTATTAACATGTATCGAGCCTCTGCATGCGCCAGGAAGGTGCCGAATATTGAATGACTGAATGGATGTTGACTGAATAAAATGAAGTCCTCGTGGTATTGGAAACCCCCTTTTCTCTAAGTTCCGGGTCAGTGGAGAATATGGGACGGAACGGGCCATACTGTTATAGATCCCGTTTACCGAAGATAGTAATTCAAATCGCCCTTGAAATAGATCATTTTCAGGTAGCGTTCGCTAAACAGATTGTTGCGTCTAGGACTGGTTGGTAGACAGCATGTCTCTTGCTGACCTGCTCGTTCAGCCTCGTTGGACTCCCCTCTTTCCAGCGGTTAATGCGGCCAACTGGTTGGCGAGCGTTCGATGACAAGGCTGGCTTATGTTTACCTCAATCTTGATTCGAAGACTGCACGAGTTGCCCTTCTCATAACAGCTCCTGACGGTTAATCCCTCTGAAGGACATTTTTAACAGACTGCTAACCTAAGTATCGTGTTTACTGGAGCTGTTCTGGTTATTGTCTTTAAGCAGCTTGAAACGCGCCGGGACGGATATACCATCGCGATTATTTGCGCGTGCTTGTTCTTCTAAAAAGAATATATTAAAGGAGAATTGCGAGATCTTACTAAAAATTGGTCTGACGCAGCTGCACTCTGCCACTTGTGAGGTAAATGGTTAGTACATTCCAATTTTCACCAGGTGACTGACCCCACTTCTCTTCTCTTTCTTGCCTCTCACCTGCCTTTCTCCCACTTCATCAAGGCCTCACCCAAACCAGGTCAGGAGCAAGGTACAACCTGATGACAAGAATGGAAAACGATGGGGGGAAAATGGAAGGGAACCGAGAATCCTTGAAGCGAAGCAGTGCGCTCTCCTTCCCTTCTCCTTCCCTTCCACTAACTCAAAGGGACCGCACAATCTCGAAGAAGTGTGAGCCATACTGACAATTCTTTCATGGCCAGGAGCGGACTTCAAAGGCCATGAGTCGACGGATGATGGCTCTGAATATAATGGATTTGACGACTCCGAGGAAGAAGAATGGTGGAGGGAAGATGAGAGCGAGGATTTGGATTGTGAACAAGACATTGAAGAGCATGAGTATACCATCTCCGGTGACACGGCACGAACGGTGAAGATTCGGCTCTTCTTGACCGATGACGGAATGGACCAGTCCAGGTGGATGAAAAACTTTGTCGCCAAATGCACTTGCAATGGTGCCGCTGTCGCGACTGCTCTAGCCCGGTATATTCAGCGAGAGGGAATGCGCTCTGAATTCTGGGAAAGGATGGAAGAGGTTAGCTCGGACATGTGCGGTGTGGCCTTCCAAGTCTTTGATCGATATGGAACAGTCAAGACCAAGTATAAGGGTCATCCGGTGCAAAAAGGGACTGGTGTATGGGGAAACGAGCTCGACTATGGCCCTCTTTTCCTAATTGAGGAACTTCATGTTGGAGCGCTCGAACTATGTCGGAAAGGGCTGGGGCAGAAAATGGTGTCCTTACTATTGAACAAAGCCAAACAGTTCCGCCTTGAGGAGAAGGGAGATGGCAAGAACGCAGATCTTTTCTACGGTTCCAGGGAGGCCTTTGAGCGAGCATGGACTCTACATGCCCTGGTAAGTCCTGGAATACTAACAGCCGACATCGAATCGCAGTTAGTAGGCAGGTCCGCAGAAGAACGCTTGGCGATACGGGCTCGAGCGCAATTCGGCGCCATCCTCTTTTGGCGAGCATGCGGTTTTCGCCGAATCGGAGCATCTCACTGTTTTGCGTTTTCGTTCGATTCCCAGCATCAGTCTCGCACCCTTGCGGCGGCTTCTGATTTCGACCCGCGTAGAGACGATGCCGAAGATCTAGAGGACGAAGAACTCTACGAGACAGCTCCTTTCACTGAGGTGGAGAAACTGAAGATGGAAAGACTGCGCGACGCGTTGCCGCTGCATCATGCAGCTCTCACTCTGGCGGACGATGAGCTCAAAGCATTTTTCATGATTCATGCCGACGACCAAATTGGCTGGGATCGAGTGACCAACTCTGAAGCCACGCTCCTGCATCTAACAGCTTGCGAGCTCAAGCCCCTGAGTACTCGGTGGCTACTTGAGAATGTCCACCACGCTGACTCGTGGAAGACGGCTCGTGATATTGACGGGTTCACCCCGCTTGAATCATTGCAGGAGAAGTTGGAGACCATGCGAACACAAAAGGAAGTTGGAATATCAATGGTCTTGAACCTGTCAGACCATTTTAGAGGGTACCCCGACACCGCACTGTCCTGTCTCTCCTTACTGTCTGAGCGGGATACTTTAGGGCTTAATGACGAATGCCTCCGATACGGGTGTACATGCGGAGAGTGCCTGGAAGGGTTTCTATCCGCGCGGATGAGGAGCTCTTTGGTCTTTCAGGGGGAGACTAAGTACGACCTTATTCGGGACGATATTGATGATGGTGAGTTTTGGATAGAGGACAACCATGACATCCTCGTGCACCTCGATCCTGATGTGCGAACGAACCTCGAAACCAACAAGTCACTTCGACGAGGCTTTGTGAATATGTTCCGAATCGCCGTGGAGTGTCTCAAGGCGAACAGAGTTCCCACCGCAGAAAATCTCGAGTGGTGCTGTAACAACCGGAGCGAGTGGCCACCGCATACCAAGAACTACCTGCGACGCGCTGGGACGCAGATGGGCTGTCGGGCAGTGCTTCGGTACATGTTCGACGCTGCTAAGGAAGAGGATGAGAAAGCAGGCAATGGAGAGTGTCAACTTATACTGAAGGAGGAATGGTCCGACCTACCAACATGCAGAAACGATCATGAGTTTGAATTCGTTGCCAGGGCTTGTGGTTACGGTGGGGATGATTTCTGGTAGATCGAATAGTTTCTATCACATATAAAAGCAGCAACATATTCGGGTTTTACACTTCTGACCATGATAAAATGGTGGCTTAAATACAGCTACGGCTGACAGAGTAGCCAAGAGCCCGACAGGATGAGGTTTGCTGTTTGTAGGATAGTCACCACCAGCTACAGAACATCTTCCTCCTTTATCTGTCAATAAGAGCAAATTCAAAGACATATAATCTATATAATCTAGAATAGAACGAGTCAGTTTGTTGGACAGTGCTTGCAAAGTGCAGAATAGCAGAGGCATAATCCCTCAGGCTAGATAAATGAGTGGTCTCTTCCATAGGCACATTCATTGCGAAATTAGAAGAGTGGAATACCCCCGTGGTTATTAGCTCTGTAGTAAGCCAAACAAACGACTTCTGTGGCGCATATGGTGGCTGCGGTGCCTGGCATGGCGCGGTAGAACAGTGAATACTGCATTTCTTGCAAGCAGACTGATAGGTAGATACTAACTTACCACATAGGAGGCGGCTCTTAGCGTAGCGGTACCTTTTTTTCATGTGCATAGCTCTGAAAGGAATATGTCTCATATAAGATATAAGCATCAACGACTCAGACTGAGATGACCACCTGCTCCTCCCCAGATTTACCGGAAAACACCGGCCCTACAACGTCAGATTTGAATCAGGGAGTGAAGTTTACCACTTCCCCAGAATGCCAAACGCACGCATTATCGATATCGATGTCCTACATTGGAACGCTTCGACCGTCTATGTCCGCTGTCCGTTCTGCCTGCGAGTGCACCAACACGGCTTTGTAGATTACAAACCTGGTCTTCGACTTTCCCACTGCGAGAAGCGAGCTGCGTCCTACAGATTTCACTTCCCGATCGACCGGCAAAACCGGACAAGTCGCCTATGAGATCGACAAGCGTAACTCTCGTTCGTCAACGCCTGTCAAATGGCGGACCTGAAGACGCTCCCGACGACGACGAGCGAAGGGGGATTAGCCAAGCGAAAGGAGAACTCGGAGGTCTTGACTCATATCCCAAAATTAGGAGATGTGATTGATTTGGACAAAGTTATTCTGCACGGACCAAACGGGGAGATGTATGGTTGACTGCTCCCACTGTCACAGAAGCCATCACCAATCGCTTACAAGAGTGCTTTTATTCGGGTCAGTGCACCGTCAGAGGAGATCTGCGAAGACATGTCAGATGTTCTGGGATCGCCTGAACGAGATATGTAGTTTGTCTATTGTGCCGTGGAACGCATAGTCTGAATCTAGCTAATCTAGCAGGCTTCAAGAATTTACTTCACTTACTGCATTACTGTTTGGCCTATTATCAGTTTCGTTCATGAAATGAAATGTGCAATTCCAGGCGTAGCGTGCCGTCATGCTTGAGGTGATCTGATGGCACTTGACATCGCCTGCCAGCCTTGGGGAAATCGTGTTCCGCAACGCATAGAGTTGAGTAATCGGAGTATGGATGGACTGATTCATGCAGAGCTGGAGTCAGGCTGGATATACGAGCTCCTGTAGGCAATCTGAATCCTGACCAATCCTAGACGTGTTGGATCTGCAGGTAAAGACTTGGCAATTGTCCCGTATCGAATGGCTTGGTGGCGATTCTGCATGTTTTAAATGTGAGATTTTAGCTGCTTGCCAATCACACTGCTACATATGTCTCAGGTGGATCAAGATCACGGTGACATCGCGATTCAGAACCCTGAAGAATAGCGGGGTGTGAGTGTATAAAAGGCTGTCTTCCTCTGAGGGGAATTCCAGTGACCAAGCAGCTGATAATCAGTAATCATGCTCTGGACTCTGCTGCTTGCTGTCCTTCAGGCACACGTTGGTATGTATGCTCATACACCAGGATGATATAGTTCTGACAGCTTCAGCCTTGGGTCTGGCTGTCACAGCCAGCTCCATCACGATCCGTCCCAGTCCATCGCCCACCAGCGAGCCACCGTCATCGTCGACCAGTGGCCAATGGCTGAATATCTCCAACACGTCGATCTTCTGGCCCACATACACCGACTACTTCTATGGGCCAACAACGGGCTCTGAAGCACCTGTTGTGACCTGCAATGCTAAGTGGGTTGAATACTATGGCCGGTCCACCGGACTTCGCTCGCTGGGACCAACTGCCACGAGTATCTCCTATGACCCATATCCAACAAGCGAAGGGGCCTGCAGAACCTCCTCATCCCTGGAAAACTACTCGGATACTCATACTGGACCGGTGACAACCCTTTGCGACGGCATTCCACGCGCGTTGGGTCCTCGCGAGACTGTGACATCGTACTATCCCGGCACAGGACCCTGCAGCTCTTACACCACCACCTTTTCAAATACAATTGAGCTCTACCGGGAGCCCCCAGCGCCGGACTGCACCCTCAACACGCAAGAATGCATTCCGGTCTGGTCAACGTATAGTGAACTGTCCACATCATACTACGACACTGTCACCACCGTCACTCCAGGCGACACCAAGAGCCCCATCCCACCCTATAGCTGTCCCTCAACGACGCGGTCCTACCCCGAAGACCCCTGCACAAACTGCCACTTCCTTCCCGGCACAGCGACTGTCTTCTACTGGCCGGTGACCACCGCCGGTGGCGATCTATGTCTGCAAAACGGCACCACCATCCCTGCTACCCCTACCGGATCCGGCCCCAATACCGCCGTAGTCAACGGCCAGACCCTCGTCTCCCCAAGCATCTACGTCTCGTTTACCTCAATCTACGCCTGGAGTAACCGGCGCGCCCACCCGGGAAGCCAATGCGGAAACACGCACACCGACACCATCATCGCCGTGGATCCCATCAGCGTGTCTTCGGTCCGCAACCACCGCAACGCAAAGTACCCCACCATCGGGACTGCGTATCCGTTCAATTTCGCCGAGTTCATGCCCCAGGAAGTGGGCAATTATACCATGCCGTTGATTCCCTGGCCGCAGTACCGGGGAGGATCCCAGTGTCCGCTGTACGATCCTTCCTGCACGATGATCCGGGACGATTACATGCCTTTCTTGGATCTTCCCGAGGCGGTCCGCCAGATTGATGCGCTGTGGACGGCGTGTAATGCGCACTGGTATATCCCGCCTGTCACGCTTGTGCCTTTGACTGGGGACGTGAAGATCCAACCTACGCCCACGGCTGAGGCGAATGTCATGGCTGCTATTGCGGTGCCGGAGTCGGTGGCGGCTGTGCCTACGCCTGAAGCGACAGGGTGGTAGTCATACGAATTAGGAGAGCAGGGAAAAGCCGCGAAACAACAAATCTGCCAACGATGTAGTGAGTGAAGGAATGCATGAAATTATGACTAGTCAATCCAACCAACTACTGGGTCATCTTTATCGCCTCGTTCCTCGTCGGCCACATTAAGCAGTAGGGCGATGAGTCCGTAGTCAGTTCCAAAGTAAATAAGTTGCCGCATCTAGAAAACACTTCCGCTCATTATATCCTCCCTCTTGCCCAGGTAAAACAATGGGATGTGTTCGATCGGGGCCGGCACAGTCACCGTCTGTCCACCAGCATATGTCCGATTTGTCCACCAGTACGTCCATGTCTTCGTCTCATTCTGACCCGTCTGCGGCAAATACACCTCCCACTCGGTTGCATTGGGCAACGTGACTGGGGTGACAAGCAGCCTCGGACCAAACATGTACTGCTGCGTGGTGGCATTGACATTCTCCCGCGTCATCTTCGCGATCTGCGGATCTCTCCGCTCGAAGTCCATATACAGCGTCCTCATAATTGCCCGACCCGTTTGGTGATACTGCTCGAATACAGCCTGGATATACGCCTTGAGCTGATACCGCAGCTGGATGTACGAGACAATGATGGACGTGTTCTCCTCGCCGTACGACCACGGTTCGTTGTTGCATGTGTACGCATTCTGCACATTGCACTTCCTCGACCCGTGTGTTCGCATAAACGGGAGGAAGGTCGCCCACTGGAACCACCGCACGTACAGCTCGCGGTACTCAAGCGTGTCGATGTTCGCACTCCACGCCACCGTCGGGTCAGCCTGGAACCCTCCCGCGTCCATCGTCCACCATCCCCACCCAGTCGCGGCCGCGGAGAGCCCCCGGGTTCCCACCCCAGCCGGAAGTGCGGACGACCATCTTGCCATTTCGGATAGCCACCGTCCGATTGCCATTGAAGGCAGTGTCAAAGTCCAAGCCATGGGCTTTTCCGTCCTCGAAACCCTCGAGAGGCGGGTCGTAGATGAAGCTGATCTCGTTGCCAGTGGGCGGGCGATAGGGCCAGGCGCGAACGCGAAACCCGTCGTAGCCGAATGGTTGGACGAGCACGGTCTCAAAGCCATGTTGCATGCGGAAACCGGTCGAGTTGGGCATCACATAGTCCGTCTCGCGGGTCTGTATGGGGTTCGCCCATACCGTGGACACGGCACATATGCCGATCAGCCAGCGATTGATAGACGACATCATTGTTGTTGGCCATTGTTAGGTCCTGGATCTCGCAGTCAAATGCAAGGTATTTAAAATGCCCGCTGAATTTATCCGTCCAGAGTGAAATAGGCTGATATTGATCTTGTGTGACATCAGTTGCTAGGGTGTATGCACTGATCGACATCGTTGTCCCCATCGGTAGGCTTCGGGCGGAAGGCCGAGGGGGAAATCATTCAGTCAATCCCGCGAACTGAGGAATATGGGTGCGGGGTGATTCCTGCGATGGATTATCACTTCGCTTTTCGGTGTCGATGGTTATGCTCGGACTGTGATGTTTCGGCAGAAATGGATTACCTTGGAACTGTTCTAATTCTGCTATCAATGAGTGGTTTAATGCATTGAGATCATTCAGATAGCACGTCCAAAGTTACTTCTTTCATCTCATACCTCGACTGATGGTAGAAGTCATGAAATGCAAGGCTTTGGTGATATCACTGATATGTACTTCCACAATATCCCACAGTGAGGGGGGGTGGGTCTTTGTATATCCGGTCCACTGCGGTCTGATGGCATGCAATCTATAGCCTAATATCATTGAATCGCAGCTATTACTGGTATGATTGTCTTTTAAATGGATCTATGTCATAAGAGCGGATTCCAGCCTATGTCGACAAGCTTTGTGGCAGAATAAGACGCAGCCACACCCGAAGTACGCACTCCTGACTTTAACTGATAAATGGTTGGTACGTGTGTAGGGTTGTCATGCAATAGCTGCCACATGATGTTCTTGAATAACTTTGCCAATAGTGAAAATACCTCCTTCGTTCATGAACGACACCTTGTCATATGTTGCTCGAGTAATCTATTGGGATTGTCCTGGGAAGATATGTGTCTGGCTGTTTCAGCGAATCCTGGAGCCCGATACAATAACAAACTAGATGTACCAGAGCTATCTGATAGCAATCTCTAAAAGTTTATTATGAAAATGCGTGACAGGTCCTCCAGAAGTTGCTGCTTCCAAGGTTGTATGGAGTACTCGAACTCCTAGGTATATTGGCGTGGAAAGGGCGCGCGGCTAGGACTGCAGCGCCTGTAAGTACGAGATACTCAGAATATTGACAGGAGGACGATACTCAATCACTTACAAGGCGCCATGTTACAAGGCGTGGTCAACGGGATGTATATTGCTTGGAAGTGATATGATAATGGCCCCGCGGAAGTGACAACCCCTCTAGTAATCTAGTTTGGGTTTAGGCATTTGTTGTTTTTACGAGAGAAGAGCTGTAATGGCCAGTAATTCCCTCCATCCAGGAAGCCTTGCGTTTGTCGTCCTCACTACGGTAACTTGATTGGGAGGTTACGGTATAGAAGCTCTTTCGCCAGACGCATCCAGCGGCGCGAACGCTACCTGTTGGAGTTAAACACACATAGGCAAACAACCACAATAACCTGTGCTGAGGCAAGTTCAAAAACTCCCCGTCAAAGCTCCATACTCCAGAAGTGAAAATTGCTATGTTTAACCAAGCTCTGGTCGCCTCAAGGGTGTCCAACCTCCGCCGCGTTAATCATAGACGGTGTCTTCTTTCCACTGATTGAAGCAGCTCCACTATCTCTTGATGGTTGTTCAGTGCAGCCCAGTCCATCGCACTTCGGTTTGTGGCATCTTTGATCCCAACATCCGCGCCCTGATTGACCAGATAGCGCACAACATCCGGTTTACCCAACTCCGCTGCTTTGTGTAAAGCAGTTCCCAAGCCCATGAAGTAGTAAAGTCTCCATGAATAATAGTGCTTCTCGTACATCTTTGAATTCAAAGGAGCACCTCTTTCGAGCAGCATAGCCAGCACCTCGATGGTATCCGTTTGACGCTCAACAGCATGGTGAAGCAGTTGCCCTTTGTGAACGTCCCCTCCACGGTCCAGAAGCAGTCTGACGGTGGAGAGCGAGGCTTGTTCTACTGCGTAGGACAATGGTGTAAGATCAATGGAACACTGCTTGTTTGGGTCGGCTCCGTGATCAAGAAGCCAAAGAGTCATCTCCTCGTCGTCAACGGCATAGCTAGGATAATACCGCAAGTAAGTAGTGAAGTTTGGAGAAGCCATAGAATGACTTACCCAAGCGCAGAAGGCCTCAATTCGCTTGTCGGTTGGTTAATATTCCATCCATGTTGCAGTAGGATGTTGAGAACTTCCTTTGATCTATGTCTTATTGCTTCTATAGCATAATCTTGGCTCACTGGCAACCCCTGCTGCAATAATTCAGCGACAACATCCTTCTGATCCTGTCTGACAGCCTGGATCATCACTGAGTCGAGATCATGTATATCCAGATTGAGAGAAGCCCAAGTGTCAAAAGTTGACTTGAATCTTGGAAAGTCGCGAGCCGCGCAGGCAGCCTCCATTTCCCGGATTATCTCCGGAGATGTTTGACGCGGAACAAGAGGCAAGCCGCTCTGGTGCTCTTCTCTGAAAGAAGTCGTAGACATGACAATAGAAAGAAGGCTGGGAACAGGAATGTCTGTAGATGGTTAACTGCGGGATTACAGCCTCAAGCTGGGCAACCGCATTCCTAAATATAGGCGGTGGCGAACTGTGGGGTGTGTCAACTCTCAGCCCCTATTTTTAGAGACATGCATAATCCTTACTGAGCCTTGCATATTTCCTCATAAACTCCCTATAAACTCCCCACATAAACTCCCCATAAACGCCCCATAAACTCCCCATAGACCATAAAACTCCCCATAAACTGCTCATGAAATCACACATCCCATGACCACTCCAGCGCTTAATGTCCGTTTCTGAGATTATTCCAATACATGTTCCAATGGGAATCTCTAAACGCCCATGATTTTCTCTTTGATTACCTGTGCACACATTCATGTATTTACATCACTGCTTGGTAGATCAGGGAGCATGAGTGGTATATCAGGCCTTTGACTAGGCGCGACAGGATTCCTTTAATATAAGTGGGCGACTATTCATAAGCATAAGGGTTATAAAAGGCAACACTACCTTCCTTTCTGTTACTCTACATACTGTTAAAAACTTTCAAAATTGACATATATAGTTTAAGAATACATCATCCTTCATATCTTTATACACAATCCTAGTTTCCAGAACATGTCCATCACACCTACGTCTGGGCTCCTTGCACAGTGGGAACGAGCACGACAAGTTGTTATTGTACCTATGGGTGGGGTCCAATTTATTGCTTTCCAACAAACGCCCGCAATTGGCACCAGGGATCTTGGATCTTGTTCAGTCGTGGTGATTGCATCAAAATATGGTGCGATTCTCGCGCATATTCCTCCCTTACCAGCACAACCCTCAGCGGACCCTTATGCCGGGGATAATAATGTCCGATCAATGATGGGACAAGTCAAGAGCCTGCACGCTCACTATAAAAGCTTGAACTATTTCCCTGAGGCCGGAACATCCATTATCTGTGCTTGGTTCAGGGGAGCTGTAGCACTGCCAGACCAACTACAAATCATGCAACAGTCCCTTCATGAGTTGGGCTACGCACCATCTGTTCGCACTTACAATGTCCCTGGTAACCGCACTCTCCCGGGACAAGGCACTGTCATCGTCATTTCAAACGCAAGTAACGGAAATCCGGTCATATATGTGGAAGATCGCGCAATTTGAATAAAGTTTGGCATCAATTGTGTACAGGAAACGGGGGTGCTGCATCATTCAGTGTGGAGGAGCAATGAGAAGACACTGCCCGAGCCTACCTGATTGAGAGACGAAAACTATGTATGTGGGATATGCAACCGATGCGTCTCACCCACCTAGGTGGTAGCTATGAGCAACATTTGGGCGTGTGTAGTTACACTTACCACAAAGTCAATAAAAATGAAAAACCCCAAGTCGGAACAATCCAAGGTCATACATTAGCTAGTTCAACTCTACATATAGAAAGCCGACGCCTCTAGTGCACCAACCTTGGGAACAAATCTAGCTATCCTACGAATACCCACGCTCTTGGTCCATCGAACCACTTGCAGGAATGGACACTTTTCTTCCTAGGCCTGTACTATGCATTCTTGGAAATGCAAGTCCTAGTGCCTTTGGTAAACAACTGTCCGGTACATCTGTGGCCCTCCACAGCAGGAAAGGTTTCTGGGAAAGAATAAGAATAAAGGAAGTGGCACTGAATTTTAAGTTCACAAAAATAACAAGCTAGATGTGCCAGAGCTATCTATAGCAATCTCTTTGTTTCAGGGAGATGAAGCCCATCAGAATACCATGTAATGAGCCTGGGTTGATTATAATAGACTAATACATAATAATTTATCTATTATTTAGTACTATTAATAGCATTATAGCAAGCTCAAATGGCCTTCATTATATGGTATTCAGATATACTTATAATATAATAATAACATATATAGATAAGGACTGTCTATTACTTACTACATATTAATATACCTCCTATGATGAATATACTGATCATCAACTTATAGGTAATTAGGAGATATGACCTATACTAAGTCTGCAGCATAGGTTCCAGTGCCTTACTCCATAATCCTCACTGTATAGCACTTTTCCCCTTCCTGAGATAACTTTGGAAGGGTACAGCGTATAACATACATAGTATACCCTTCGAGCAGACTATTAATTCATAGAATCATCCAGAAGAAGTTTACGGTCAGGTGCATCCGAGCCTTAATTGGACGGATACGCCAGCCGTCTTTACCTTTGAAAGTTTTCTGCCTTAAGATATATATACACAGTAGTATAAGGAAGGAAGGTATAGAAACTGGGAAGTGGTGAATACCTATGATTGGCCAATGACGTAACACCTGAGCAGCGCGTTAATCCGACCCGCCAATCACATGGCTTGGATTCTGACTCTCAACCAATCAGATCGCGCACATGGTCTCCTTGGCTATGAGGACAACAATGGGCTAGAATTGCCTGGAAGAGTCCACCTATCTATGTCCTGATAAGGCTATTCGAGGCTTTGACTGGCCTCGTGTCTAGCTATTGCAAACTCACCGGCGATGGAGAACTCAAACTGTTCGTCCAGGTGGAATACTTATGTTCAGTGGCGGTCTTGACAGCTTAACGTCATGCCGTTGATGTGCAGACAATCGGCTCAGGGACCTCCGTTACAGGGGCAAACCGAGTGTCACATTGGCGGAACCATGATCAAGAGTGGGTGGTCGGAGTTGATTTTCCCTGAGAACTGTGCTGTATATGCCATGGTGACGGAAGGATCCATTGATGGGTCTTTATCCTGGAGGTGATGGCCACCACCATGCTATAGACCGGTTATGTGCTTGGTCGGAATACTTAAATAGCTGACATCAGGAATACTGCAATAGCGTAGAGGGAATAATCATGCTGATAAGGCCGAAGGAATAGAGATAGAATATAAAAGAACCGCCTAGACGGTCACGCTCTATATAGCCAAGCTTAACGCATTTCCATTTTTAGCAAAGAGTACTCGTCCTGCCTTCACCATAAATCAAGGCGCTTGACTTCACCCCGGGCAGAGAGGCCCTTCTCACCAGAGACCCTTCGCAACAGAGCCCTCTACACAGTCACCATGTCCACTACTGTGTCAGTTGTTGTTACAAGCCGTATGTCTTCCCTCAGACTGAAGCGACGAGACATGGCTAACTATCTGCCAGCACCTACTCCTTCCCTGGCCCGGAAGGTGACTGGGGATCGACTTCAGGATGAATTCACGAGGCTGCGAGAACTGTTCACTGTTGATTCTGCCAAGCTGAAGCTGATTACTGACCACTTTGTCCATGAACTCGAAGTTGGTAAGCATAATTCACGATTCTGGCTATCCTTCTCAGGACATAGCTGCTAACAGATTTCAGGGCTCAGTGGCCAAGGCGGCGACATTGTATGTCATTCCAGGCCGCTGTCTACCCGGTAGAATACAGACTAACTGGAACGAACAGCCAATGAACCCAACATGGGTGATGCAACTGCCACGCGGCGACGAAAAGGGAACCTTCTTCACAATGGACATGGGAGGCACCAATTTTCGCGTCTGCAAAGTGACTCTCGATAGCACTGCGGGCAAGTACGACGTCGTCCAGATGGACAACAAAATTCCCAGGTCTTTGAAGTCTGGCACTGCAGAGCAACTGTGGCATTACATTGCCGATTGCCTGCAGCAGTTTGTCGATCGCTATTCCATCTCGCAGAAGGAGCTCGCTGAGACGCCTCTCGCCTTTACGTTTTCCTACCCTGTCACCCAAACATCCATCTCGCATGGCATCCTCCAGCGATGGACCAAGGGATTTGACATTAGCGGTGTCGAGGGGACGGATGTTGTTGCTGAGCTGCAGAAGGTTCTCAAAGAGAAGGTCAGTACTGCTGCGGTACCTCTGCATAAAGTATTGATATTAACTAGAATAGGGTCTCCCCGCTCGGATCGTCGCCTTGGTCAACGACACAGTCGGTACCCTGATGGCTTCGTCCTACGTCGACCACAAGACAGAAATCGGTAGCATCTTCGGCACAGGCAGCAACGCAGCGTACATGGAGCGGTGCTCCAAGATCCCGAAACTGGCCGATCATCATCTCCCCGACGACGCATTCATGGCCATCAACTGCGAATATGGCGCCTTTGATAACAGCCAGCGAGTCCTCCCTTTCACCGATTACGACGCCGAGGTCGATCGCGCCTCGCCCCGACCCGGTCAACAGCGATACGAGAAGATGGTGGCTGGGTTCTACCTGGGTGAGATCTTCCGGCTCATCCTGCTTGATCTCCACAATCGCAAGGCGATCTTTGACGGTCAGAATTCCTCCAAACTAAGCGAGCCGTATGTTCTGGACTGCTCTTTCCTGGCGACCATTGAGAGCGACGACACCGGAGATCTGCGGTCAGCCAAAGATATACTTGAGAAGACACTTTCCATCACGCCTTCCCCGTCCGAGCTACGCTTCTGCTACGATCTGGCGCACATGATTTCCTTGCGGTCGGCTAGGTTATACGCGTGCGGTATCGCGGCGATTATGAAGAAGCGGGGGTTGGAAAGCTGTCATGTCGCTGTAGATGGATCCGTGTTCAACAAGTATCCATGCTTCCCGGAGAGGGCGATTGGTGCGCTGCGGGAGATCCTGGAGTGGCCGGCTGATACCCCGGATCCGATCCGGTTGATTCCTGCCGTGGATGGCTCGAGTGTAGGAGCTGCGGTGATTGCATCGTTGATAAGCAGGTCGTAACAGCAGTAAACCTACCTTGGGCTCTGTAGGTTATTGTCTTGATGTCCTGTCGCTTGGTGTTGGCGGCGTTCTGTCTCATACATTTCATAATGTTGGTAATGATTAGATGATAGAATACGATAGTGGCCATTGAATAGCTAAAGCTGTCTTGTTGAATTACATAAACACTAAACTACCATCGCAACGCTATCAGAACTTGGAAATCTCCTGTTGAAGCATCTCCGGACACTCAAGCGGCAGCAAATGCTTCACACCAGGGACACTCCTCATCGATACCTGGATCCCACTGCGCTCAAAAAGTAGACGAATCTCCTTGTCTACCCGATCCTGTGGTTCCACGACGTCGGACTCTCCGACCAAAATCCTCACCTGCAACTTCTCCTTCTCCATCGATTCCAGAGCCCTCTGCAGCCCGTCGGACACATCCTCTGCCATACCGCACGTCGGCCACGCCGTCTTGGCCGGCTGGTTCCCTTGCAAGCTGTCGCGTATCACCATCTCGGTATCCTTCTGGTTGAGATTATCAGGATTCGCAAGGACATGGCTCACCGTCCAGTGGACAGACTCTGCGCTTTCGTAGGCCGCCTTCTGTTGTTCTTGCATTTCCGGCGGCAGGAGTAGAGGCGTAGGGGGTGCCGGAGCGACCAGGACTAGGCCTCGGAGGTGGCTGACCAGGTCGCGTGGCAGCGTTGCTACAGTCGCCATTGCAACTTTACCTCCCATGGAGTGGCCGACGAGTATGAATCCGTGTGCCAGGATTGCTTTCCTGTCTTGGTCTGCTGCGAGCTGTTGCAGGACCAGAGTAACGTCGTTTGCCATGGAGGAAATCGAGTAGGCGGTGTTATCGTCCCGTGATGGTCCAGTTGACTTGCCCCATCCTCGATGATCGATTGCAAGGATTGGATATGATGCGCTGAGCGAGGTAGGGGAGTCTGGCGATGTGAGTTTGTGCCATGTGGACGAGGAGCCGCCCCAGTAGTGCAGGAAGACCAGGAGCGGTTGGTGGCAGTCAATGGCAGGGTGAGAGATACGTGCATGTATCAACACATCTGGGGAGTGGTGGAAGGTTATTGAGTCCATACCGTCTGAATTGATTACTTGATTGTAAGGTGGATGTGTGGAATAGTCGACACTATGGTTATTCACCGCGTCGGGAGAGGATTAAATAGTCTTCTAGAGTCATCTGATAGTGAGACATGACTCATTACTAATTGTGACATTAACAAATAAGTACCGCGCTATGTTGGTGTCGATCAATATTGATGGCAGTATAACCAATAAGTTGCCGCTTTTGTCCCACACCAGTCAGATTCGGATTTTCGGAGTTTCGGAGGATAGAGAACATGCGTCCGCAGTTAGAAGACGCTTAAACAAGACAAACAAAGAAATCAAACTCGTCAACCTGAAAACGAAAAGAACGCCACATATGTACAGCGTCGATCTCATTGATCAACTCCTTCAGAAGCTCACTCCTTTGGTTGATGAGCTGGTCCCCGTCCCACTCGATCGCCCTGACCTGCCGGACTGCCCTGCATTGTCTCAACCTCTTTCTTCGACACCAATGGCTCGTTCTTGCTGGGCGATTGGGCTCGGAAAGCGAGGTAACTACCGGCGAGCACAGCGAAGATACTCAAAAAGGCAATGTTACGGGAGCTGAAGAGAATCAATAAGTAGAGGACCACTGGTAGGGTGTGGCCGATAGCACGTACCTGCTCCCTTGAGGACGACGACCATTTGTAAAATTTCCAGAATAAGTAGCCATGTTGATTCAGATATATCAGTTGTCAATTATGTACAGAATTATCAATAGGATGGTCACGTAGACATTCTTTACATATATACAGTCTCAAGTCACCGAGTAGTGACGTCAAGAGCACCACACATGAGCGAATCCATGTGGCATGATCGAGATCCATCTCTAATACAATATCTTATTCAAGACACACTAGAGCGCTGTGAGCATTCTTCCCAAGTTTGGTTTAATGTGCCTTGCGTCAACGCGACGTAGGGCTGCGGATGTAGTCTTGGCTGGTTTTCGCCGTCGCCGGGTGGCACTTCTTGCTCTTCTCCTGATGGCGGACACTGCTGATTTAGAGGGCCGGATATGTTCTAGCTGATATCTACTGATATTTGCCCTCCTTTTTTTGATGTTATGTTGAAGGGAGAATATGATAGCTCCAGGGTGTAACCCTACAATATTACCGTTATATATATTTAGGCAGGACATGCCACCATATTGCCCTAAGTTCCTCGCTGAATACTACCTTCCTTACAAGACAGTTTTGTTTTAATTATAGCATAATCGTAGATTTGAGAACAATAAAGAGACAGATTGAGCAGGCTCCTGTTCTTAGCCATAACAAGCTGACGTGAAAGCTGCTGCCCTGAATATAGACGCTTCTTGAGGCAGACGGTAAGCCTGAAGAAAGCGGCATCAACTGATGATTATTCAGCAGTCTCCACTGTTCATTATTATTTGCATATGAAGGAGTAAATCTGCCAAGTGCCCCAGCTATGCTTGCTGATGCTTGTCTTTCTGAGTTCCAGAGTCAGTATTACCGACAATTGACCTGACACGAACTGCCTATTCAGACAAGACTCAGCTGAAAGCATGAGAATTTAATTTCCGCAGTGTGCCAAATATACCAATCATCTCTGTGCCTCCTCTCTACGACCCTTCCACCTAGTTTCAGAGTCAGCCGCTAACCCCCATCACATTCTTCATGATTATGTGAAAGACTATAGATAGCGAGGAGAGAGTGGTCTAATAATGCATCAAATGGAATGTGAAGAACATCATATGAAGCCTTCCTGATCTAGGCCTGCAATTGACTATTCCATTGGTGGACGCCCCTGCGTTAGAGTCCAGTTACCATTAGACCAATTTCCTAACTCAGATTAGCGAGGTGACATTGTACCTGCACTAAGTGCTGGTGTGCTTATTATGCGCCAGCCATGTCGCATCCCAAGTGACCCTTCATCTCTACAATACCTCTCCTAAATCTTCAGCTTTTCCGAAAAGGGTAACCCAGGCCCGATGGCAGACAAATGCTGCAATGATTGGTACAGAGTGCTTCAGGTCGGAGGAGCTAACATGGCCCCCATACTGCTTCTTCAAATCTTCAGCTAGGGGACAGGCCAGCTTTCCATGTATAAATACATCCAAGATGTAGTGGTGAACATCTGCTCCATAGCCAGGACAGACACTCCTTTCATTCTTTGCTCCCAAGGCTGGTCCTGTCGTAATGGCGAGGTTCGCTTGGCTTCTGACCTCGAGTCTTTCTTTCTCCATTCTTTCTACAGCTCTTCCGGCTGACACTCACTTGCAAGCTCCTACCAACTTTAGCACTTTCAATATCGAACAATGGGTTCCTTCTCTTGACTATGTTCCCCACAAACAGCAAGCCACCCTCTCGCACGTAGCGTGTCTGAAATCTGACAAGGATATAGAACCATTCCTTTTCCAATTCAAAACAAGACTGCCCGTCCCTGGGACCCGGTTACTCAAGGCTCTACGGGAAACCTGACAAGCCATGATAGCCAGAAAAGAGCAAGCTGTGGAGGTCCATCTCCGGACAGTCCCAGCAAGTTCTGGTATGAGACGATTACTCACAACGGGGAGTCGTCTTTCTTGGACTCGACCTACAAGAACAACTACAAGGTCTTTCGCAACGTGGTGACCGACTTTGGAGCGGACAACACCGGTGCTAAGGATGCGTCTGTTGCCATTCAGAATGCCATCAACGGTATGCCCCCTGTCTTGCCCGTATATAGACGCGAAAGTGCTAACAGTCAAAGCCGGGGCCTCCAATGGCCCTAACCGGGCTAGCCACTCCATGGGCACCACGGGTCAACCTGCAATCATCTACCTGCCAGCCGGGACCTACCTAATGGAGGGAAGTCTTCAGCTCTACGTTGGTACCGTCATTGTGGGTGATGCCCTCAATCCGCCTACTCTCAAGGCTAGCGCCAACTTCCCCAACGATCATATTGTCCACGGGAAAGATAACAACCTGGGCGGCACAATCAACTTCTACATTGGCTTCAAGAATGTGATTATTGATTCTACGAGCGTTGCTGCTTCCAAGTCAATCACCTTGTTGGACTGGACCGTCTCGCAGGCCACGCAGCTGACAAATGTCGTCTTCAACATGCCGACGTATTCGAACCATGTTGGCGTGACAAGCCAGTATGACTCGAACAGCAATATCATTCTGATCAGTTTGATTATTATCATGCAAGAATACATGTTAACTTCTACAGAACGATCTTACCTTCAATGGTGGTGCTATTGGCATGGAGCTGAGCGGCCAACAGTGGATCCTCAAGGGCATCACCGTCAACGGAGCCAACGTTGGTATCAAGGCCGGCGCATTTCAGCTCGTCTGTCTGGATTGCAATCTGTCAAATGGTGCCACGGGTATCGATGCCAGTGGAATCTCTGGCTCACTGACCGTCATCGATTCCAGCGGCAATTCTCTCGGTAACATGATCGTCTCCTCTAATGCTGGTGGTAGTGCTCAGAACTCGATCATCCTGGAGAATGTGCAGTGCACCAACAGCGGCAGCACCGTCTCGCTTAACAATAATGCGGTATTCTCTGGCTCGGTGACAAACACCTGGGTGCATGGAAATATGGTGAGTCGATCTTCACTGTGTTGCATCTGCCCGCTCACACGATGTTAGTACTCCGGAGGAGCTACCACCCCTGCGAAAGAGCAGGGCACGCAAGTAACCACGCCTCGTGCAAATGTTCTTCTCGGAGCCACTTCCAAGTACTTTACCAAGGCACCGCCGACATACGCTCAGTACTCGTCCAGCCAGTTTATCAATATCAAGACTGTGAGCGGTCTCCCTGTTATGGGAGATGGCGCCACCGACGACACGGCGAACATCAACACCATCCTGGCTCAATATGCTGGATGCAAGATCATTTACTTCCCTGCCGGCACGTACATCGTGACAGGGACTATCTTTGTTCCCGCTGGCTCGATCATTGTCGGGGATGCGTATGCCTCGGCGATCAGTGCTACTGGCTCCAACTTTTGGAATCCTGATGCTCCAACGACGATGGTCAAGGTCGGGAATGCGGGTGACGTGGGCGTCGCCCAGTTCACAGATATGCTGTTTACGGTGGCCGATGTTCTTCAAGGCTGCAAATTGGTAGGTCGCTGTCGGTTCTTTTGGAGCTACCACTAACTGTAGATAGGTCGAGGTAAACATTGCCGGAGCAGCTCCTGGCGACGTAGGATTCTGGAACTCGCATTTCCGTATCGGCGGTGCAGTCGGCTCCAAAGTACAAACCAATTGCTACGGCACCCCCGACCAGTGCAAAGCCGCCTGGGGCTTGCTCCATCTGACCAGTACCTCCTCTGCGTATATCGAGAACATGTGGGGATGGACCGCAGACCACGACCTGGACGGCAACGGCGGCACAACCACCGTCGCCACCGGCCGTGGTCTCCTCGTCGAAGCCACCAAGGGAACCTGGCTGGTCGGAACGGCTATGGAACACCACACCCTCTACCAGTACAACTTCGAGTACGCCCAGAACGTCTTCTCCGCCTTCCAGCAGAGCGAAACCCCCTACTGGCAGGGCTGGGGCAGTCCCGATCTGGCCCCTGCGCCATGGTCCTCGAACCTGATCGCCAGCGATCCCGACTTCAGCAACTGCGATGCCAGCGATGCAGGATGCCGCATGGCGCTCTTTGAGCGAATCCGTGGCTCCTCCAACTTGTTCCTCTACGGAGGCTGCGTCTGGGCGTTTTTCAACCACAACGGTGGATGTAATGGGGACTGCCAGGCGAACGCCGTCCGCATCCTGTCGTCGGCTGGCTCGGTATATCTCTACGGTACCAACGTCAAATCGATCAGCAACATCGTGCTCGAGAACTCCGTTGCCGCCGCAAAGGAAAGCGACAACTATGGCGGCTGGGGCGGCGTCGTCGCCGCGTATCTTCACAATGTGGGCACAAGCAGTCGCAGGCGCAGGTCCGGCGATGTGAACGGCGCCGCGGTTACCGGTAACGGGTTAAACTGGTATAGCTCTTCTCTGACCAACGGCGCAGCCGGATACCAGGATCCAGAATACTACTACTGCTTCGGCGGGTCGGCTGCCAACTTCCCACCACTTCAGAACTGGATGGGCTTCACGGCGATGTTTGATCTGAACCAGCAAACCTCCATGGCACTGGTCGAGTCGGGTCCCATCCAGGGAGATATCTGGAATGCCATCGTCGAAGTATCTGCCGCGGCCAAGGTCGATCCTCGGTTGATCCTGGCAGTAGTTATGCAGGAGGTATGAGAGAGCCTCTACCCTGTTGGACCAATGCTAACATCTCACAGTCTAGCGGCAATGTGTACGTTGGCTGCACGAATAACGGCGTCGAAAATTGCGGGCTGATGCAGGCCTACGCGGGGTCGGTGTCGTTCGATCCCAACAATCCTCAGGGAAGCATCACTCAGATGATCATCGACGGTACACAGGGCACGGCACAAGGCGGTGGCCTCGTCCAATGGTTCAACAATGACAATGTCGGAGCCGACACTGGTGGCAACCCGTACAGTGTGCTCCGGGGCTACAACTCGGGCAGCATCAACTTTAACGATCTGGATGATCCTCAGGGCGCTACTGCATCGTATGTCAGCGATGTGGCCAACAGATTGCAGGTGAGTCTCTTCAACTTCAAGTAAACAGGCACTAGACTAACGAGGCTAGGGATGGAATGGCAATGATGGTCATGGATACAGAGCTGCTTGTGGATGGTAGTGACGGATATACCGGGCCTCAACGCCATAGTACGCTGTAATGAAGATTCTCGAGAATCTTCCCATGTTCTGCTAGTGTCGGTTGCTTCTAGTCCTTCTCTATAATTATAATCGCTGTTACCTACTCCCATAGATCTTCCTGATCTCAGAGCATTAAGGTCAAATTCTCGTTCTCAGGTGGCAGGTGGGAAGGGAATATCACGCCTTACTATCAGTCAAATATTTCTGAAGTAGACGTAGCCCTGCACACATTTGGCGGACTCCAATTTGCACCCAGGTGAGACACGAACTCTCCTGCTCTGCATCACTTGGAGCAAATTACCGTATCAGATCCCTCGTTATGTTTCTCAGCTCCAGGAGTCGCCAATCATCGACCATCCGAATTTGTAACTCTGATCTGGGGGATTGAAGGTAATAACTACCATCATGCGCATGAATATATTGACCTTTGGCGAACATGAGGGTGAATGTTGATTGAGGGTTGGAATCTCTAGATATTCAGATATACATGAAGGAGAATTCGAATACAAGAATCAGTTGATGGTAGCAATGCGAACAACGCCGACACAGGAACCAGGTGAAGACACAGTATCTTCAAAAAGAAAAAGAAAGGTAAAATAGCATTCTACGAGAGACCAATCCGATGAGCATCATCTGTACGGCGAAGCCGCCCGCTCCCGCAGCGGCAACATCTCATCTCCTCCTAGGTGATCATTATCCGGGATCTTCTGCATGTCCGTGTTCTTTCGCTTTCTGCAGCAGGAGCAACAACAAGCGCAACAGAAGATCTTGCGCAGAGGACTTGGCGGCATTTTCGCGTCGGGGCCTTTGATGATAGCCCCCGGATGCACCACGTTCCAGACCATAATGGCAAACAACATTGGGACAGCGTCGAAAACATACATGTACCACTCATGCTGCGGAATGGGATTTGAGGCGTCGTTCCCCGAGGAGAATTCCACCAGACGAAAGATGATGCGCACCGTGATGAACAGCAGACTCGCGTACAACGCATATAGCAAGCCTCGCCATTTTGCCTTGAGTCCGACTAGCCTTCCCTGGCGATCGAGATGGAGCATCTGGCGGTGGAATTGAATCGCAATGAAGAGAAAGAGAACAATGAAGAATTCTTGGATACCGATGCCGCCCATGTAGATGTGAATACCCTTCATCATGGTGTCGTGGTCCGCTCCGGGTCCGGCCATGCCACCTCCGATCAACTGGATGACAAAGGACCCCAGGTCCAGGACGACAAAGATCATGGCCAGCATGGAGGGTTTGAAGATGCCTATTCGACGATCTGGGACGAAGAAGTGGATCATCCGAGCGAGAACCATGTAGTCGAATGCATTGACCCCTAAGAGATGATTAGCATCTGTTTGAATGAAGAAGGGAGAGACAGAGGAAAGCGTACACAATGGAGACAACAGAATGAACAACTGAGTAATCGTGGCAAGAATACTGTCCTGCTGATCCCGCGTACTCAGTGTGCGTACCACGAATCCTACACATTCCCATGCCGAGCTCATCACGATAACCCAGACGAACCCTGCCTTGTAGACAGTGGCCTGGACGAAATGCGTGACCATCAGGACACCAAAAAGAACGGAAAAGGCGATTGCAGCGCCAAAGGAAGGATAGTAGTTGTAGAGGGCATTGCACTCGGTTGCCAGAACCCAGCCATTTGCATCCGGGGTGATGGTAGGTGTGCAGGTGTCGGAAGGCAGATCCAGCGACAGGCTGAAGGGCTTGATCGAGATCTTGGGAACCTCGACGGTGATATGGGGGTCATAATCTTTGGTTGTTTCTGTCCCTCTTCGCTCGACATGGGCATCGGTTGTAGTAGGAGCAGGGGTGGGAGCAGGAGTCGGCGCCGGCACAGCAAGCACTCCAATTGCAGAAATTAGCAATATGAGAAGTAACGAGAGTTGTATACGCATATCTGATTGAGTCGATTCCAGCAACCAGGAAAAGAGTGCAAAGATCGATGAAATCTAACAAATCAATCACAATAGAGAGTGAAAGGTAAAAAAGAGATGTAAAGATTGAATAGACGCTACCCCATATACTTCAAGGACAGCAGCCATTGTTTATAACTGGATATAGATCCTGATATAATCTTTGTTATGTATTGCTGTTGTTTTGCTGCTGCGATGCACATAATGATCCACCATGGCCACCTCCTCATTCTATTTCTGGAATTAAGAAGAAATTCAGAGCTGCTTGTCTGCTGCCTAGCAAATAGACCAGTCATACAGCATAGCGAGAATGCTGACTGGAGATTAGATCTATATCAATAGGTGTATTGGGTTGAAATGCGGTGGTCGAGCGCCAAAGAGGCTTGGACGGGAAATGCGACATGGTTGTTGATTCGATCCTTGTTAGGCTGCTGGATTGTTCCTAATTATTAGGCATTCGCAATCTGTAGATAACTAAAGCAGAAACGGTTTGGAATAGGCTATTTTGCTTGTAGTCTAGCTTAGTTTCAGCATTTGGTGATAAATTGTCCAAGAAATCTGACAGGGATGAGGCACAGGCTGTGCTGATTTCTTGCCCTAAACTAGCCCTCGTATTCTACAGGCTCGGCTGTTTCTCAATTTATATTATTGGGGCACATGTACTCCGTAATGAGCAATGTATCAGATGGGACCTCATACGCCCCAGCTGGTGGAGAGATGTAAGCACTAGACGTTAGCATCTCAGTAGCAGCACAATTTTTATATTAAGAATAGCTACGGAGTATTCAGACCATATCATCCATGCCAAGCTTTAAAAATTTACTTCGACACTAACGCATAAATTCTGGCTTTAATTTGGTATGGCTGTATAGGGGATAGTGCTTGAGTAACTACAGTAAGAAGTCAGCACTCAGCAGCACAACAACAGACAATCGTGTTAAAGCCGTGACATATACTACTTTCTAGCTACATTCCGATACGAAGCGTCTCTCTACCTCCAGCCTCCTCTTTATTCCCATTCTTGTTGCTGTGTCCGATTAGGCCGCAGCGTTGAGGATGTCCTTGGTCCAGCAGTGGCATCGACTGTCTCGATGTGTTGTATTTTAATCTGCTGTTTGGGGAGGCATTTTTGCCATTGCTGCAGTCCGAAGATCGCATGTTTTACAACTTTTTTGGTGCCAATGGACTAATCAAGGAGGGAGGCACGACCGTCATTTGGCTACAAATGCAGGTTGGTAATTTCTTTCGTTGACAGCGACGGGGTATCTCTTCTGACCAGACAGTGCGCCGAATCACGTATGCGAACAGCATGGTAATTCTCAGCGGCAATGGACACCTAGCAGATAAAGGCACTTACAAGGGGGGAAATACATCGGAGAGACTCCTGAAGAAAACACATTGGGTTCGTCGAGGTCGCCCTCTCCGATTGAAACTCCTCAAGGAAGCGAACGGCGGACTGGAGGCATGAGCATCTACAACTGTTACGTCCGAGCAGTCCACCCTAAGAATGCAATCATCTTTGTTATCGTATGTGCCCCGTTCGTCATTGGTCTCAGTTGACCGCATATACTCCGTTACACTCGCTATGCCATGCTGAAAAAGGCACGAATATCTGAAGAATTCGTGGTGAAATGGTGGCTTCAAATAAGCGATGAGTATACGATCAACCACCGGGGGAGTTATCTGGGAATCTACGCTGCACCGGCAGGTCTCGCCCTTGTCTCACGCCGTCGGCGCTTGGTAAGAGTTCTTTACCCTTTTTGTTTGCAGGATGCTGATTGTGTAGGCAACTCACTGCGCCGATGCTTACCCAAACCTCGGCCCATTTCCACAATACCCTTGTAAACTTGATCCTGAATGCCCCAGCGGTTGTTCTAGAGAACAGACCTCAAGACCATCATCAACCTCTTTGCGCAGGACTGAGGTTGACGGATATGGAGACGCCTCTGGCGCTATTCAACACCACGGTCGAGCTGCTGATGGGTGTGGCCCAGCTCATCATCATCGCCGCAGAGTCCCCACCTCATCTCCGCGAGAACGTCGACCCATCCGGCACCCTCGAGCGTCAAACTGTGGCTCGAGCGGGATCGGCGTCTCCCGACCGACGATCAATTCAGCGTGGGGCAGAAGCAGCTGTTGTGCCTGGCACGGGCCGTGGTTCGGGCCGGCTGGATCCTTTTGCTGGACCAGGTGACCGCCAGGATCGACTGGAGACCAATCAGCCGGTGCGGACGATGATCTGCGATCATTTTGCCGCGGGATCATCATTGTGCATCGGATCTCCACGAACCTAGATGCGGACCAAGTGGCCGTTATCTCCCAGGGGGAGGTCGAGATGGTGGCACCCAGCAAGTTGCTCACGCGCGATCCTCACAGTTTGTTTGGGTTTTTGTATAATCCCAGCGTTTTGAAATTGGCTGTTATTTATTTGGTATACATAGTTTCATTCTCTACTACTACAGCCCGTGTGTTGCTTCCAGACAAAGTTGCATGTCTTACGAGTAGGACTAGAATCCAGCATTGCCAGGAGAGCTATGTCAATCACAGCTAGCAAGCATTCAGTCTGTCAGGCATCAATCTATCCATCACGCATGCAGGCCTTTCTAATTTTCTTGGCTAATTTAGCTGGGACATAATTATCCGGATATTAGACTTAAGCCTGCTAGCGGTACAGAACACGCTTTTCGAATCGAGAGATCATTGGCCAAAATTCTCCTACTTAGACTGCGCCCGCCATGGTCCAAGTCAGGGGACATTTAGCTTGAGCACTATGTACGGTGTAATTATGACTAATTAGGCCCCTAAATTGGTTGGCCGTCCCCTGCCTAGGTAACGGCTAGGGTAGGACAGGGTGGCTGTGCCACAAGCCAAGTCTCTAAGCCAAAAAGTGAATCGGCCGGATAATTAAGCTTACAAATGGTGAAATGTAGTGGCCATTGCGCGCGACATGGATGATTATCCGCCAATTGCGGCTTTTTAACATACATCGATCAGGCTCCAGTGATTAGCAGTATATCACAGCCAAGAAGTGGGCCGTCTACAGTATCAAACCCCTGGGTACACAAATGTGTTATTTCTATCCCACATAAGATAGCTAGCCACTAAACTCAAGTCCTCCGCTGAGAGACTCATTGCAGGTACTCCTTCAGAAAGCGCCGCATCCTGCCTCGCAACATATCAGCCCACTCTTGCAGGGTCATTTTGGCCTGCTCCGCGCCCAGAGGCACCATACACTTGGCAAGATACTCGTAATCCTTCTAGAGCAGCTTGACGGTCAGCATCAGGTAGTCGATGTTTCAGAAGACGAGGGCTTTTTCGTTCACGTAGCGGTCTCGGTCTTTCAGCAGGGCCACGGGATGATCCCGCCAGTGGCGACATGGGTGCAGATGGTGCGAGGTGTGGTAGCCATCATTGAAACAGAAGCGGTTACTCTAGATGGTATCATTAGGTGGGGAGCAAGAGAGGAATGAGGGGACAAGACGTACAGCAACATCAATCAAGGTGATGCTCGACCGAAAGTCGGATGTCGGATCGTCAGGATCCACAAACGCATGTTGTCCCCAATTGCCCGCCATCAGGCCCAGTCGCAGAGTCAGCAGTGGTAGGATGAACACGCAAAAGGCCGCGCGATGATTGACATATCTCCACATCAGGTAGATGAAGTAGTAGTTGCTCCCCTCCCACAACGCCGTCTTCAGAGCATACTTTGGCTTTCCCGTCCGCAGAAAGTACAGGGGCAGATCCAGTCAGATAAGAAAAAAGAAGCGGCCCACGTAGCAGGCAAAATCCGTGATCGACTCGCGATCATACCACATGGTCGAGTTGAGGTCTGCCGGCCCATTACCCTCGACGTGATGATGCTTAACGTGGTGGTAGTAGTATGAGTTCCAAGTGTGGCCCACCAGCGGATCCACGAGGTAGGGAAACAGTCGGTCAAATACCCGATACTTTGGGGCCAGGACGCCATTCATATGGACATATTGATGCTTCATCAGGGTGTACGTGCCTGCGAACCACACATGCAAGATCCAATGCAGCAACCGGTGGACCCAGGTGAAGTGGTAGCAGTGCAGCCAGATGGCGCTGGGAATAGACATTCCAAAATAGATCGACAGATGCGTGACCATCACCACGTCTGTAGGATACCGGGCAACCTCCTGAGCCCAGGCAATATAGGGATTAAGGGCATATTTCTGGACGAACAGGGGCAGTTGGGTGTGCAACTGATGGGTATCCCAGAACTGGAAGACTGTCGGATCGAATCCTACTTCCGTAGGATTGTTCAGAGACTGTAGCGTTTGGACAGTTTCAGATGTTTTCTTGGTTTTGCCTGCTTGCAATCAGTTGTCTGTTGCACTATTGGAACAATGGATATACACTTTTTGCATCTTCATTCTTGAGGAGCTCCTGCAGCACCAATTGATCAGGAAGGGTGAGATAAGGGTCGATAAATGCTGAAGGATCCATCATGACACTATGCGGACAGCTAGAGTGTCATCGCGCAGACTCGTTGGCTCTAGTGAGCTGGCGCAGTTATATATCTGAGCTCATCATCGAGTCAAAGTAGGGCAGACCTATCCCAGCTTAGTTGCGCATGATCTATCAACGACAAAGACACATTTCTATAAAAAGGTCAAATGTGGAGGAATTAGGGTGCCTGGAGGCTAAAAGATTAGAGTGTTTCACCATCTCGTAAACAGCACAGGACATAGGCGTTGTTCGTTATATGGCTGTTCTCTAGCCATTTTAGGCGCTCTCCAAAGCGTAGTCGGACTTTGGCTCTAGCCAAAGAGGGAAGTTATTATACGAGAGACATGTGGGGATGAAAAGTGGTAGGAAACTGGGGCAAGATTATCAACATTCCGATGATTAAATTCAAGTAACTGGCTCAAATGTAGCAAGGCATTTAATACAGGAGTGGTGGACCAAACATCAATATCGAAAAGTATACATCAGATCATAGAAGAGGAACAGGAACGCATCACACGTTTGCCCAATCAGCCTGAGTAATAACTGGTTCATCTGACCAAAGATGACTAGTAATTGCAACATCCAGGCCTGCTGGCCCAATGGTAAGGCGCTTGACTACGGATCAAGAGATTGCAGGTTCGAATCCTGCGTAGGTCATATTTATTTTTTCCTTCGCCTCCAAAACTCACAATTTGTCGCTATTCTGCAGTCAATCAGAATATTAACGAGAATAGTATATTATATGTTTAAATATCATTATCGCCTTATGAAGTGTCCCAAGTGTCTTGCTAAGTCACGGTATAATGTCATTGTCCAATTGCTAACTAGTATATATATCTCCATAGTTCAACAAGATAGTGACTTCTCTTGTTGGTCTTTGCAAAACGGCCACTGAAAAAGAGGTTTTTAGTGCTAGAGCCGTATCTGGTAAACTCAACTAACAGCCGATCGACCAGATAGCTAGAGATATATCAGCTCTATCAGTCGAACAGAGCTGTATATGGCATATTTTAGGGTGGTGACGTTAGTGGCATTGCTTTCACCAACTTCTTGGATATTTGTCCTGGTCGAATCCCAGAGAGCTACAGCTATTTTAGACGGTCAAGTATAGTCGGATTATTGTGACACATGCTACTGGCCCGTCTCATGTCTTCCTGAGGGGGTGTGTATAGACAACTGTGAGACATCCTTCGAGATTGGCGTTCTATACGCTCCTCGATCATGATAGAAAACTTGGACGCATAATCCAATGCCTAAATAAATGCAATCTGCAATAGGACATTTAATGTTGTGTAAGTGTGACGGATTGTCTCCCTTGCAGACCCCTCCTATATCTGTCGCATTATAGACGACCGAGCCACGTGGTGCTGTAAGATCAATTCAACAGGGGAGGATTAGAGTGCTGATCATCAGCTGATGGTAACCTGCAAAGGCAATCGTATCGTGGCGTTGTCATTCATACGGCGATCATATCGACTATTATATTATTATATACAAAAACACATTCCTCTTACTCCGACCCAAATGAATACTTGAACATATCGTTACTGTCGAGCAGCACAAAAGATTCATACCGAAGTCCCCTGTCGACCGGCGGCCGTTCAACATCGCCCGTGACATTCGCCGAGACTTCAGCCCATCCCTCCCACAGAGCTCTCCAATAGCATGCCTCAGCAGCTGGGGTTAGGTATCGCTCTCGGAAGGTCTTGACACTGTTATTGGCTATACGCTCTGCCTTGTCTGGGTTCTTCAAGAGTTCGTCCATTCGTTTCGGGAGATCGGAGAAGTCTCTCTCGACTTCCACGTAGTTCTGTTCCGGACCGGAAGCGACGAGGAGATAGTGGTGATGTTGGATATACTGCAGCTTATGCGCCACGACGACGGACCGACAGGCTTGTCGGTATTTAAGGGATGCCGAGTATGCGCGACCTGGATAACGAGGATACCTGTTACTAACGCCTTGCACGGCAAGTTGAAGTGAAAGAACGTACCTTCGACATGCCCGATAAACATGTACCGACAGTGATCCTCCATCGACAAGAAGTTGGCCTTCTTGCTCCAATCCAACTCCTTCACGTCATTCCAAGGCTTACCCCGGGCAACATCCAAGAGCGCCCGACGCAGCTTTGGTGCAAAGCTCAGCTTCCCCCGCCAGACCAGCTTCTGTTCCTTATCCACGAACTTCAGCTTGGATTCAGCGGCCATGATGCGCTCTACGACTTGTCCGTATGGGCCGATGTTACTCTTGGCCCAGGACCAGTACCCGAAATCGGGCATCAGAATGACCGACTCCTCGGATGCTTTCCTCGATAACACCCAGACTGGGTGGCCGACCCCGTCAACGTCATCCACGCGATCTTCGATCGAGAAGATAAACTCGATTGTGGGGTACGAGGTACGATTCGAGGACGCCGATAGCGCCCGATGGATAGATCCTAGAGTACCAAGGATCTTGCGCCGGTGATCATTACCCTTTGCTCTTGTCGCCACGACATACAAGTCTCCGTTGGAGATGATGGCGCGGGCCATGCCATCTTCGAATGGTACTGCACTCAGATCGTCTCTTGATATGCCTCCTCGCGACTTCCAATACTCGACTCCTCGGTGGATGTCCTGGAAGAGACCGGGGAATGCTGCCTGGCACTGACTCTGGCTCAGGCCTAGGTTCTGGTCGTCTCGTCCGTACTGGAAACTCCAAGTTGCAAGGTGTTCTGGTTCCGATGGCGGTGGCGAGGCGAGACAGGCGAGGCAGTCGGCGCATTGAAATGAAGTGGATGATTGGCAGGTGCAGTGGCCTGCTGGGATGAGTTGTGTGAGGAGCGGAGGGACATTATCACGATCCGAGTTCATTCCAAACCATATCAAATAGATGAAAACACCACAAGCGCCAATGGTGACTGCGAATATTGTCCGCCGAAGCGAACACCAGCTGTTCCATAATCGGTGCATGGTGAGAATGGTGAAAATGGTGAAAATGGCGAGAATGATAAGTGGGATACCTGGGGAAGGCAAGGAGAAGACCGAACCCCCAGGCAGAAGGCTGAGCCAGCGGCTCAGAGATTGCCTCAGCCCACATGGGGAGGGACTAGGGACTACGGTCCTTTTGCTCAAACAGGTAAGGATAGGATCCCTGAACGGGTCGCCCAGTCAGCCTAGTGGCCAAGTCAAAAGAAGGATTTGTGGTGGAGGTTAGTAGGGTTGGCGGACATTTAGACCCAACACAATGACCCACAGGATCATCTCCTCTAAACCGCCTCGACCAACCGGATCAGAAATTAAGTCTACCTGTCAGTTAGTGCCTGAGTTAAGAACCACTACAGCCACTAGCCAAGACTGGCTAATTGCGATGTAACCTTGGGAGCTGGGGATTGGTCTCAAAGTGAAGCAGCAGCTAAGCGATGTCCACCATGAGAATTCTAGTACGGTTCGGTACATTTGAGAAGCCTTACTATTTTGTTCCAATCCTAAAGAAACAATCGGACACCAACTCAACTAAATTCTGGAAACTGAAAGCCAAAACTGCGACCCTGTGGCCCTAAATACATGTGTATATGGTATGTACCTCCTATCCGATTAACACGGCGCAGCCCCATTTAGCAACCCAGCACCCGGTCAATCTTGATCATACAGCCGTTGGCGATTTGCTTGCGTCCGCAATGGCTGCAATGGCCTCGGTTGCGAATGTCATTGTAGGCGTCCATCAAATCCTGCCCCATGACTTCACAGTGGTTGCCGCTGACAAAAAGACCGCAGGTTCCACTGCAAGTTCCAGTATTGGATTTGCTTTGTCGAGTTAGTGAAAAGTCAAATCATCCATTCTCATTAAAGCGTAGACATACTCGAGGTAAGTGCTGTAGGTGTTGCTGGGAACAACCTTGCGATAAGCATCGTCACAGCTAGAACCGAGTTTTTCGCAAAAGGCAGAGCCCTTGCAGTCGACGTCCCCTTCGGCCAAGGCAATTAAAACGTTGCCGGTCTCCGCAGAGGGTTCGGTTTCAACCATGACGGATTTCTCGCCATTGAAGACAGCGAACTTTTCACCCCTAGCAACAATTGGGCCAGGGACGGCTGCCGCAATGGTGGCCAGGACAGTGACGGCGTAGATGGCGTTGTTGATAAGCTGCATTGTGGTGAGGTTGGATAAAAGGGCTCTGGGTCAGAGAAAGACAGAAAGATTGTATGGATTCTGGACGGTAGTAGGTAGAGTCCCCGAGTGCGTTGGTAGTAGAGAAGTCGTCTGGAGGCAGCGAGTACCGACCCTTTTATATCCTTCTGGTCACGGAAAACCCGGTCATATTGCCCACTCGACTGATCCTGGAGACCAACCTCCCGACAAGTGTCCAGTTTCCCATGGACTCCGCTCGTGGATCCTCGCCCTTGGGGTCGAGAGTCGGGTTCTCGATGGAGTAATTGTTACATCGCCGCGATGGACCGGCGTGTCAGCGCTGATATCAAGCGTTGGTGAACATGCAATTGACCGACACGTCCCAATCAGATTGCTGCTCAGAGTATTCAGTTGGTTACGGATCCTGCCAGCGTCCTTAGTGGCAGATATTCCATGACAGCCCGGAAATTGAGCGTGAAAAGGGCGCGGAAAGCGCGTGCCGCACTTCATCCCACATGTCAAAGCTATCTTAATCAAGTATTGATTGTAGTACGAAGCCGCCTTGCCAGGAGATGTCCCACGACACAGCGCTGGCTATGCGGAGACATGGGACGGAAGTCGTGATCACTTTTGCGTATCATTAACTGGATTGGTATCAGACCCTCAATATTTACTTGATAGACCACTACGATGGCAGGGTTCGATGGGGCTGTGGGCTGGAATGACAAATCTACAGTGGCATGTTCATCGCCCGGCTGTGTTCATGCCCTTCTATACTCTCTATAGTTGGCAGGAATCCCACGAGGCAAGGATTATACGGACCCCCCACAGGGCTACTTTATGGCCGTTGTGCGTTCTGCCGCGGTGACCATTTACTGAGTATGTATAACGCTCATTCTGAAGCTGTCAGGTGCTATTACTGGTCATGAAGCACACCGGAGCAGGCTCAGCAAGGGCGAGTTTTTTAACTAACACCAGGTAGAGCAGTGACATATGTCTCAGTTCTCCAGCATACTTTACAAGCAACTATTCAATACCATATCTGATCAAGGATGGGCATACAATGTAGATTTGGTGTTACTGTGTTCTGTGTAGCTCAAGGTCCAGTTCAATGCACTTGGTGAACATAGTGTATCAAAAGAGCAATGATCCTTCGGCCTCAGTTAAAGCGGTTTTGTAGAGCCAACAACTCTATAAATGTATAGCTTTTCCTAATCTAGCTAGTATTCCTAAGTGCCCTCTGGCCACTGAATTAACTTAAACAGCAACCCGAACTACGCCGCGAACTCTCCTCGAGAAGTTTCATTGATTGACATTCTAGGTACTTTTACGTTATCCCATGATTGGTCTGCGGTTGCTTGTGGTTGCCCTGCCCTGTTCATATGGATCCATATGGATCAAGATAAGGCCTTGTTAAATGGCGATCAATGACCAAAGTGCTTGAGCGATTTGAACTAAACCTCGTTGCCGCCGGGCCTCCAGCGCAAGTCCTGCATTAGTTGATGTTGCATCGCGTTCAGAAGAGTAGCAGGAAGACTTCCAGGTACAAGCTTGCCTTCGGGGCCTCTCCGAATCGGCCCAGAATGGAAAATGGACAGGAAACACAGCAATACAAAAGCCAGACGCCAAGGGTCGAGTGTCAGAAGTACAGCATGGATTGAGCGTCAGTCATGGACGATCATACGATCATGATGAAGCTGTGAGCTACTCCACTTTTCTAGAGACACTGTTGTTGTTATACATAAGCTTGATGTTGGTCGGCTGTGCCGCAATCTCCTTGAGATAACACTAATGCACGGGCGTATAGTTATCGCTTAGTGCGGGCGACGATCTCCCATGATCTGGCGCGTGTCCACCACTAAGATTCCAACCAGGGGATATCCACTGAGGCCATGCATTTTCTGTATTGGTGCCCGTCTGGGCCGTCTCCTTTGTGCGGCTCGAGGGAAGGAGCCAGCGGCTAGTCCACTGGGGAGCTGGCCCGTGGCGTATACCAACAATCAGCTAACAATATAGCCTCCAGCAATTGGTCGATGTAGCATATTCCTTCTTGGAAGGATGCTTGGCATCTCGGGATGGCCTGAATCTTCCCATGTATGTTACTCTTGTTGCCAGTTTGCCCAGGTACCTAGCCTTCAACGACTCGTAGACCTCCGACTGTGGTCCTGTCTGAGAGCTCCCACCATGGATTGAAATCGAGTCTATATAAGATGACTACAGACCCGACATACTGGAGGTTAGATGAAAACACAAGTCCCTTTTCCAAAACACCACTCCTGCTTCTCAAGTAACCAAAGGTGCACGCCGTCATCATGAAAGCTTTTACCCTTACGTCTTTTGGACTTTGCCTTTCTGCTGCTCTGGGAGCATTAGCCAGCCCAGCGAGCCCTGGGTCTCCTACATCAAATGACTTGGATGTCAGAAACGAAAACAATCGCCAGGTTAAGTACAAAGGAGTAAGTCTCTAAGGTTCATTGAGGTACGAGACGAAGGGCCTGATCTTTCAAACTAGGACTGCGATCCAAAAACCAATCAATGCCATTATGAGTCACAAAATGGGCTGAAGGCTATCTGTCGTTGCGACTTCAAAACCGTAACTTGCCCTGGACCCCATTACTCCAGGAGTATGCTAACTTCTACACAAAGTGTACCGACGCAATTGAGGATAAATATTGCTACTTTGATTCTTACACTAGAAAGTGCGTCTGTCAGGATATGAAGACTCCTCCCTGAGGCGGGTAGTTCTGTGCTGCTACTGTGTTGATTGTGAAGCAGCTACTGTGTAGAGGAACACCTACAAGTTTGCTGCATTCCAATATATGTTTTCCTGTTTTCTATGCTATACCAGACATTGAGTATGAACTATTATCGCGACTTCTATAATTCGCCTCATTGTATTTTCAACTCTAGTATGGAGCGCTACAGCGCTAGAGTCTAGTCTGACCAGGATTCCCCTACATAGTCAGCGTGTCTAGCCCCAGATATCGAATCATGGACACTCCTTCTGCTGATCCTTTGCTGATCCCAGTGGGTCTCCTACCCCGATGGAGTGGAGTGTCACCAATAGTATACAGGTCTGATTTGGAGGCAAAATATTGTTGCTGCCTGCCGTAAAGGCAGTATCCCTCAGCCTGCCCTTTCCATAAATAATATATCCATTCTCTACTGTCATTGCAATTCATCCCTCCAACAGTCACCTCATTTCTAGAGATTCACTCCTGTGACGCTCCCCTCTGACCCTCGTGACCCTCATCTCCAATCAGTACTACCAGCTCATTCACAATCTTGAACTCAGGATGCACAACTTATTAAGAGACTCACCAAGCTCACCACCGCGGGATAGTTCTTGCGGTTTCGCTGCATGCGACCCAGTGGACCGGGCGGATTTCGAGGAGGCTGCTCGAGCAGGGGATTTCGACCTCCTCCGATCTGTAGCACATAACAGAGCATGGATTATGGGCCAAAGCTATTGCCGGAGCCGGGCGTCCATTGATTCCTGCGAGCCGCATCTGCATTCTCTCTGGTACGTCTATTACCAATGCGCCAGACATGTCTCCCATGAAAGCTTTGAGCAAGACAGATGGATCCTCGACATCCTCCGGACGCGGGGACGCGGGCCTCTAACGAGGTCGGCACCGGGCGGTGGCATCGATATTGCTAGAACTCCCGATGGCACAGTCTGGAATGACCTGCCGTTCCTCGCGACGGACATGACAGAGTCCTGGATCAATGACTGCGGGGCAATGGGCTCAAAGCAGCGTCTTAATGCTGCGTCCTTCCTTGCGAAGCTTGCGTCCACGCGCGTTGCGAACGATCGGCTTTGCCAGATTGCTCTGGTCCTTTTTCGTAATACATTCGAGTCTGTGCGTCCGCTTGGCAGCTCTAATGAGCCGGATGACGAAGATCCTCGCCTATCAATCCATGTACTTACTATTGCTTCGTTACTCCCATCTGCATGTGCCTGGATCCGAGAAGCCGGGCATAACATCATACTCCTATCCGATGTGTCATGGAATGATTGCTCTAACAGTACCATTGGGAGAGGTGGCTTCACCTTTGTCCAGTCGGAGCTAGGTCAACGAGCACCAGGTGGATTTAGTCCCTGGAGATGGCTATACTGGCTTAAGCGGTTACATCAGATTGCCGATGAAGCATTTAAAGCAGATGAGAAGCTTCTTGCAGAGCAGGCTGCGAAGGCCATTGACATTATGTTAGGTCATGTCAAGGAGAGGAACTCTCAGATTCTCAGGGTGTTTGAGGCTGCGGGCGATGCGGTGACCCAGGACAAGGATTTCCTGGGTCTGAAGAAGGAATGGTAGATACACACGCCTAGGCTGGACGTGAAATCCTATGTCCAAGGACTATTGTGTCCTTTTTCTTTCTTCCATGTTGATCATATTGCGAGTTGCTATTCTACGCCCTGGTTTATGATATAAGGAGAAATTGATTAATATCGGTATATGATACTCCGGGACTCGCACTGACTTCACACAGGCCTTGCGAATCTTAGGTATTTCCTTGCTTACTTGTCATAAACTCACGGTTGATGACCCAGATACAGTAAGGAATCCCACCAAGACCAGATTTGGTAACAATTCGGGTGGGGGCCAGAATGGATTCGATTTTTTGAAGAGCAGCACCTATTCATCCTCGAGAGGCCCTCTAATTTAAGCCAGTCTATCCTCGTCAGTTACCAGGACTGTTGTGTTGTCCTTTAGCGGTGGCGGTGGCTGAGGTCTCTACTAGACATGGATGCATGGTGCACCTTGCAGCAGCTGCCTAGCACTGGATCGTAAGTGGTAGGATTATGACTTTGCTCATCAAAGCAAAGTCAAACCTACATCGCGCTAATGTATAGCTATCACACCCTGTCCCAAACTGTCGGGTCATGCAACGTAATCAACGTTGCACCTGGTCAGTTTCAGCTACGCTAAGGAATTATGATTTACCTGTTGGAACCATGAGCAAAGGTCTTATGCATACCAAGCCTACATGTCCTTGTCGGCCCTTGGAATAGCCTTACTGTCCTCATTACGCCCAGGTGACCGGATCTTCCTACGTGGCAGGGAAGAAAATGACTCAAACTAGGCCATCCAAAAGGGGCCCGGGCAATGGCCCAATTAGTTGGCCTGGAAATCGCACGCATCACGCACATTATTATTAGGTATGATTGTGGTGTGGACTACCATAAATTAGCAACAAAACGCAGCCAATGCTGTCATGACCCAATCATACTACAGTACGGCAGGACGGTCAGGGCATGCTAGAGGGAAGACCTGGACCCCGGCAATGTACCGCAGTACCCAATAGACAGCTGGAGCTAGATAGATAATATAGACAAGATGTATTATTCCGCGGAAATTGCGGACCCCTAGTATAATTTCCGATTTGGGAGGATTTGCTTGGGAGGAAATCGAACATCTGCGCGTTTGATCCTTCATATGTGCCACTCGAGAGAGGCTGTGACAAGCCTTTAACGGTCGTATCATTTGTAGTCTCGGTTGGTCAGTATGTCCCAAATTATGAATACGATGAGGCTGTCCTTCAATCTTGAGCTGTAGGATCCAATAACAAAGCGGCAGGGGTAGGTAGCGGCGTCACGGATAATTACTACAGCCAAAAGAGATGGTATATTCTTGGCGGTGGAAACTACCTTCGTGGCCACTGTTTAAAATACCTGCAATTCGCACTCCAGATTTTATCATTGAAGGGAAACACTATACACTGACCCTACACTATCCTACGTGTCGCAGCGTCTTGCACTATAAGCATGGCAGACAATGGCATTGTGACTCTTCATGCAAGTAGACAGACGATAACGAGGGACGGTAGAGCAATCGATTTTGAATACCCTAGAATTCAGCTATCTACAAACGATGAGCCCAAGGAGAAGCCCAACAAAGACAGCAAACACATCCTCATCTTGGGCGGTGGTGTCAGCGCATTGACCGTCGCTTGGATACTTCTTGATTCCGGATACCGAGTCACACTCGTGGCGGAACAGTGGGCGTGGACAAAGGATTTTGTGAAGTCTTGCATCACCTCGCAAATCGCCGGGGCGCTGTGGGAGTACCCTCCAGGTGGCTGTGGGTTGACCGAGATTGTCTCTGCGGGTAAAGGATGGTCCACACTCGAACACTACCAAGAATGGGCGCTGCAGAGCTACGAGTTCTACAAAAATCTCGCAGAGATACAAAATTCCCATGAAAGAAGAGGGCGGTCGTTCGGACTGAATATCACCCAGCTCCACCAGTTCTTTTTTGAGCCAATTGAGCTCAAAAGGGACACTGGCCGTGACCCTAACGCGAACGATAGCCGTGCCATCAAACTGCAGGGCATTGAAGAAGCAGTTGATAACCACAGAATGCATGGCTACAAGAGGTACAGAACTAAGGAAGACCTCGAAAGGGAGTTTAAGGATTCCAGTTTCAGCCGTGATTACCGTGGAGGCTTCAAATAAGGCTATACTCATGACGCCCCGATTATCAATACGGACAAGGCCATGGCATATCTCATGGCTCTGGTGAAATGCAAAGGCGCCAATTTCGAGACCCGAGAAATCAAGGGCAATCTTCGCGATCAGAGTAAAGGTTTATTGGAGATCTTCGACGCCAATGCCGTGGTGAATGCCACCGGCCTCGGTGCTAAAGATTTACTCGGTGACGAGGACGTTTACCCCGTCCGTGGCGCCATACTGAGAGTTGACAACACCCGTAATGGACAGTTCAACCACTTGGATGACGCCTACCTAGTTCCCGCGCAGAGGGACAATAATGGGGCGCCCACCGGCGTCGTTTTCATTGTTCCCCGGAATGACGATGTTCTCTATGTCGGATCAATTATCCAGCCACATAATGACCAGGTGAATCTAGAGCCTGGTTCGCCCGAGGTTCGCGTTATGTGGGATCGGGCTGCAGAATTCATGCCCAGCCTTCGACATGCCGAGTTTGTGCATCACTACCCCTTTGCTCAGGGTTTGCGGCCTTTTACCAGGAAGAACGTCAAGGTGAGAGCGGATACGCAGGCCGGCTTTCCTTTGGTTCACAACTATGGACACGGAGGCATTGGGCTTCGGGACTGCTCGCTGTGTAGTCTACATCCTAAACGCGCTTCTCGAAGAGGACTATGGTGAAGCGGACGAAAAATGGAACCAAAAAGTGGAAAAGATCAACGAGAAGATATATGGAAAGGAAGATTAGTCAAGCATGGCATTTCGCCCTCCACTGACTAGCACTATAAAAAACTGCAGCTATCCCAGAATTAGATGGGATTACACCAATCAGCAGCCAGACAGCACTCCTTTTTGCATGTTCTCTCTTGTGTTATTCCTTCCCATCGCATCGTTCGTTATTAGTGTCAGGGTAAAAGAGACGACAACAGGCGGAGCCATCATGTAGACCCTCCTCTAGCTGTTGGGGCCTGTGTTTTGGGTTGATGGCGCCGGGGCTGTATAGTCCCATGGAGCATTTAGGGAGGTTTTTAATTGAGATGGCCATGGGAAGGTATAAGGATTGGTTAGTTGGGGGGAAGCATGTATAGATGGTGGGGGAGATGCCTATCCTAGAGAATATGTCTATGTAGCTAGCATCTGTCAAAATGTGGAACCCCCATCAACCTTCCAAGGGCTATGTCATAGAAGTTTCCAATTATCCAGCTACTGCCCGGGATGTCCACTAAAAGCTCCCCCAGTAATGCAGATCATAGTCCACCCCACCAGGCCTCCACAGCGGCTTAGGCGTATAAACCGGAATGGGCGACGCAGCTGCAACACATTAGCACCAGCAATCACCACAGCAAATCACTTACTTCCGTATCCTGTACTCGGCGCCGCCCAGGTCGGAGACTCCGGCGCGACCCATCCCGTCGGCGAGGCGGTAATGGTGTATGTGCTCATATACATGTGAGGTTGTTCCGCAGCGCCCAGCGAGACAAGGCCATTGTTCAGACCGTACGAGTCATTGCCATGGCTAAAGACATTACTGATCTTATTGACGACGCTGCTGCCGGACTTGGTCTAAACAGTGAACTTCTCAACGGTAACGTTGGTGGCGTACGTGAGGTCGTTGGCGATGATGTAGAGTGGTGGTTGTTGGATGCCATTTGCCACGGAGCCTGGACGACATTAACAACGTAGTCAGGATGGAAAGAAAGCCCTACCTGAAAAGTTTTGGAAGATGAGGTTGCTCAATGTGATGGATCCTGTATCTGGCTTGATCGTGTTCTGCCAGTACTGGTTGATGTCCAAACTGTACAGACTTGCTTTGGACTGAAAGTTGGAAAAGGTGACGTTGGTCACGTAGCCGGAGCCGCTGGGGTAGGTCTTGATGAAGGCAATGTTGTTCCCCTGGATGATACTAATGTTTTGTGCGACCTGTGGGTCAGCATATTAATGTTAACGGAGGGGGCCGACGTACTATGTTTGATATCTCAGCGATGTTGAGGCTGCCGATGGAGATGCCCGAGCCGGCCTGGTTACACACCAGGTTTTTGATCAGCGCGTGGTGGGAGGGACTCTTGACGGAGACGCATTCGTCGCGGTTGGTGACCTGATGGTCAGCTGGGTCTAGGCCATTGAATGAACAAAAACATACCTTGTTGTCATGAATGTGATAGTTTGTGCCAATCGCATCGATGCCATTGTAACTGCCGAGATTGGCACCCCGGATGGTAAGATGTTATGCTTCTACATTGACGGCAAAGTCAAGCACAATGTGGAATTTTGGGCTGTCGACCAAGATCAGGTCATGGACGGAGGTGTTTGTTGGTGAGATCAAATGAATGAGACGGGGACGATCGGTGCTGTCCGGTCTGTAGGTCTCTATCACACAACATTGTGGCGGTAATATACTTGTTCAGATTCCGGTAAAGATATCCTTGCCCTTGAAAGGCGCTGAGACCGTTGGATGAGTAGAACTCAAAGTCGACAGCTACGTTGTCAGTCTACATTCACTACTAATAATGACTGACGCTCACCATTGACAATGACCAAGACATCTAACAAAAACTTCTGGTCACCCTCCCCATTAATGGTAGCATTCAACACATCTGCACCGGCCAAACCCTCAAGGATTAACGCACGATCAATGGTCCAATTCCCCCCATACGCTGCTGTGATGAGGCCATCCAGCTGAAACGCCCAGTTGGTCGCGTTGCTGAGCATGACGCCGCGGGAGATCAGGTTTTGACCCTCGGGGACAACAAGTTTGCTGCTGGGGTTAAATCGGACAGACTCATTGAATGCCGATTCAAGAGAGGCCGAGATATCTGTGGTGTTGTTGGCAACAGCACAATAGCTGAGGATATTACATTCAACTGTCTTTTCTGAGAGAGCAGTGGTTGGGCCTACAGGGCTGATGAGCTGGGCCGCTGCCAGACCAAACGGGATAAAAAGGAGAGAAAGGACAAGCATGGTGTTTGCAAGATGGATGCTAGGATATTGGATTAAATTTGTTCAGGCATTTATATACTGAGACCATGACGCAATGGAGATCAGTTCATGGTAATTTTCCTTCCACTGAGTCATGTATAGTACTGGTGCCATTTTAGTATGGATGGCACCATCACTACATTGGAGCTATCTATTTATACTATACTTGACTTTTGGTGCTCAACGCATCCTACTCTCCAAGTCCTCCTTGCGTGTCTTAGACTCCCCATCCAAATACGGCTTCTCAGCCTGTGGCGCAACGCGCAATCCATGCCGCAGGTGAGAAACTACATTGTCAGCATGAGCGACAAAACAAGAAGGTAGACATACAGTAATTGAAGATCCCTGTATGGAACGTCACCTGATTATCCCAGATGGCCACCGCGTTCGGCGTCCACTTCCACCGCACCTGATACTCGTACGCCTCGGCGATGGTCCGGTAAAGCGTGTCTAGCAGCGTATCGCCGACCCTCTTCTCAATGCCGACGATCTCCTTGGTGAAGTTCTCATTGATGTACAGCGTTTTCCATTTTGTGATAGGGTGCGTCCGGATGACAGGATGCTTCTCTGTTCAGTACCTCAACAGTCACCCACATAAAGGGCAGTTTAACTCATAATGGTCTCGATCGGATCCCGCCGCAGACAGCCATTTGTCTTCAGCGCCTTCTCCGCCTGTTCCAGCCCGCTATGCTTCGCCTTGAGCGTCTCCAGAAATGCCCTCAATTTGGGCGACAGCGCTAAACTGTCAGCATCCTCCATGAAAGAAACGTTGCGAACGAACATACACTCGTACAACGCATACCCACTCGCCCAGATTGTATCACCCCCCGCTAGACTACCCCCCGGCCCGGCGGCAGGCAGGGTATCCATTCGCAGCATGGTCAGACCAGGCGGCTGCAATTCGTAACTCACATCCGAATGCCAGATCTGATGCGAGCGGCCATTCACCGCCGTCTGGTCCTTGTAGATGGGGTGCACCCAGGGGAGATCGGGGATGATACCCGCCATCTGGTGGATGTGCAGCTCGCCGAAATACGCGGTGAAAGCGATCTGCTCGTGCACGTCCATGTCCTGGTCGCGGAAGAAGACAACGCCCCGCTCGGCGACTAGGAGCGCCAGGTCATCTTTTTGGGCGGGAGTGAGGGCCGCGAGTTGCAGGCCTGCGACCTCGGTGCCGATGTCTGGAGTGAGGTGGATGATTTCCGTTGCGGCGGAGAGGAGGCGCGATTTGGAGGGATCGGCATGGTGTCCGCGGTGGGTGAAGGGGTGCGTGGTGAGATTGGGGAGCTTAAAGGGGGTGTAGTTCGGGTACTCTAGGCCTGCGGCGCGGACGGACTCCAGGGGGGAGACACCCCGGGGCGTGTGGTAGTCCGGGTGAGGGAGGTTGGCCGGTTTGGGGGGTAGCTGCACTTCGTTGGCAGTCATTTTGGTGATACTGTTGTCTGACATGCTACGAAGGATTTATCTACTTTATAGCAGAAGGTAACTCCGGTGGGATGCTGCTTGTTGGTGGTCTGCTCGCGTCATCCAAGCCAATTTGATGTTTTTTCCGGATTGCTACAGGCTATCAACTTGAAACCACTAACTGTCGAACAAAAAATCCAACCGCTTATTCCCCTCATCCGTAGTCGTCTCGAGATACTCTGCCTTCTGAATCTCACTCATCGCCTCCCAGAGTCGCTTCTTCCACCGATTCCTGGCAACATAGTAGCCCTTGGCCAACACGTACGCCACGATCGTGGCAACATTGATTGCAATCAACTGTGAATTACCCCGCCGGTAGTACGGCTTATCGTCCTCGCGGTAGATATTTGACGAGGCGATCCCAGACAGCTGGATGGTGATGTTGTACAGCGCGTGCGAACAGCGTTGCTCAGCCGCGAGCACCAGCCAACGTGTGCTGCATGCGGGGAGGGCCAGCCCAGGAGCACAAAGGTGACTGCGTAGAGGCCCCAGTGGGAGAGGGTCCTGGCGGAAGTGTACAGGACAATCAGAAGCGGGAGCGACCAGAGTTGCGTGAGGATGCCGATGGCTGCGATCTGGTGGAAGCGATCGGTGAGCGCGATGACGACCAGCAAATTGAGCGCCGCGAAGACGGTGACGGGAATTCCCAGCAGGGTCGTCTGGAAGGTCGAGAAGCCGATGGCCCGGAGCGAGAGACTTAGGTAGGATTTCGGCGGGGAGGTGGGGATCTCGAACAGGATGCCGATAATGTAGATGGGCCAGAGGTCATAGTCCTTAAGACTGTGCCAGAGCATCCCCATGCTCAGCGCCTGTCGGTTATGCATATCACCTTTGGAGGGGTCGTCGTGCAGGACCTGGTTAACGATGATCTTCTCCTCGCGTTTGGTGAAGTACCCTTTCGGGTTCCACCAGGTGGCTGTCTGGGTTGGGCCGGGGATAAGGAACAGGAAGCTGGAAACACCAATGACCAGCCTGATCAGTGCCTTGATGAGGAAGAGCCACCGCCAGCCGGCTCGTCCCGCCACGCCGCGCATGTGCAGCACCCCATACGCGATGAAGGAGGCGATCACGCCGGAAAGGGAATTGACAAACCAGAAGAAAGCGAGGCGCAGCGGCATCTCTGTCTTCTTGTAAAAGTAGGAGAGGTACAGGATCGCGTCGGGGATGAAGCCGCCCATGAAGAACCCGAGGAAGAACCGTCAAGCGAAAAAGCCGGCCCGCTTGTGGATGAAGAACTGTCCCCCGGAGGCCAGACTCCAGAGGATGATCTGCACGGGGATCCAGCGATCAGGGCCAAGCCGCTTGCCGACCATCTGAGAGGGGATCTCCGCAATCAGAAATCCGATCTGGTACATATTCTGCGCGTTGTTAAAGTCGTTGGTGTTGATGTGCAGGTCCGGAAGAAGACTATCGGCAGACGCATTGCCTAGATTGCCCCGGTCAAGGTTAAGGCCGAAGAACATCACCAGGATCCAGAGGAAGATCTTGAGGTCCGTCTTGCGTCTGACGGCTATCTCTTTGCGATAGGTCCACCGGAAGTCAGGATCGAATCGGTGCAGGTTCTCATATTGTGGATGTGGGAGGTAGTATTTGGCCAGCACAGGGTCGTCGAAGACGCTCTTTGTGGTTGCTGTAGCATCCAGGTCGACTTTTTCCGTCCGCTTAAAGAGGGACAAGAAGGACCTGCTGTGCGACTGCTCTTGTGGCTCGACAAGGTGGATGGTGGTGCCATCCTTGGTCCCTTGTTTATCACTATCTGAGATTGGGCCAGCCATTTTGCATTGGGCAACATTTACAGCCGGACTTGCCTCTTATATGAAATAATGGTGATAGCTATGTGAGATCAACGCAATGTCACGGAATAACAGATGATGTTGTCATGTAAGTGTCAATGGCATCACCGGGTACTTTGTTATCATCAAGTCAATCTAATCAGAAGTCTTTTTCTGAGTCTACCATCCTCTCATTGATGGAAAAACCATGACCATGATAAGCTGCTCGCCATACCAGGCCCTGATGATGAGCTCCGGTGGAGGCTGGCAGCCACTTTCAGGTAAGAACAGATACACAAGTCAATTGTAGAATCCTGAAGCTATATTAAATTAGCTTAGGTGCGCCTGGATGATATTAGTTTAAGTATAGTGTACTGGGCCAAGTAAAGTTAATACTAAATTCTAAGAAAACCTAAGAGTGAAGGATCGAAGGTTATAAATAAGCAGGTAAGCAATAGTAGTGCACTGGTAGGTTTCCTTGATTACTGTTGACCCTGACTGCTGATATTTCTAATAGTAGTCCTTTTATTTCTCTTACTAACCCGGCAAAGAAGATTTTTTTCACTTATTATAGTGTACAACACGCCCAGCTTTCAGCTTATAACTCTGAGAAATGGGTCTGAAACACGGAGAAGATTTATTATGGTGCCTGACCTGTGTAGGAAAGGGTTCCATTCTTTATATGACCTGAGACTAATGGAAAGAAGTACTATGTAGAGATAAGATGAATCTAGCATGTTTCAGCTATCACCTATGGTCCTGAGGCGAGGTAGTGTTTCTTTAGCTAGCCTGCCATCCTCTGCTCCTGCCTGATTATGGCTGTAGTGTTTCAGTGTCCTAAATTTCATCTAATGATGTTTTAGTTTCATATAACGTGTCTGGCTCCAGAGTATCAGACAAATTCTCGACCAGGAGTATTTTCATCGATCCAGGATTGAACGAATCATGGAGGCTCGGAAATTTATACCACGTGTACGTTGAGATGCATTGGAGAATTGAATAACTACTGGTTGACATTTCTCCTTAGGCTTGATTAGTGGGTTTAGAAAAGAAACAATGTAGCAGGAGTGGTGGCTGATATTGATCAACTGAACAATAGGATCCCACGCGAGAACAATAGGAATGCTACCATGCGAGTCGGTATCCTTGCGAATGGTGGCATCTACAAGCAACAGTACCTGGATATCTGCCGGACTAGGCGCAATGTAATCAAACATGTCTTGACGCTACCAATCCAGCCCATGGGATACTGCCTAGCACGGAACGTGGTGTCTGTCTGTCGTGCAACATTGGCAACGACCGTCGAATAGGATCGAGAATTGAGAAACACAACATCCGAGAACCTCAGCAAGGGAGAAACACACTCTGCATATGACCGATGCATACGTTGTGGTCCAAGTCTCAAGGCCTGCTGTCTGCTTCGTCTACATAAAGACAGACAAGGTCTTCAAGAACCGCCAAGTTGATACATCCGAGAATGGTTCCTTCAAAATGATGTCCTGGATATTTCTTTTTGCCAAATCCTTGCTTTTCTGTACCACCGTCTCTGGGATCTCTAGTAGACAGGATTCCATGGTCAATGTGCAGCCATCCGCTCTGGGGGTTACCTATGAACTTGGCAATGTCACGTACTTTGCCAACGTCGAATATCCCAGGGCAATTTTTAACTTGGACTACACCAGTACTTCCCGACTTGTCCCAGCCACAGTCATACTGGTGAACCAGGGTGTGGTCACCGGCGGCTATCTGAAGTCTACCCTTTCCCGCTACCTGACCGAGGACGATGTCTTCTCACCCGACTTCCTGTACGCAATCTATCTCACATCCACTGTGTCAAAGTCTAGACTGGACACGACAGCAGAGAGATATCTGAGGACTCTAGGTGTGGCTTGTCTTTTACTTAATGCCACCTCTTTCGAGAGTATCCCGAGCAACGGATATGCGTTGAAGGACGACCACAACACATCCCTGCCACCAGGTCCTTTTACCATTCTCGTCAACAATGGGTCCATCTCTTTTCTCGACACCTACCGGCTGTATATCGACAGCTTTCGCACCTTTATTACTGGTGCATATCCCTCTAACAACGGCATTGGTTCGTTTGCTGCGCTACCTGCAATGAATCCACGGCTCTGGGGGCCACTGATCCCAGTCCCCAGTCGAATTCATTCCTGGAATGACAATCGACCCCTAGCAGGTAAGCGAGTCTCTGTGAAAGACATTTTCGACGTCAAAGGCCTACAAACCTCAGCTGGAAGCCAGGCATGGATCCAGGTCACTCCGATTGCCAATTCGACTGCTCCTGCCATTCAACGACTGATCGATCTTGGCGCGGTGATAGTGGGCAAGTTCAAGTTAGCCCAATTCGCGTCGGGTGCAGATCCGTGGAATTGGACTGACGAACAGGCCCCCTTTAACCCTCGGGGCGATGGGTACCTGACCTGCTCGGCCTCGTCCTCTGGAGGGGGATGCGGAATTGCTGCATACGATTGGCTTGACGCGGCGATTGGGACAGATACGGGTTCGTCGATGCGTCGTCCTGCTTCGGTATCGGGAACTTTTGGCAATCGTCCTAGCCAGGGTATGATATCGCTGGAGGGTGCTGTTCCCTTGAATGCCGGGGAGGATACTGTCGGGGTCTTCTCGCGCGATCCTGTTGAGTGGGCTGACTTCGCCAAAGCCTGGTATACCCCAAGCCTGCATGAAGATCCCTCGATCAACAGTCTTCCCCCTCTATCGGTACCAGACACAACAGCCTTCCCGAAGCGGATCTTATATCCGGTGGAGTATCTCCCTCTGGCCAATCCCGCAGCGCAGGCCATCCTTGACGAATTCCTTCACCGCATGACAAGGGCGTTTAACATGACGATCGAGCGGACGAACTTCACCGCCACAGCGAGCAATGCATCCATATTTCCCGAGGTCCATGGGGACCCTTTCGTCAACTGGAATCTCTTATACGACGCCGGGGCCACGTTACAGCTGTGGACCCAGTCCACCAAGGTCTACAAACCCTTTATCTCGATCTGGGCTGCGAGGAATGAAGGTCGTTTCCCGCCTGTCGACGCGCAGTGGAGGCAAGCGTGGACTGGGTATGATGTCAGCCATATCACCCAGGCAGTCTACGAGCAGGCCTTGCGGACAAAGGCCGCAGCAGTCAACTGGTTCCAGGACGAAGTCTTGTACCAGACCTCCGACTCATGCTCCGAGGCTGTGATGATCTGCGACGGAGGCACCGGAGGCTTGCCGAGTTTCCGTGAGCAGGATTTGAACAACAGACCCAACGCCAGCTTCATGAATGTGTTTCCAAAGAATTCAGACGTATCCTGCAGCGGTATCTGTACTTTATTTGGGTAAGCAGCGTCCTGCGCATGTCTGGGGCAAGCTGACTATCTTTAGGTGTGTGGACTTTACCATTCCTCTCGGACAGGTGGATTATTACTCGCCAGTGACCATGGTGACGGAGCAGTGGCCGGTGACGATCAATATCATTGCTCGCCGGGGATGCGACTTTATGCTCTTCAACATGATCAAGAAGCTTGCAGAAGAAGGAGTGCTGAGATCTGTCAAGACCGGAAGGACGGCTTTCTAGCAAGGAATCAACACACTTAGTTACATCCATAACTATCGACAAGGACAAGTGATTCGTATCCCTACAATAGGAACGGCCCTACTAGATAGTATACAAATAAATAGCTTGGATAATATGTGGTTATTTCCTACGCCACAATAAACAGAACCGGGTGAAGGCTAGATCACTGAGCGCGAGAACCCGAGCTGCCATGAGGGATATAAGCCAAATGCGTGTCAACAGGCATGCCGACTAAAGCAGCTCCATTTGGTCAGGCCACCAAAACATGCTGAGACGGAGCAATAGGGGGGCAGTATTGCAGCTCATAACAAGAAGGATTGGCATGAACGGAACACCTCGTTCCATCATAGCTCGTCCCCTCTGGACACTGCGGATCATCCTTGGACGCGCAGAAGAATCCATTGAATTTCTGACCGGGGGGACACTCGGGCTCCGATGTTCTGACGCACTTATTGTCCTTCAACTCCAGCCCCGGGGGACATTCAGGCCGCTTAGTCGACACACACATCCCAGAGTGAAATTCCGTACCAGGTGGACAGTCGGGCGCCTTTTCAACGACACATTCGTCGCCGACGAGGCTGGAGCCGGGCGGACATTCAGGCTTATTCTCAGAGACACAGTGGTTATCCAGGAAACGGAATCCTGGCGGACATTCAGGATTATCGTTTGCGACACATTCGCTGCCGCGCGGGACGAGGCCTTCGGGACATTGAGGTGGTATGATCGAGATGCATCGGTTTCCGTCTTGCGATGTGCCTGGGGGACAGGACGGGGGGTCCTGGTGGACGCAGTCGGCGTCGACGCGATCGAGTCCCGGGGGACATTCGGGGTTCTCGGTGGAAACACAGTTCTTGCCCTCGACCCGGAAGCCTGGGGGACATTCCGGCTGAACGTCTGCAAGGCACTTGTCGCCCACCGGTGGGAATCCGTCTGGGCATTCGGGGGTTGTCGGGATGATGCAGTTGCCATTCCAGTACATCTGATTGTCGGGGCACTGAGGGGGCTTATCGGAGMGGCAGACGGTCCCGATGAGAGTGAAGCCGGATGGACACTCCGGCGTTGTGGCGTCCACACAGTGATCTTTCACTAGACGGAGGGGAGGTGGGCAGCTCGCTGGCTTGTCGCCACGGCAGTGGTCGTCATGAACATGCGAGCCTTCTGGACAGGTCGGGGGTTGCGTGGACACACACTCCACCCCATTGAACCTAGTAGGAGGTGCACAGTATGGTGTTTCATCGAGTAGGCAGTACTGTCCATTCCATACTCCTACGTCGCAGGCAGGCGTCTCTTCTGATACGCAGTAGCCGTCCCGGAGCTCCAATGGGGACTCACAGGCCGGCTGCTCGAGAGGAGCTGTGACGCATTTTTCACCGTCAAACTTGGTTCCTTCCGGGCACGATCCCGGGTCCGCAGGAATAAGGATGCAGGATGAACCATCCCACGTCCAAGCCGTTGGGCAGCATCGCCCGGTCTGAGAAGGTCGATGGAAGGATGAAGCGAACCCAGGGGGACACATGGGCTCCTGTCTGCGTACGCATCGTTTGTTCTCCAACTCCAGCCCCGGGGGGCACTGAGGCTTCTGGTCCGTTCGACACTGCCCATCCTCGAAACGGCCCGATGTACAAGATGGCGGAGTTTGAGAGACGCATTTCCCGTTTTGAGACACTGTTCCAGGGGGACACTCGGGGTCACGGCTCAGGCGACAATGAGAGCCGTCATTCGTGTACCCAGGAGGGCACTCCGGTCGCTCTTTGGAAACACACTTCCCATCAAGCACGACTAGTTCCGGTCGCCCACACGACGGCCCATCTTTGGCGATGCAGCTTTCGCCATCGTAGCGTTGGCCATCGGGACAATCCGGACTGGACCGGGAGATACACCGATCGTTCTTGGGGAAGAAGCCATGTGGGCACTGAGGGCCTTCTTGGTACACACAATGGCCATCACTGAACCGATATCCGGCATCACAACCGGGAGGGATCGACAGCGTGCAAGTCCAATTTATCCAGTTGGATCCTGACGGGCAGATTGGGTCTTGAGTGGACACGCATAGATGGTCTTGGTATTGGAAACCAGGTGGGCATTGTGGTCCTTTGGTATGGACGCACATTCCATCCTGGAAGATCGTGTGCTCAGGACAGATGTCTCTCTGATACAGCAGACACCTGGTGCCGTCATACACGGTCCCCCTTGGACAGCACTTCAGGTCGGTTTCGCCCGTGGTAGGATTACGCCAGGAGGACGGGACAATGTCGTCGAGGGTGATTGCGCGGGAGGGAAAATCAGGGACTTTGTGCAGTCCAGGCACCTGCTGAGAGGCGACCTGAAGTGCTCCATTAGCCAACAGGAGTGCCAGAGGGAGCTTCATTGATAATTTTCTTGTTTGAGGAGAGGAAAACAAGTTGGAACACGAGATCAATTGCATTGATGATGTGCAATTGACGGAAGGATAGCCTCGTTATATAGTCACACTTGGTAGCTCTAGCCCCTTAACATCATTACGAGGGGACAGACGAGATACCCTGAGGTTGCAGTTACTACACCATCCTTGATTGTCCTGTCATGGATCGGCCGAGCGGGCAAGACCAGGCGAACATCCTCTGTCACGCGGGGAATCGAGTTCTGACCAAATGCAACGTGATGAAGCTTAACCTGCAGATACGGGCGACGTTGAGGACAGCAGCCTGAAGAAGTTGCAGAATAGCCCAATAGCCCCAGCTGTGATCGGCGTGGCGCTACTCCGCATTGTCTGATCATGGGGATGGATCTGCAGGCATGGTGCACGTTTCGAACTCGTCATGTTTTCTTGTCTCAGCTCAGCTAGCCACAGTGAATAAGAAGCATGATACAACCCATGAAAAATCCCTCAACTCGAGTTGCCATGCAGCCATTGTCACACTGCCCGCCTTTGGATAAGGCAGCGCTCTCGGTTGCCACCAATTCTGTCTAGAGAGTCACGGACTCAGTGGTGCAGATTGCTCAGTTGGAACGCCCTGAGGTTTACATGGTCGCTTCATCTGCCTTGTTTTGGACAAGGCGGACATGGTGGCTACCTGAAGCTGCCACTTTGCAAGCATAGTGTGACTTGGAGTGTCGCCGGTGGACAACAGCATGCATATGGATACTCTCCTATAAAACTCACCCAGCGCACCAAGCTTGTCCCATTGCTTTCGTAGAGTATCACATTCTGCCTCCTTAACTTTGTTAGCTTCTTCAACATGGGCGCTCCAAATCTCTACCACTCTATACTCGTGTCCCTTCTGTGGGCGTCAGTGTGGTTCAGCAGCCTCGCAAGAGCCGACTACAATCCCTTCTGTCCCAACAATGCAGGGCAAATCCAAGTCGATTCCACGTTGTACACCGTCACCTGTGATATATCCTACATATCTCCCGCCCCCAAGAAGGTAAAGGAGGGCGCATCCCCCGAGGACTGTGCTCGGCTGTGTACGGCGGAGCCAGCATGCCGTGCCATGGTCTGGCATTCTGGCAACTGCTGGCAGTCCGATAAAACAGACGCCGTGTCATTCCGTGTCCCCGGCGCTGTACTATTGACACCAGGCAAGAAACAGGATCCTGTCACTGGACCATCCCCTGGCGAGGGGCAACAAAAATGCCTCGAGGAGAAGGAGCTGTTGGCACAGGGGAAGGAGCAATGTGGTAGATCCTTGGCGCAGTGTGAAGCCGACAAGAGCAGCATATCTGCCGCAAAAACCACATGCGAGAACAATCTCGCGGCTGCAAACAAAGAAATTGAGCGACTGTCTAACCCACAGACAGTCTCTGACAACTTCGTCCCTGGTAGGCCTCCGCTTATATCTGTGGACGACCATGGCTCACATAATCTAGCCCGAAATGATGATGGACGGGAGGTGATTATTGCTGGGAAGAGATGGAAAATATATTACGCCAAGTGTATATCTCCCATTTCCATGTCCTGTGCCACGCTAATTTGTTTATAGTGAATGATCCTGGCACTTGGGAAGTGGGTACTCTTACTGTACCCTCCTATATGGAGTGCATGAAGCTCTGTGCTTCCAAGCCGGAATGTGTCCGTACAGCCTGGACCAACGATATAGTCGGTTCAAGTACATGCTGGATGAGAGCGCATGGCCAGCACATTGTTCAGACTGTTACTCAACCTTGGACTTCTACTCACCTTATTGGACCCGCTTGAGTGAGGATATTAGATACTCACCGGTTCGAGTCAATCAGAGCAGGGTGACGTTTAACTACCGTGATCCTTCGAGTCATCGATTTGTGTTTCGACTTGTCTCTTTGCTTGCTTGCCGGGGTTGTTGAATCTGTGTCTGTAGATTCTCCAAAACAATGCCATAAAGTCTATTCTTCTTGTACGCAACTCTGAGGTTCTACCTCTCCATCAAAGGATGTTCTGGACTCTGGCCGGCCTCTCTTTCGTAGTCGGGATCCACCTTTCAAACAACCAAACTAGGACAAACTTAATCCTTTTGATGCCGTTACGGGCCGCTAGGAGATCAGCGGAACGAGAATCGTCTAACGCAGCGGAAGATGCGCCTGTGAGACGGGCTGCGGTGGTGAGAACCAAAGCTGGGACCAAATAGGCAAACTCGCATGATCTGGCTGCCTATGGTGGAGCTGTTATCTTCAGCTAAAAGGACAATAAACACGGGGTCAATCAGGATAGCTAACTGCTAGCAGTCATGATCATCGGGACAGAAGCTAGCTATAACCTAAAGCATAGCTAACTGCTAGCAGTCATGATCATCGGGACAGAAGCTAGCTATAACCTAAAGCAAGCCTGATAAGACAGATCACATCATATTGGGACCTGTCAGATCAAGTCAAGACTAGACTGGCTGGAAGAGCACACATGATCCCCACAGATCATGTAGCTGACTATCGCCCATCTGCCCATTCATGTTGATCACTGTATGCACGTTACATGTCGGGATAGGTCTGTAGTCCGTAGCCTCGGAATCGCCTGCGGCTAACCCAGCCTCTCATAACTTATTGGATGCCGCAATGGCGCTAGTAGATTGGCTAGAATAACTATTGATGAACTGACTTATTGAGGCTGCAGGATGGGAACGTCGCTGATAATGCTGCTGAGCTTCCCATGCTTGCAGCTTGACCCAGTCGAGGAGGAGTTCGGTCGAGAAGCCAATAGGATTCTCCCATTCGTTGAGATGTATCAGGAATAGGCACTAGACTTACCGTGCCATTTACCCCGCAGCCGCTGAGTTTGCGTTAGGTTTTCCCATGCTCTCTGGCTAGACCTCCAGAGATGTCTGGCCTGCATGCCTTCACTATGCCTTCACACTTTGAGAATTAGGGACCCTCCATGTCTGACCTTACAGTATCTATTGTTCAACTTAAAAACCCGTCGTAATGTAGCTAAGAATGAACCGATCACTCCTATCGGACTCCTTGGCTCAAACCCCATCGTTACTGCTGGATCTGTACTTATTACCTATATAGCCTACCTCTACTATTACTATCCCAAGGAACTTACATTTGCTGGATTGATACAGTTTATATGACCCTTCTATTGTTAGAAGAAACCCTTGAACATATTTTGAGCACACCGCCCCTTGATTAGAGTAGAAATGGCCGTGATCTACTACCTGAGCTCAGTATCTGTCAGCTGTCTACTCACTAGAATTCCTCGAGCCCTACACTAAATGTGCCCAAACAGGAAGTGCACGCTGAGGATGTCTTTTCCTCCCGTCACATGAGGACAATGGAATTTAACCGCATTGCCACATCTTATATGTGCACACGGACATAGAGATGCAATATTGCTCTGTGCTGCCAGCCAAGATTACCTCTCCAGTTCGGTGTACCACACGTATCGGGCCAGCGTTTTCAGACGCCGTTGGCTTCGTCATATAGGTTTGACTATCAATGATCAAATTCGATGGTGATATGAGTAACTTGCGGGTCTGCGCCATGGCCACCAAACGAATACCACTTGCCTTAAACCGACGGATGGTTGAATTCTGGAGGATATAGAGTTGCGGAGGCTTGGTTTTCAATCTTCGGACTACTCAACTGCAGCTGAGATTCCTATTAATATAACTTCTTCACATGTACAAAAGAGAATATGTTGTATTATTCATACTAGCTTTTTACTCCAAGGCCAACCTATTAGTGCTGAACAGAATGCACAGCTTTCCTATAATTACCCGTTCCGACTATTGGACTCAGATAGGTGCGATCTTACAACATCCCACCGTACCTATAAGACAGCGCGTTGTTTTGATTCTGTGAAAGCACATTTTTCATAGTAAGACATTTTGTGTGCCTAAAGGGTGTAAATAGCTTAGATGGATTGTTGAATGTAGGGGTGGGAATGCAGATCTTGCTATGAGCTATTTTTTCATTGGTAAAGTTGCACCCATGACCTGCAAAGATTATAAATAGGAACAGCCTTGCTCATCTTCAGATTATGAACTATTATAAACTGTTCACTAAGAAATTTCTTTCGGCTTTAGTCTTCTTATCTTGCAGACACTGAAGATGCGTCTGACTCCTATTGTGCTCTTTTCCATTGTCTCGTTGGGTTTTGCCAGGGATCCCTTTGATTCTACAAACTCCCCAAACCGTTCGAAGACTGAAGGAATACAACTTGATTCGTATTGTCCTAGCCATGACGCTGATGAGGAATCCCGACGCGAAATATTTGCCCGATTCATCCAAACGCTGTACGAGGAGAAGAATGTGTCGGAGGCCTTCACCACATACGTTGACCCCGGGCTGATTGAGCATGATCCTTTTGATCAAAGCCGTGATGAGGTCGTGGCAAGGCTGTCTCAATTTATCTCCGTCTCCACTTTTACGGTTGTACACTCAACTTTTGATGGCGATATTGGGTTCGTCCACCTCAGACTAGGAGACGAAGACGCGCAGCCGGTTGCTCTTGCGGACATATATCGTATGGATGGGACCTGCATTGTCGAGCATTGGGACGTTCTCCAGACCCTCCCGGAGAATTCCACGAACCCGAAGGCCATGTTCTGATTATTGAAATCGTTTTTTCCTAGGCTGTGCGACAGTTCCTGGCTTTACATGGGTCCAGAGTTCTAAAATTTGCGCTCGAAACTGCAGACATGCGGTCTTAAGCATCTAAATGATAACAAATTCACTCCTGCACTGTGAACAGCTATAGAAGGATGATATTAATCTAGAATAATAAAGCCTTTTATATTTCTAAATTAGGAAGTATTATAACTTTAAGGGCAAAGCGGCAAAGTCTACAAAGAAGGGAGATAATTATTAAGGGCTATAGCAGACCGTAAAGCCACTATATACAGCTAACACTGATAGTGCGGGACTAAATCATAATAATACACTATACATATCTCCATAAGTTGCTGAGTATTGCGCAACTAAGCAATTAGTTCTCCTTGCTTAGGCAATATATGGTTATCTTCCTCCCTTCACACTGATCTCACTAGTTGGCCTCAGACCTTAATGGCTGGGTTATCAACAGCTTGGCTATCTTAATTTACGTGTCAGTGCTGCCATTATAGAGCCCAATCATTCATTTATGGCAGATGGGCTTAGCTAACCTTTTTCCCAAGCTCAATTTACCTTAATCATGTCAATTAATGCGACAAGGGAAGAATCACATAACTAGACTCCCACATTATTTATTCTGCCTGCTGTGATTCCGCTGCTCTTTACTTCTATTCTAGCTATAATTATGCAGTATTTTTATAAGCAGGCAAAGAAGTAGTCCTTTTATATTCTGTTTCCTTAAAGAATCTAAAGGACTAGTGAACTTTCACACAATCTACAATAAAAGCAGGCAGGTCGAGCCGGCACCTTCATTATGAAGATTGCCAATGGACAGGAAGTACTTCTCCGATCTGCGATGAGATGACACTATTTAGATTTCAATTTTTAACGGTATAAAGCACAATTTAGCCATATAGAGCCCACCCATCATGTACATATATGCCTTCAACTCAAAAAGACCTCTGTGTCCGCTCCCATTCTTCAATCCCCACAACACCCAACCTTGAGAAAGGAGTCATCCTCATCGATACGCTTTCTTAGTGGCTCGTTGAGCAGTTCTGTCACATCCCACTTTGCCCATACAAACCTCCCATGCAAGAACCTTGCCTCTGGAGAGGCGGCCCACACAGCAAACTGCCCTGGTAGATTTTCTGCATCGATGTCAGCGTTCTCTGCCTACGTTCGACTGATCTTCAAAGTGGTGTATGCTACTTACCATCATCCCATCGAGGGTCATCCTTCTTGAAACCCGCGAGTTCTGCCAGTTCTGTGAAAACACCGCCAGGATGGTAGCTGACTATCTGGAGTTCTTCCGGAGGGACGTCCTTAGCAATCTGCTGTACTAGCATTGTCCCCGCGCTCTTAGTGGCCGCATAGCTTGGGTACTGGCCGGTGAGTTTACTCTCGTGGATCGCAAGAGAAGCCAAATTGACAAGTGCCTGCCCGCCCTCGTCAGCACCAAGTCACCCGGATATATACAGTGGTCTGCGCTCACTTTTTGACGGACTTTAGCACCTGGCTGCTTGTACAACCGTTCGGTAAAGTCAAGGTGCGTCCGCACATTGGTAATGTACTCTTCCCACACCTTGTCCCTGCCTAGGTCGAGAATAGCTGCGTTAAGCACTACGACGTCGATAAGAATATTGTCGTTTGCTATGTCGCATATGAGCCCTACTGTCTGAGTGGAGGGGAACTCGGCTGCGAGGCGTGCCGCGGCCGAGGCAACCAGGTTGTCCCGTCGGCCGATGATGATAAGCCTTTTTGCGCTGGCCTGGGCGAAAGCCCGCGCGATGGCATAACCTATGCCCGTGTGGCCGCCTGTGATGAGCACAGTCTTCCCTGCTTGCGAGAGCTCGGGCGGGGACGGCGCGATGGCAGGATAGGGAGCATTGTGAACTTTCTGGGTGAAGGCGAAGCCTGGTGGCAAGGTGATAGTAGAAGACATGGTTGTTTAACAGGTTGAGGCTAAGAACGTGAATAGAGACTCCGGTGTCTGAAATTGAGACTGAGGAGATATCCGAGATATATAGTTAGGATATAAGGCTTGTGCAGACCATGCACATCGCAAAGTGAAAGAAGCTCTATTTATGTTTTGCACTCCCTTCCTAACACTTCCTAGAACCATCCCTACAACGCGCATCGGTTCCCGGCACTTCTGTTAACAAAGATGGTGGATAGACAAATAGACCAACTACAAACATTAGCATGGTCCGTCGCCTGTAACTCCGCAAAACACATCAAACTCCGCAAAGCCTCCGCCGGATCCCAGTAAGAACTATACGCGCGATTTTGGAGGCCTGCATCTCAATGCTGTCCTTGTCCTCACCACTATCTTGCTTTCGTCCGAATCAATGGGGCATTCATGATACACCCAACACTAGTTACCTGATCAAACGTTAATCGTCGGAACTCGGCGACTACGCTACCGATCCGGTGTCACCTTCCCCCCTTAGCCATGGACTTAAGCAACCTTGGTTAATGTTCTCTACCTACGGGGGATTATGTCACCACGGCGCGGGATTATAGGAGGCATGGTGTATTCGCAGTCCCCACGAATCAGTACGAATTTGGCCGCAGTTATGTTGTGCTCTAGGCAAAAAATGGGTGAGTATTGCTCTTTCGATCGACTATCGGCTGATAAAGCTAGTGAGACATGGTGGAAATGAGACCAGCATGGAATTAAAACCTGGCGGAGGTTGCCCCAAGTTCATCAGCAGCTTACTGGAAAATGCTCTGTTTGCCAAATCTCCGCCGCTTGGGGTCATAAGCTAGATTGGTGGTGTCGACCTTCTAGATCCATCTCAAGATATTGTCCTGGCGCTCATCCGGCGAGGAATTTGCCCCGTGCTGCGGTAGAATTCATTGTTCCGCTGCACCTCTCAGCCAGCACTACGAGTCACCTGTGCGCGCACGTCCCGAGGATCACTGACCGTCTGTGTTTGGACACAAACTTGACTAAACTGACCATGGATAATCTTTGGGATCCGTTGATGGACATTCCCAATCTCTGTAGTCAGTTGTTGTGACAGGAGGAAGGTAGATACCCCACGGCACAGCTCTGCCGACAGAGTCTCGAGGTACGATCCGACAACCCATTCTACAGCAGTGGAATTGGTTTCGCCACAGTTAGTCACTTCGTGTGTCGTGGAGCAAAGGTATACTTCACCACACGATTTAAATCGGTCACAAAGATGATGTGGTAGATGGATGAAGAGGGGATGCACCATCCCCGATAATAAATTGTTTCATCTTCGCAACACCTACAAACCTACACGCGAACAAGACCAGTTAGTAAGGCACGACCAGAAGAGCATGGAAACTGCTGGAAGAGGACGGGTATGAGACTCACGCAGCAAGCATGATCCATGAGAGGGGATCGACATCCCCAGGCTTCGCCACCTTGGCAAAGTCCTCGATAAAAAAGTTCTGCACAAATGTCTGCCGTTGTCCATGCCACGCGAGGAAGAAGGCGGGGCTGCTATCGGCTCTCCAGAGGGAGCCAGATGCCGTCCATCGGTGCACGCGTACAAAGTGTCCGGGGTCAGGCATGCTGGTGTTCTTGGAACCTGACCACTTGAGCAGTGCATAGAAGGCGATAAATGTGTAGCCCATGAGGATAGTGCGTCGGAGGGACTTGTTGATGATCCAACTCTGGAGGCATATCAATCAATCAATCAATCAATCAATCAATCAAGATTCTATTAACCTGATGTAGCCTATCTATTAAAGTGATTAGCTATGCAGGCGCTTCACTAATAAAGCAGGAATCTAGTATCTGAATGCCTGAAGCCTATAATTAACCCATAAATACAGAAGAGACATAGGAAATTAGTGTATAGCCATATTAAAAGTAGATTATATAACTAAAGTAGCCTGCTATCTAGCTATATATCTCCCCTATGCTACCTTAATGTGTTAAACACCTATCCCACCTCATTCTATATAGTTATTCTAAATATAGTGTAATTCCATGCCTAGGAAGACCCTTCCTAGGCAGCTATTCAGTCCTTCTAACCATCATCTTCTATATCTATTCTAGAGCCTTATAGGAGGCTTCTATGTTCCTGGTCCTACTCTGTTAGTTCCACTAGTTCTATTATCTTAGTGTAGTAAAACTAGCTAAGTAGGCCTATTTAATACATGAATTTAGTAATATAGTAGATTACCTGCAGGCTAGATATAAGTATATTATAGTCTAATAGTTTCCTCTAGAGTCCCTTAACATCATATAGCTTAGCCATTATCTTCCTGTAGGTCTTTATATATAGTAGATATTATAGGAGAATATGCTTAGGGGTCTAGGATCCCTCCCTATAGCTATACTAGTCTATATTATAGGCCTTAATCTTAAAAAGGAAGTATTATAGACTAATCTATATAGTCTATATCTAGATAATAATTAATATGTGCAGCTTTAGCAGACCTTTATATAGGCCTAGATTCTTCTTATAAGGGGCCTTAATTAGCTACTATATTAGCTTAGCCCCTCTTTCTATCTCTTACTATTTCTCCTAGTGGTGCTAGATTTATTAGTAAATAGCTTACTTAGCTACTATAGTAAGCTAGGTAATTAGTTATTCTAGCCCTACTAAGCTTATTTTAACTTCCCCTTATATAGCAGCCTTCTTTACTATCTTATCTATAGCCTTATTCCCCACCACACCTACATGGGCAGGGATCTAGTATATCTTTATATTATCTAGGAGTAGCCTGTGTGCCCCTAGGGCCCTTACTTCTTTATATATATTATCTAAAATATATTAGCTAGAGGGGTAGTATAGGTTCTACACTGCCTAGATAGTAGCCTAGCTATTAGTAAAGATGATAAGTAAGTATAGGCTTAATGCTCTGGCAGTAGCAGTATATAGTGCTATATAGATTCTATCTAGTTTAGTAGTATAGATAGTTAAGTCTATCTCTATGCCTAGATAGTTCTAGTAGATCTATTAGTCATGGGGGCAGATAGCTAAGGCACCTATATAGCCCTAGTAGCTACTGCTATTAGTGTAGATAACTAAGTGCTAGTTATTAACCTCTTTATATATCTTATTATAGATTATTAGTATAGCTTCATAGTCCTTAATTATATAATAGAGGGGTGGCTCCTATAGAGGGAGTATATATACTTTCTATATTTCCTATTCTTCTAGATATCTTAGGGTAGGGGCCAGTAGGCTGCCTCTTTTCCTAAGTACCTCTAGTAGAGTAAGGCTACTCTACTATATCTCCCTAGTTAGTTATAGCTTCCCTATAAGTCCTTATAGGTATATAAAATATAGCCCTATTTAGATTTAAATTATAGTTTCCTTAATAATTTATTACATCTGCAGGCAGATTAGTAATAGATATAATTCTATATTAAGTATAGCTATAGTAGTTCCCTAGAAGATATTACTAATTAATATAGCAGCATACTTCTAGATCTTAGTAAATTTATTAATAATTTTAGTCTATTCCCCTACTAGAATCAGCCTGCTAGCAGGGCTAAACCATGCTATAACTCTATATAGTAGCTGCAGGATGACCATACTATAATAGATTATATATATAACCTCTAGTAAAGCACCCTAGATTAATCTAGTAATACTTTATAGCACCTCCAGGCTATTATTTATATAGTTAATTACCTTAGTGTAATGGGTGTTAAAGGAAAGGGTTTTATTAAGCTAGATACTAAGGTATCTAGTTAATTTAGTAGGTTGAATAGTGGTTTCCCTATAGTAGATAGGTATTTAATCATAGCCTTTATATTCACCTAGTTCCTAGATATTAATAGGGCCTGTCAGGGTTAACTTATAGGGTTATTCTAGTTCTTTTAGGTTAGTGAAGTAGATTAGTTTAAATTTATTAGAGGTAAACTTAGTAGTATACTTACTAGTCTAGTAGTCTGCCTTCTCTAGGCACTTCTCTAGGACTATAATATTCTAGGTATAGGTCTAACTAATAGTAAATATATAGGAGTTATCTATCTAGCTAATAAATATAGTTTTTATATTACTAAGCTAGTAGACCAGTATTTAGATTAGTAGGATATTAAAAATTAAGAAAAGGATGGGCAAGAGGGGGCTATCTTATAGGATCCCTATTATAGTTATAAATAGGTTACTAAGGAACCCAGGCAGCTATAGATAGATATAGTAGTTTAATAAGAAGGATTATAACTAGTTAATAGCCTAGCCTAGCTATATAGTTTAGAGATTATATAATAGGTATTAGAGGGAGATATTATTAAATATACTAAAGATATCTAGTAGTAGTATACTAACCTTCTATCTAGACCCTTAAGTATAATAGATTATATTAATAATTAGTTAGATAGTATAGTTAATAGAGACACCTTTCTAGCTACCTAAGTAATCTTTTAGAAGTAAGCTATGTTCCTCTAGTGCCTAGAAGATATAGAGTATAATAATTAACTCTAGGACCTTACCTAGGGTATTAAGTAGGGTAATAGGGTAGTAGAACTTTAGAAGGTAGAAATCTTAGAAAGCTACCTTATAAAGAATAACTATAGTAGACACCTAGAAGTATTAGGGATTATAACTAATATAGATATAGATATTAAATAGGGTCTTAATTATCTAGATAAAAGTTAGGATAGCTATTAGAATATACTAGACCTTATTTAGAATAGTATCTAGTCCTAGTACCTTCTTAGGAGGTGCACACCTAATAGCTTTAGTAATTTCCTAGTTATTAATTTTAGAGAAGATAATATCCTATAATTAGTTATATATTCTACCCTCTATATCTAAGAGATCTATAGCTAATAGTACTAGAAAGAAGGTCTTATAGAGTAGGTTAGCTTTCTACTTAGCTATCTCTATAATATAATCTCCATAGTGGAGGGTAGGGATGACACCTATCTAGCTATCTTTCTAGTAGTTCTAGGCCTACTTAGTAATATACTACATGCCTCAGGGGCCTTAATTAACTATCTATTATATATATTTATAATAGCTACACTGCAGGGATTAGGAGATAACCTTCCCTTTCTAGTTATAGGCCTTAGTATACACAGTCTAGTTATTATTAATATATATACTAGTATAGATTTATTAGCAGAGATGTGCTAGCTTAACTATCTTAATATATTTAGGTATCTAGTTAGGGTTAGCCTACTTAGAGAGGTGGGCCTATAGTATAGACTAGGTAATAGCTTACTAGATAACTTTAATAAGATAGTTAGTAGTATTATTAATCTAATAAGGGATTTTAAGGTTCCTAGTCCACCTATATAGGTTAAGATTAGAGGATATAAATATATAGAGCTTCTATACATCTATAGCCTTCTAGTTATAGTATTTAGAGGCCTGCGGCAGGGGCATTATGATATTAAGAAGTAGGTAAATTAGTAGGTGGTTAGAATTAGTATAGATATTAGGGGCCACCTTATAGGCCATAAGATAGGCTATTAGATCTATAGATCTAAATATTAGGTTAATAGTTAACTAGTAGCCCTACTCATCATGGGTGGCAGTACCTAGTTCTATCTATAGATCTAGGAGCTAGGTATTAGCTAGTTCTAATAGTTTATTAAACCTAGGGTTAGTATAGCAGACATGGTCACTGCCCTAGGCTAGTTAGTAGAGGTTAAAATCTCCTAGGAGTAGATAACTACTATCCTACTAGTCTAGGACCTGCTCTAGGAGGTTAAGGGTGTTAGTTTAGGTATTAGTATCTAGGTATAGATTATAGATATTATATAGGTAGAGTATTCTAGTATTATAGTATAGCTTAAGCTCCTAGTAGTCCTATGAGTAGGCTATATACTTCTATTTAATAGGGTCTATCTAATAAGAGATATAGAGGTAGACCTAGGTATAGCTACTAGTTTCTATTATCTTAAGATAGAGTAGCTAGTAAGTTACTTAAGTAGGATAGTAGATAGTATCTTAGTATAGATTATTCTATAATTTCTAGATAGTAATAATATCTGCTTTTAGGACCTCTAGGTTATATAAAAACTAAGCTATTACTATATTCTTAGAGTAGTGTATATTATATTATAGTATTTAGAATATATTATTTATAGGAGGCATAGTATAGGGTATTTTATATACTTTTTTAATAGCTATTAGTAAACTAAGGTATTCTAGCTTCTATAGAGAAGTTAATCTAGGGGTTCTTCTCTAGTTATATAGCCTTCTAGCCCTTCTCTAGTTATATAGGGGTATCTACCCCCTACTTCTACTTCTTCTTCTTAGTATAGATGCTTAGGTTAGTATTAGTATCCTTATCTTATAGGACTAAGCTAGATTGCTAGTCACTCTCTAGGGTATTAGGGAGCTTAGTATAGCTATTTTTATTATTAGCTATAGTATTATTAATAGTAGTATTATCTTAATATATATTAAGATAGATCCTATATATAGCAGTAGTTTATTAGTTCTATAGTAGCTTTAGGGGATAGGTATTATCTTTATTAATTAGGTCTAGTAGATTAATATTATTTAGGTAGTCTATAATTTAAGTAAAGTAGTAGGAGATAGTAAAGCTAGTTTAATTAATAAAACTAGTTTAATTAGTTAAGGCCTTCTTTTTCATGGAGGTAGATAAGGCCTTAGGATATAATATTAATAGGATAAATAAGATATTATTAATATTCTAGTCTAATAGTAATATTAGGGATAATATTATAGTAGGTACCTACCTATAGGGTAGCTACTTATAGAATAGCTCTAATCTTACTTTCTTAGACCCCTTAGATAGTCTAGTAGCTATTTTTATTATAGTAGATCCCTTAGTACCCTTAGGTCCCTCTATTTATATTAGGGAGCCCTCTACTAAGGTATCTATATCTATAGAGATAGATATTAGGGTAGAGGTACTTAGTATAGTAGTAGAATCTAAGTTACTACTCTTAGAGTCCCTTTAGAAGTCTTATAGATATAGTAGAATATAGTAATATTACTAGTAGTAGTAGGATACTATCTATACTTTATCTACCTCCTTTATATACTTCTTATATCCTTTAGACTAGGCAGCATATATATCCCTATAGTTAGTATACTTTTATAGCTTCTAGCTAGTAGTAGCCTGCTATAGTAGGCAGTTATAGATCTTATAGCTATCTATATAGAGGCTATAAATAGTTTTATTAAAATAGATATTTTCTATATAGCTATATTACTAATAGTTAAAATACTAGTAGATATAAGTAGACTAGTTATATAAGACTATAATTAAAATAATAGAATCCTAGATAGTTCCCTTATTAATAGCTTTATTAGTAGCCTAGGGGGTAGAGAACTTAATTATTAAGATAGAAGATTTTTTATTAATAGGTTAGTTTATAAGCTAGGTAATATAGATAATTTTTACTAAGTTACTCTATATAAAGTAGTTTATAGTAAATAGCTAGTTAGCTACTTACTTAGCTTCCTTAGGGTCTATTAGATTATTAATTAATTTAATCTAGATATTATAAATTACTATACCCTATATTAGTAGGTAAATAATAGCTCTCTAGTAGAATAACTTAGCCTAGCTAAGGTAGTAGTATATAATCTTAGCTTACTAGGTAGTTTATAGGCTAAGGCTTAAGTTACCTAACTTAAGCTAGTAGATAACTATAAATTTAATAGATATAAAGATAGCTACTATAACCTCCTTTAAGATCTTTATATAGGCCTTCTTAGCCTTATTCTTTATCTCTATAGCTTTTAGATACTAGAATATACTTACTACTCCTATATCTAATAATTTAATAATAACCTTATAGTCCTTACTTAGTTCTAAGGGGGTGGCCCTAGAGCTACTTAATAAACTATAGAAGAAGATTATATAGTCTAGGGGTAGTACCCCTATAGTAGTAGCTATATATAAGTAAATCTTAGTAGATATAAGGATAGATTAAGTAGTTAAGATATACTAGGTAGAGATAGTATTCTTCTTAATATTAAGAGTAATCTTATAAAGGTTAGTAACTACCTTCCTCTAGTTATTATCTAAGGGGTTTTTAAGGATCTCCTTAATAATAGTATATATATTAGTAATTAACTTAATAAGAGGCTTTAGAATTCCTTAATTATAAACCTTTAGATAGTTTAAATAAATACTTATATTATAGTGAAGGTCTAGAATATAATTATATAGAGTTTTCTATAGCCCCTTTTTACTACTATAGAAAGCTATTAGGGGTGGCCACCCAGGCTTTAATAATAATATAGTAATTAAGACCCTATAAAATTAGAATTATTTGATAGCTGCTAATGTTACAAGAAACTAGGCAAATTTTAGGGTTAAAAGACATTGATTTAGGTGAGAAATTTCAAAAATTTGTTCTGCATCAAAGTTGTTGTTTTTTTTTTTTCCTCTGGAGGCATACATATTCAATCAGTTGAGGTGGCCAGTAGAAAGCAGATAAGTGGCGCGAGACAACATACTTCCCATGACTTGGGGGCCCTCTGCCTCACCTCGGCTTCTTCCAGGAGGCACATCTCTGCCAAGTTGTCTCTGTACTGTTCGAGCTCGAAGAGCCATGCTTCGAGAATAGTCATATCCCGCTCTGCCTGGGCGCGGAGCCCGATATACCCATCGAACACCCTCAAAACCTGGTACATCCAGAGAGCCTGCGTATTCGCTAGTTTTTCATAGACTGTATTTGCCGCACCAGTCCCCGCATCAGCAAGGCCCTGAGCCTGAGCCGTAGTGGTCGTCGACTCGTGCGATTTTGCCATCACGTGACGATGACTACTCGCCATGAGATCATCGACTCCCTCGGAGAGGACACGCAGGGCCCAGTCACGATTGCTGTCGCTGTGAGCGACATACGCAGACACTGCGGCGTACAGGGTGATTATAGAGCGCGGAGTGTTTTGACGACAGAGGTGGCGGTGGAGGAAAGGGGTCTCCTTAGTGCGGACAAAGACACTAGGTATCTCCTTAATTGACTTGGTCATGAAGCCGATCTTGGAGTCGGACTGGTAGAGCCTCCAAGGTTGGAAGTCTTCCTGTTCCATGAACGGTGAGCCATGCCAAGCACTAGATAGGGTTCACAGTTGCGTAGGATAAGTCATAATAATGCCTCGATGGTGACGAAGGTGATCTCCAATGTTGAGATAGAATGGCACTTTCAAGTTGTCATAGGACCTGGTGGCAATGCAGGTAATATTAAGCATAACGACGGGCTGCGCAATTCAAGAGGATAGGAAATACTTACAGAAACATCGCGACTTTCGTCTATGGGAAATCGGTGATTAGCGTGCAGTGGCGAGCTGGACATCCTGCATATCGCGGTCATACTTGTCTGGTCCTGGATCGCTAGAGCGTGCCACGGCTGCATGTCAACGCCTTGGGGTGTGTCTGTCATGTAATTCGTGGGGTTGTCGAAGTTGAAAAAGGACAGGTCGAATGAGGGTGTTGGGGCGACGAGCGGCATCTGAGGGTTGTCCGCGCCAGTAGTACTGGAGGCGAACAGCTCTTGGATCAGAGGAGGCCCACGTATTGAGGGGTTGTCGAATTCAAACACGGCGCCAGGAACTATGGACGACTCCTCAGTTGCAATGGTAAGATCTTCGAAGTCGACATCCACGGCGTGTCGGGTAGAGTTGTCCGAACCAGATGCCGCGGGGTTCCTGTGGTAAAAACAAGGTAAGCCTCTCTCAGCACAACGAGTGCACTGCGGAGTTCGCTTGTCGCAGCGGCGTTTGCTGCGGACACAAGCATTGCAGCTTTTCTGGCGCGACTTGTCGCTGGTCCAAGGATCGACCATGGCAGTGCACTATGAGGGACGAGGGGGATCGGTTTTAACTATCGACAAGTTCGACGAAGCGAAGGCGGCGATTGATGGCGATTCTGCAATGCTTCGGTAGGAAAGAAAGACCATAGTCTGAAAGCTGTATGCCGAATTAACTAGTTCTCGCACGACGACGGAGAATTACGATATCAGATATATTAGTCATCCAAAGAACTTCGGGCGGGTTCCTATTGGGTACATAAGTTCTATTGAGATGATGATCTGCTCAAAGCGGGAGACAGCTGTATTTCGATAGTCAGGATAGCCAATAATATGTCGGCTCCCATATGTTACTATATCCTGATAAAGAGAGACCCCCAATTCATGAGCTGGACCTCTGCACCTTTTAGCTACAGCGTTCAATTGTCCGTTGGATTCAAGTACAGACATATGCTGTAATGTCACTATCTTGCTTAACTGGACAATACAGGCGTCTTGCCAACCCATTCAGAGTCCCCGGTTATATGGTCCAATACCCAAGTCGCCAAACTCTTTCTAGATAAGAACATACCATCGTCTCCAGTTCCTGTATTTGAAGCCGTGATAGGTGCATTGGGCCCATTGGTTAAAAATGGACACGGAACAAAGTCCACTTGAGTTGCGAGACATCTTGAGATGCTACAAACTCACCAAGGCCCCTGAACTCGTCATAAGCAGACCCGCCTATAATCTTGATACGTATAACCGATGCCTTCCACTTGAGACCTCCTTTGTCCTGTGGTGCGGGATACGAGCATGTGCCAAGGACCATTGCCCTCTCGTAGTGCCTCGCCACTAGTATAGGAAATATGCGTTTCATAGCATCTGTCACAGGCTTCACCATTCAGTCAATATGTATATTCAAAAGGTGACAGAGTGAACTGGTCCTTTGACATACCGTTCCTTTCGACTTTGACACGGGTCCTGCAAATGAGACAAAGATCGTAGGACCCGAAGTTGCCGCGCGCTGGAAAGTAGCAATATCTTCCAGAGTGCCTTTCGCCACTGAGACATTTGCACTGTTGTGTATCTCATCAGGAAGCTTCGCTGGGCTTCGCACATAAAGGGTTAATGTGTGCCCTTGCAACAGTGCGGCCTTGCAGAATTCTAAGCCGGATGGCCCTATTACAGTCGAGAAAGCCAACCTCAGAACATCGTTTGCAACAGAAAGGGCTCACCAGTAGCTCCAATAACTAGTATGTGTCCTGCCATCCTCAGAGGTTGTATCACTCGTTGGGGTAGTGGTCGGATGCGCAGCAACGAATGATTATTTAAGTATGCTTGAGAGAGGCCGGGATGAGCTGTGATCGAAGTTTTAGGAATTCCAGCTCCTGGTATTGACCTGGGTACGTATAGAAGACGGACCCCGGACTTCTATACGTGCCCCGGATGCAAATTGCATCCGCCTGACAAATCCTCATGTTGAGTTTAACTACCACGAAGGATCCATGGCTACGTCAAGTCTGCGGAGATGATCATTCCTGGATAATCTCCGCAGCCAACCACGTTATTTCTGTCGATGAACCAGTCTCAGTCATTGGCGCCATTATTTCTAAGCAACTGCTTTGCGGAAGCAAAATGCCCACGCTCACAATCGGAAATGTTGTCCCCAACAAAGAAGACTATGAAACTTTTGTGCCCGCAAAGTGCAGCTTTCCTGAGCTTCTTTGCTTCAAACTCGGAAGCTCTTGTATCCGATGATGGTACAATTCAAAGTTATTCAAGAATCCAAGCGCACAGTACCTGAGAAACTTATCTCGTGTCCATACTCCATCTCTATTTGAATTGCCGCGATGGATGGCTCCAAAAGGGCGCGTGCTATGTTCTTTTTTCAGCGGTTCCTCATATCACCATTTGGAAAAGGTCTTGGAGGCACTCCCAGAAAGAATGGGGAATGGAAAGGTGGACGGGTCAACGCAAGAATTCGAAGCTGAGCTTGAGCGTGTTGCTGCAATTTCGGGGGCAGACAAGAGGTCCGCTATACTGAGAACATGGCGGCAACTTCCTCAAAGCTATGAGGCACACCCCGCTGGCAAAGCGGAGCATTTCATGCCCTTCCTAGTTGGTTCTGGAGCGATGGTGAGAGGACGCAATCCTGGGAGCTGTCCGGGGCCACTATGAGCACCTTTGTGTGGTGAATTTCGAATCCAAGTCCAACCAAATTATCAAGAATACATTAGTTCCCGTGTACGGGTCGCGGAGCTTTTGGCCTCTTAGTTAATGTAGTCAGAACTGGATAGACCGTCAGTGTCTTACTTCACCCTTATTTAAACCTGCCTGCCGACAGGGTGGGAACGAACCAAAATCAGTCTTAATTGACTAAGCTATATCGCTCCTAGCCACAATATCATAGACCGGTCGTCATCCGAATCTACATAAAACTGAATCCGTACGTTTCTGGATTTAGCGACGATGGCGCAAGTAGGCTTGCAGATGGAGATATCTGCGGTTTAGGAATTAGACCAGAAAAGGTCCTAGCAGCAATGGAACATAGGTTGGGTATGTTGCCCATAAGCCCGTGTGCAAGCTGCATACTACTAGTTCTGCCGTTGGCATAACACAATATTTTCTGCGCGGTAGTTAATAAAAGGGCCTTTTCTCAGCTTGATTGTCAATGGAACTTGCCTGCTCATATCCTTGAAGACCTAAGGCAATACTAACGCTTGGCGAAGTCGAAGTCTCCGTGCCATTTGCTGCTTTTGAAATGGCATGGAGCGCTAGTCTTTCAAATTCAGAGCATAAATCCAGTAATGATTGTACCTCGAGGACTTTGTCTTGTTGGACTCTTGTCAAGAATTCGACGAGATGACCAATGTATCGTGTGTGGGAATGTGCTTGTGCATCCGTAGGGTTCTCAAGCACTATCGCTACCAGTGTGATGCAAGGAGATATAGGATAGCATAGAATATGCCTAGGAGGCAATCAGAAGGATGACCTTTTGTACACCCAAGAGGATATACGTACCAGAGATGTCCAGGTTGCTGACACGGTAAGTATTGCAGTATATGGATTATTTGGGAGGCTGCCGATGCCTGAATGATCCTTGACGACTGAATCTGTTGAATTGCACTAATATCGCCTTCCGGGTTAAGGTGTGCTGCAAAGCCATGAATCTCACTGAGGGTGCAATAGTAAGCAAAATGTAATAAAATGACAAGCTCCCTGACTGTTGGCTTTGTTGACCAGTCAATACGACCAGGTTGAAAACTCGACGGAAGCTTCACTTTCCAATTCTCCAGTTGATGGTCAAGCTCCGCCACAAGGTCCAGAAGCTGATGTACATTCTGCCTAGTAGCCGATCCGGAGTAGAGCCTTCTCTCGACGCTGAATTCAAGCATCGCTAGTTCAGCCTGCAATCGAAAAGCGGAGGTTGACATGCTGGTTTCTGGGGCGTTTCTATCCGTTGGAGACGCAGACATAATCGGATCTGGGTAGTCGATATTTATCGCATCGTCGTCAAATACAGAGGGCAAGCCTGTTTTTACAGATATGCTCTTGTCAAATATATATGCAATCCAGAAGGCCCTCTTATGGCGGTTAGTGGCGGCAGCGTCAAGGACCGAGTAAAATTCCCTTCGGTGTAATCCAAATGTCAATGATAGACGTGCGGCCGCACACACGAGAACGGACGTTGTTCGCACATCACTTGATCCCTGCATATATATAGCCATGGCAAGAAGCGGTTCTAGGCCCAAAATGTCTGCCGCTCGTAGAGCAATGACCGAATACATGCTGAATGCGTTCTTGAAGAAGTGCCACGACAGTTCCGACATCTCGCTATACGAGCCCCTGGCGGTCCGTAACTGAATCGCCACCGCTATCGTAGCATTCAACATGGCCCAGCGTCCAGGGAGCTTCCCTGGTGGAACAGTAGGGTCTGAATAGTGTCGTTCCAGAAGATCTGTTAGGACAGGGACATCAAATGGCGGTAGAAGGTGACTAGCCTCAGTAAAGGCCACCTCAAACATAGGTTGGAGCTGGTATTTTGGAGGGAGTTGGATAAAGACCGAGCTGGTGAAAGGGCCGCGGTTTGCTTCTAACCTGAGCTTTCTCGCGGTCGTTTGCTCCGGAAACATTGTGAACAATTTCTCCCTGAGAGCTGATTTTTTCCTCTCATAACCATCAGATATTATCGATGGCTCAGGGAACCTCGCTTCTGACTCATTGTGCGAGGCAGTGGTGAATGAATTCTCCGCATCTGATAAAGTAGACTTGGTCCTATTCTCGCATGTTCCCGAGGCCGGCTGTGCCAGTTGTTCTTCTGCCCACGCCATGGTAGTGTTCGCCGACTCCACAGGAGCATTTGCTGCATGGCGCGCAGAAGCCTCTAATTCCGTAACTCGAGCCTCGAGCCTCTCTAAATAGGCTTTTCTGGAGTAGAAGTTAGTAGATGACAAACGCTGGTCTCAAGATATCAAATTACGTTTTCCCTCGACCTCTCCGTCTCACTCCCTGGTAGATACAAGTCAAATGGCGCTCTGCACACGAAGTACACTGAGGAATGTTGCCGTCACATCGTTTCTTTTTCTGTTGACATCGTAGACATGCCTACCGCAAGCTGTTAAGGAGAACCACAATCATGGACCAGATTCTCTTACGTTGGCGATTCTTCTACCTCTTTCTGTAAGTGGCAAATCCTCGCCCCTTGCTGATGACTCCATGACAGCTGGTAATTGACTGTTACAATCCGCTGATTCAAGTCAAGGCGGGCCACTAAGATGAAATATTTAAAGAATACTAACCAGTCAACGCGGACCAAAAAACGTGTGAGCATCAACCTATCGTTTCTTGAGATAGATATTGGTGCGACAAAAGGAGGATGTTTCTCAAAACCAGTAGTTACTAAACATCAGAGCCTTTCATTTTCTCCCAATACGGTTCCAAAACCATGGCCATCATCGCGGTCCCTGACGTAGACTGGCTGTGGGGTGGATATAGGTTAACCCACAGCATGTCTGATCCAACCCACATGGATTATGGGTAAACCACCAGGTATCTCACCCACCCCTTATATCCACAGGGGTTTAACTATGGATACCATGGATATCCATACTATCTAGTTAGGTGACCTCTAGTATTTAGATTACCCCCTATTTCTTTAGTATTCTAGCCACACCACTAGGATATCTATATATTTAATAAGTAATATAAGAATAGATTAGTATAAATATTATATATTACCTATTATATAAGCTAAAATAGGCTTATATAGGGGAGTAGGGGTCCCCCCTAAGCTTAGGTTAAAAAGTAGTATGGAGATATATATATCTTACCCTTACTATCCTAACTACTATCCTCTAAAATCTAAAAACTACTATAACTCTAGCCTTTCTTAGTAGATCTAATATTTATTTTATATATAGATAGATAGGATTATTCTCTATCTATATATATAAAAATATCCCCCTATCTAGGCCTAGATCTAGTTAGATAAGCTTATTAGTTTAAGAGACCCTAGATCACATGTACCTAATGGTTTAACCCATATCCATGTGGATACAGCAGGTTCAACCCATATCCACATGGGTTGGATTAGGGCCAGCCCTTATCCACCCAAACAGTGGATTGGGTGGGTTGGGTGTGGATTTGTGGGGTGGGTAAGCCAGTCTACCCTGACGGCACGGGCAAGCTCGGCCGGGCTATTATGGAAGGTCTGAAGAATACCACAGGCCGCAGTGTCGCAGTTCTCACGAGAAAGGTACAGCGCTCGGTACATACTATCTCTGTCTACGTTTGTTAAAATGGTATCTTGTAGGCGAACGATGATCTGGCAAACGAACTCGGATTATTCCAATGTTGACTCCCTGGCCAACCTGCTCGAAAACAATAAGATTGACACCGTCATCTCTGCACTAGACTTACATTGGAATATCTACAGGATATCATGTCACATCGTAGCCTCATCCGAGCGAGTTATACTTCCTCAAGAGTTCCTTTACTTGTCCACACCATGTCCCAGACTCCATCGCTATTACCTGTGTTGTTTTTCCATCGCGAGTTCTCATTCCTTTCCTGTAGCTTGAGTGCTGTAGCACCTTCTCCAACAGCCGCGGATCTCCAATTTTGGTTGCATAGTGAACCGCTGCCCATCCATCTCCTCCGTACACATCGCCAACATCTTCAGAGTCAAGAAGAATCATTGCGCTCCTCGTACTCCCGTGCTGCAGTGCTTCGATGAGCGGAGTGTTCCCGTCCTGGTCTTTTTGCTTCAACATGGCGGTGCTCGGGCATAGCCGTATGAGCGTCCTGAGAGACTCGCTCTCGTCCTGTACGCATACATGATGGTATACATTCTTCCCAGTATTGTCCTGTATGTTCAGATTGGCACCATTGCGTATCAGCTCCTCCACGCATATCGCATCATCCAGAAGGTCGAACAGTGGTGGTCGCCCATCCTCGTCCTGCGAGTTGATAGGCAAGTAGCCTTGTCCGCTGTTCTGGCAAAGCAAGGCAACCGTCTGCCGTCTGCTTTCTCCTCGAGAAGATAATCCTGCGTAATGAAGCGCAACCTGTTGATTCTCCTGTCTTACTGTGCGATCAGCTCCCTCGGCCAGCAACAACCGGACGCAATCCACTAAACACCCCTGCGCGGCCATCATCAGCGGTGTCTCTCCCCAGACATTTGGCTGATTGATGCTCAATTGCTCCGGATAGCATCTGCTCATCTCGAGTGCGTAGGCCAAACTCTGCAACGCATTCGACTCGACCGCTGCATGGATGATATTCGCATTCAGGTTGGACTGGATGAAGGGATCGGCTCCATGTTCGACTAGAATCCTCATCTTGTCGGCACGATTGGTCACTGCAGCCCAATGCAAGGGTGTCCAGTGGAATTTTCGGTCTTTCTGGTCGAGGAGATTATGGATCACTTTGCGCGCGCTGTCGCTTTCCAAGGCGGACACGCGGAACTGCTCGGTGATGGCAGCATACAACGGTGATCGTTTTTGGTATCTAGTCTTCCATCGTGCCCAGTTCGTCCCCGGCGGAGCATTGTTCGCATTATCCACGAATTCAATCAGGTCCTCCAGCTTCGGTCGCTCCGGGTCGCTGGGGTCGTAGAGATCCAGAACAGCGATGTGGATAGGGGTGAATTCAAAGTCTTCGAGGTAGTCGTCGTCTTTGGCGAATATGCGCACAATCTCTTTCTCCACTCCGGTTGCATCTGCGGTTAGTGACTTGAGAATCGCTAGGTCGACCGGTTTTCTTTGTTGAGTCAGTTTTTTGTACCATCATTTGCAATCATTGGGTTGGCGGACCTAGCTCCAAGGTCTGCGACTTCAGTATCCACGCCGATGTCGCAGAGATATTTTACGGTCGGTAACTGTCTTGCATAGACCGCGGTCTACTAATGTTAGCATTTGAATCGCTGAAAAGCTAAGAGGAGGAGCGTACATGTAAGAGAGACCATCCATCAGGAGCCGTATCCCAGGGTGTGGCCTCCCGGGACGAGATGGACATCTTCAACTTGTCCAGGTTGCCATGTTTGACGTATCGCATTGCATCAGATCCTTCTGGCACCATTCGATATGTGTTGAGATTGTACCTGATCCTAACTCCTTGCATCGAAGCCCAACGTGAAACGGCTCGATGGAAAAAAGCGGATGGTAAGACTCGGGTCTGTGAGGATGTTGCGCCCGCACAGTCTGGCTCAGAGCATTCGATCCGTGAAGCTTTTGATTGCTTGAACATGCTCGAGTTGAATTTGGAGAATAGTTGGTTGGAAACCTCAATGCTTTGCTTGTGGCATCGGCAGTAGCAGTCAAATCGACAGGCGCGGCGAATTACCAGGGCATCTGTGTCTGCATTCCTAGCGCTATTGGCGCCTACAAGACTCGGCCTTTGTACAGTTTCATCTTGATCTGGGACAGTGATTGACGAGGCTGACTCATTGAGACTCGAGAATATGGATGTCGCTGGTGATACTGTTGCGCTGCCGCTGCTTGACCCAGTCGACGAAGAGTTCCGTCGAGGCATATTCCACGCTCCAGGTGCCAGTAATGAGCTGTCTGACGAATTTGCCGATGAAACAGAGTGTCTCCCAACCACTCCTATGTTTTCTTCCTGGTATACGGCTGGTCGGCATTCGACGGTCGGTGCAGGGTCGGTAGGTGTGCGAAGCAGAGGAAGTTCACGCCGGTCAATTGTGTCTCTCGCCATCTCCTCTGCAACGTTGGAGCAGATCTCGAGAAGCTGAGGATTTTGGCTACACATGGCTAACATCATTTCCCTGAGAGCATATGAGTTAGTATACCGGTTCCTATTTGGCGGCTCAGATGACGAACATTTGAGCGACCGAGACCAAGCTGTGCAACATTGCACACTGGCCCTTGATGCGGACATCGATCCTCTCGAAGTTCGACTTGTGCTGGACCCATCTCATGCGTCTGATAGTTGAGTTGTCTGACCTGGCGATCTGCTGAAGTCGCTTCTGCAAGTCCTTCAGCGTCGCGTAACTCTCGTCAATGCCCTTCTTCACCGTTTCCATAGAGATCTGGTGGACAACCCGACGACTTCGGAAGACCCGGTCAAATCCTTTGAGGTTTTCTTCAAAAAGTGATAGCTGGTTGGATAAATCTGCTAGCTCGCGCTCGCCATCCTTGAAGCTTCTCACCAGTAAAATTGTCTCTCCGGTGATGGTGATGAGGTTGGCTATTGAGCCAAGGAGTCCGATAGTGGTAATCGGGTCCATCCTTTTGCTACATTACGACCAATTCTTCGAGTTGGACGTTAGATACTGTAGTTCCGACAAGGACGATCCAGCTGCTCAAAGGGTCAAGCCATGCGCGATGCTTGCAGGAGTCAGAAAGCTCTGGCCACAGAACATGGGATGATCTAACACGAACCCAGCGGCTGGACTGGTAAATGGCGCGGCAAATTTGATGCCCCTGGCCCGAAGAAAGTGCGCTATGCCAATGGGTGAGAGCAGAAGGAACTGTGTGGCTCACAAGGATAGCAAGATTCGACGAGGGGCAGGCCGACCAGCTGGCAAGCGGAGATAGGCACAGAGCCATACACGAAATGATTGGGGTCACCATAGCTGCGCGATACTAAAATAAGCAAAAAAGGCTTGGACTGCATTGCAAGTCACCGTTTCGAGTTACTCGTGCCAATCATTTTCCTCCTGATACACATCAACCAACGAGAGGAGCGCTCTAACCGCCGAGCATTTTAGTTGTTTCATTGGGTCGAACCGATGCCACAGTCCGTTTGACAGAATGCATCTTAAATTCATTCACGTACTCCTTCAATTCTGAAAAGGGTAAGATCAAGATGAGTCCGGTTGCAGTGGCCGTCGTTACTGCTCAATTTGAGGAGCAAGTGCTCCCAGATTCCACATCTCCCGATCTTCATCTCAGCCACCCCACGGACGAGGAGAATCTTCGCATCTGGAAATTGACGTCGAATGAGTGGAAGGACGCTCTTACCATTCCTCAATATCTGGAAGAGTCTGCGTACCTCATGGCAATCCCTCTGGCTCGCAACAAGGGCATGACACAATGGATCCTGGTGGATCGAACCCTTGCGCCAAATCAACGACCGATACTCGCATCTTGCGAGACGTTTCGCAAGCTGTCACTGCTCAGTTATCCAATGAAACATAGTCAACTTGTGGTTGTCCACGGCATTGCGAGCGTCTACTGCAATCCAGACTATCGAGGACGGGGATATGCCTCGAGACTTCTCAAGGAGTTGAACAAGACGCTCCCCACCTGGCAGTATGAGGGAAAGCCATGTGTGGCCAGTGTACTCTTCTCGGACATTCAGCCCAGATTCTATGAGAATCTGGGATGGCATCCATTTTCAAGTGACCATGTGGAATTCGAACCTGCTGTGGTACGGCACACTGCAGTGCCTGTCTATGCTGAGGATGTAGCCAGGCTCTGTGCCCTCGACGTGGCGAGACTTGGACACGCAATGTCGTGTTTTTCAACGAATGATATGACCCGGTTGCTCATCCTCCCAGACCATGACCATATGCTATGGCATCACAGCAAGGAGGAGTTTGTGGCGCAGAGGCTCTTCGGAAAAGCACCGCTTGTGAAGGGCGCAATCAGGGGAGAACCTGGACATTTTGTCTGGGCTATCTGGATGCACCGTTTCTATGATCATCCAGACAGAAATGCCTCCGAAAACACACTGTACATTCTCCGGTTTGTCGTTGAGGACCCAACCCTCAGTCTTGACGCTGTCGACAATCTCACACAATTGAGCCACCAACAGATCACGAGTGTGACAGAGGTTTTACGAGCTGCTCAAGCGGAAGCGGCAGAATGGAATCTGCACAAGATCACGCTCTGGAATCCGTCACACGCCCTGGAGAGGGCAATCCAATTATCCGGTATTCCGTTTCAGCGCAAGCATCGGACCCAGGACAGCATACCCTGTCTGCAATGGTATGGAGAAGGGAGTGGCAAGCCAGATTCGCTCAATTGGCTTCTGAATGAGAAATACGGCTGGTGCTAATTAATTCACTTTGTATGAATGTTCGGATTATGAATCTATAGTCTAGGTCTTAGGTCTATATACAAGACATTCTTCCTCGTACAGCACGATTTCACCATCCTTGACGCTGCCTTCCAGTGGCATGGAGATATGCGCTTCTGCTTGAAATCCAAATCTCTCGTAGAATGGTACAGCGCCCAGTGTGCTTTCCAAGGCAATGGGAAGATTCTCTTTCTTGCTGCGTTCAATTCCCCAGTTGACCAACAGCGACCCTGCTCCACGACGGGCATAAGATGGGTCAGTCGCAATAAAGGTAAGGCCTGGACAGCGTAAGCAGACGTCAATCAGATAGCTTGGTCGTACAGAACGTACAATAGCATGGTGTTCTCCCCATTATTTCGTCCGCTACCTGCTCGACCTTCTCTGTCCAAGCGTTCAAAGTAGCCATATCGGTGCCTTCAGGCCATAGCCATGGCTCTTCTTCATATGGCGTCGATTCGGAAACAGGAAGACACCATTTGGCAAAGCTGACAACTCGATTATGATCCTCTCTAACGACTAGTACCTCCCATTGCGGATCTCGAATCTCTTTGATGGCTTTGTCGACTAGCGACGTCCATAGCCCCTTTCGCACGGCCGGTGTGGGAAACTGGGCCAGAAGCATGCCATTGGTGTGAAATGCCGCCATGTGAATATCGGCGATGCGAGGAGCATCTGCTTCCCTGGCTGTATCAAGAGTGAAGACCATTTTAGAGTACTTCAGATGCGACGGAGATGCGAAATCACAGACTCATTCCATCCTGAGCAGGGCGCCTAGAAGCGAAGGCGGCTCGTGGAAGAGGCGAGTTGCGGGGTTGGCGGGGCAAGTATATTATATCCACACAACCCCTGGAATCAGAATATCAATTAATGCCTATATAACGGGATAATACGAGAAACGTCTGTAGAGACAGTTAGCCCATTGCAGCATTATGATTGTTGACAGCGATACTTGGGATGTCTAGTGGCTTGTCCCAACATAACGAATCTGAACGGGTCCTTGACTTGATGGAGGGATTTGCATTATTATGGGTTCCGGTATTACTACTTTAATGCAGACACTCGATTTCCCTCTGAGGTGTATACATTGCATTGAACTTGTTGATATTCCCTATGATTCCAAGGCTTCAACCTTGCAATCAGGGCTGCTATGAGAGTGAAGTACTTCTTTATGCAAGAAGGAGTACCCGTCTATGACCATGTACGATGCTGTTTTTGAATTGCGTCTTCGGTCGAGGATTCTACCTTGGAAAGACTTGAGCTATACTATACCAATGCGTTAGTCCGTAACCCGGTATACATAGTCACAGACAGATGACATTGTGTTGAAGGCTATCCCGAACTCCGTCCAACGCCGTTGAATTCCGGACCTTTTATAGGCGTGGGATAACATATTTAAATGAGGATAGTAGCACAAATAAAACGTGAAAAATAACACGCACGATCGCTTCTTCGCCCTCATCCTACGAAGACGGGCCTGTGAGAATGGATACTTCAACCAAGGAGAACAAAGCTGAAAAAGGCCAAGCAGCATACATTGCTCCATTGTCCACAGCGCCAGACAGCGAAGCAGCGACTGGAGATGAAATCCGGGAGCTAGAACATGTCGCAGCCAGACTGCCAGCGCGGGTTTGGCTGGCCGCAACGATCGGAATGGCAGAGCGGTTTGCGTACTATGGCACACAGAGTCTCTTCCGTAAGTGCAGAAGCCGGTTTAATTTCTAGTGGTGCAGAGATCTGACTTCTGGTACTCGAATTCTATAGAAAACTATCTCCAGAACAGCCCAGGTGACCTCATACCCGGCGCAATGGGATTAGGAAAGTCTCATGCTACAACGGTCAATTTGGCCGTTACAGTTGCAGTGAATCTACTGCCGTTGCCGGCGTCGATGCCGGTTGATGGACGTCTAGGGAGATATAAGGCTTTGCAAATATTCACAGGGTACTACTGGATTTGGCTCGTGCTTGTTCGGATGTCTTCTAACAACTTGGCCTGCAGAATCTACGCTCTAGGATCTGCAATCCTGTTCGGCACCTCATTTCCCTCGGAGATGAGGAACGGCGTTGCTCTTATAGGGTTTATTTTGGGGAGCATTCTGATTGCTGTGGGACTGGGAGGTGTTCAAGCTTCAGTGCAGCCTTTTATTGGTAGGATGTTCAGCGTTATGTTCACCAGTTTCAGAGGACCACACTCACTGCTTCTTCAGCGGACCAATATACAGAACAAACGACGCCGATAAGAATCAGAAAGAATGGTCAGCGAGTGGTAGAGAGTCGCGAACTGACCATCCAGTATATCTACAATGTATACTATTGGTACGAAAAACTAGTGGCAGAGATGGATGACTGTTACTGACTGGCATGGCTCGCCATTCTAGGATGGTGAACGTCGGCTCACTGGGAAGCATTGCTACCACTTTGATGGAGAAGTATATTGGCTTCTGGTCTGCGTATCTGCTGGACCTGTGTGCCGTGGTACTTGCCGTGGTGATTGTCCATTTAGCAGGACCAAAGTTCGGTATGACAAACAGAGGATTGTCGTACGTCAGTTATTATGAATGATTGCTGATTCCGGAATTTGACAGTCCATCCTGTCCCACAAGGTTCTGTTCTTCCCCGTGCAGCTCGCTGCCTATGGTATGCTGCCCGGGGTGGATTCAGTCTGGACGCTGCTCAGCCAGAGTACCAGTTAGAGAACCACCAGCGAGTGGTGCCGTGGGAGAAGGAATTCATTTCTGAGCTTTGGGATGCACTGTCTGCATTCAAAATCTGGTACTCCTCCCCGATCCTGGTTCGTCTGATTAGATGCAGCTTCTAACGGCAACAGCATTGGATGGCCCATTTTCTGGCTATGTATGGGACAGGGTGCTCAAGTCTCAATCTCGCAAGCCGGACAGATGGAAACCCACGGCATCCCCAATGACCTGATAAAGTCGTCGAACCCGATCGCCTACGTGATCTTCGGCGTGCTCGTCCAGAAATAGCTCTATCCTTTTCTCCGACGACGCAAAATCCAATTCAGCGCCGTCAACCGCATCAGTCTGGGATTCTTCATCATGTCGGTGGCCATGGCGTATTCCGCAGTCGTGCAGGCAATCATCTATCGCTCCGGTCCCTGCTACTCCCATCCACTGTCGTGTGCCGCGTCTGGCGGCCGCATCCCTAACCAAGTGCATGTCCTGCTTCAGCTGCCGACTTTTGTGATCATCGCCCTGGCCGAGGTGTTTTGCTGACCGACTGGATCAGAGTATACGTATTCGCACGCCCCGAAGAGCATGAAGTCGGTTCTGCAGGCGTGCTATATCAGCACCGCCGGAGTCGGATATCTGCTAGGAATGGCTTTATCTCCCTTGGCTAGGGATCCTTTACTTGTGGTGCTATGGTCGGTGACGGCCGGGATGATGTTCCTGACGGCCTGCGCTTTTCGGCTCGCATTCCGCAAGTTCTAGGTGTGGATACGCTCAGTGGAGGTAGCATAAAGAAAAGAATGATAGTACATATACGAATGGACAAGAATACCTAGGTAACGATAGTGTTCTCCGTCCTCAAAAACAGATCACGTTCAGGCGGCTGCAGCACTGCGCGCCTTGATTGCGCGGATATAGACAATAATGCTGGACCATGATAATGATCGCAAAGTACAGTGATATTCCCAAGCACAAGTTTTATGGCAATCCCCTCGTGCCCAACCAGTCCGCTGTAAGGAAGCATCAATAACTAATTGTATCAGATACCATCGCCCTTTCCCCATCTTTCTTTTTAGGAAACTGCTGAAGTGCAAGAAGCTCCTGGTCTAGACGGGTCAATGCCCTGGGCGCTACCCCTTCAGCCTCATCATAGACAACCTCAAAACGCACGTTACCCTTGGCTCGTACCCTCGTCTCGGTGGCGATAGTGACGACCAGGTTCATAACATCGCCTGCCTGAACACTGAGCGTGTCGCCTTGGGGCATGCCAATGTCCCAGTACACTTTCTGGAAGGAGTCATTGCGTCCTTCATTCGCCTTTGGTAGAGTAAGATCAAATATCAAGTGAGAAAAGGGCGGGACCTTCATTGTTGCCTGTCTCCACGCCTTACTGAGGGGCCGGATATCCAAAAACTCGCGAGTGGAACTGCCACCAGAAAGACCGGTGGATCTGCGAGTGACGCGAGAACCTGGATTACGGCAGGCTGCAAGCATATCGGGGTTGGCTAGAGGCTGTAGTAAAACCAGCTTCACCCTTTGCGTCTGCGGTACTGGCTCTGGTGAGGCCCCTGAGGTTCCAGTGTTGAGGCTAGACAGCCCAGCTGTAATATGAAACTCATTCAGATGATCAGGGTCGGTGATGGTTTCTACTTCAGACATATTGAAGATCAAAGATGGGAATCCAGCTAAATCAAGAATAATTCGTCTATTGATGCACAGATGTCAACGTTTCCGATGAAGAGGGGTAAGTTGGTAACCGCTAAAGAAAGACACCGCCACATTGTTGAGACTATTTATACCCGAAAGCTACAATCCCACGTGGAGGGCAGAGGTACATCTATCCTATACAATAAAGAGGTATAATCATCGATATTATAGCGTGACCAGAGCCCCCTGTAGATTATATCAATTAATCTCCTAATGATCTGTGAATAACCACCCCTTCTCTGAAAGACAAATATCCTCATCTCCTTCCGCACTAGCCACAAGAGAAGCTTTAAGCTCAGCAACTTTCTGTTATATCTCCATCACACTGTTCATCGCTGATCCAGCATCTTTATGAGAGTTGCGTTAGTACTAGGCTGTTCGAGAGTAGAGGTACAGGAATACTGACACATAGAGCAAGAGTGTGAGTAGGCTCACAGAAAATAGAAGACTGATACTGTTGATAGGTTATTCGCGTAACCGTTTTGGAAGCAATGCTGAAGTTGTGGATGCCAAATGCCAGAATCTTCCTTGACAGACATCAAGAGTGTCAAGGGAATTGAAACCACGTGTGGATGCAAGGGATACCATCAACGATGGTTGATAGATAAACGTCACACCATAAATAGTTCATGTAAGTACGTCTCCTGGGGGTTATTTCGGTGTCATTTAGGAGCAGTCATACTTCTGAGTGACGTAGTTTTCTAATAACCGCAAAGATAAGCAGCTACAGCTTAAGTACTAAACAGGTTGAACAGAGCAAGGGAGTGGGACAGAACTGTATATATATCTACATGTATATAAGCTAGAGATTCTTCCAAGACCTATTCAAGTATGGGTAAATAGTGTGATGGTGAGCATAATCTTGTTAAACTCTCTCTTAGTGTTTCAGCTGTATAGCTTAGTTCATGCTGCCCATTGTATCATGCATTTCAGTGTTGGGATTTGAAATAGTCCAGGACGGAAAAGAGCCTTACAGCCAACAGAATAGACTAGTCCAAAGAAAACGAGGAGAAGTCGACGAGACTAGCACGGGCCAAGCAGGTTAGTTTCTTTGCGATGGCTGATCATTTCCTGTTTCTGTGTACGATGCGCAAGGCTCAGCCCGTTACCCTGACTCTTGAACTCTCAAGCCTCGAAGCTGATCACCCGTTATGGGCGGTGCAACCTAGTTGAGAATGAGATAGGAGTCCTATGGCGAACTACAGCAGACTGTAGTACAATAGAAGGCTATTTACATGGCTGAAATGGAAATCAAGAGACAGAGTCAATTGCTGATGTTAAGTAGGACGGAGTAGATCGTTATCTACGGAGTGTTCCGAGACTCAAAATAACCATGAACGGGTCTCAGAAGGCCCAGCAACGCCCAGACCGCGTGGCTTAGATCCAGAGTATTTCCATTGGTCACAGATGTCAGCTCGACTGCTTATCCCTGCTGATCGCGACAGTTCAACCATGGAGGTACTTTAATCTTACGCTTCCGCTGACTGTGCCACAGTCCGCTTTTCTGTCCTACACCCCAAGAGTATCGCCAGCGGCATAATATAGGAGTTGCCAGATATTTCCTGGCATTCTTGCATTATGAGCTCAACTACAGTCGCTTCCATCCATCACACTCCCTGCTGTCGCTCCACATAATTCAGAACTGCCGTCATGGCGTCCGAATCGCAGCAGTCGAAGCAATATCTTCTGCCTCCCTTGTCCGAGTTGCTTCGTCGAGACGAGACCACTAACAATAATAATCATAATGATGATGAAGACGACTCATTCCCACACAGATCATGGAATCCCTTTGACCGCAGTCTTTCACCCGACCGCGACTATATCCGCTATCAGCCCGCCTCTTCTACAAACGACGACCCCGCTTCACCACCGGCACAACGTGAGACCACGTTTGGCTTAGGAATCACCAATACCTTCCCTCAATCCCCGTATAAGTCTCCTGATGATGCTGATGACGGCGACCTCGCGACCAAATCCCCGTATCCAGAACCCCCGGAGCCCTCGCCATTACAGTACCAGACGTCGCGGACTACCCTATTGCCGCATTCGCCCGAATACATAAAATGTCCAACACACCAGGGAGTTGTCCAGAAGCGATTGTCATGGGTTCCCATCACAATCCTGGTCCTGGCAATATACTCCACCATCTTCTCCGGCATCTACCTGGTGCTCGCACTGGCCAAACCGCGCTATGGCAAAAAGATCGGTGAAGACGGTGGCCTGGCGCCGTCCACAGCCAGTCTACTTAGTGCGTTATTCGCTAAAACAATCGAACTCTCGTACGTGACTGTCTGCGTCGCGTTCCTGGGGCAAGTCTTGAGTCGTCGAGCGATTACCAAAGGGTCGCGGGGGATTACTATCTCCGACATGAGCATGCGCACCTGGATCATGCAGCCAGGCTCTCTGATTGTGCATTGGGAGACTGTGCGGTACTCAGCGCTGACAGTGTTGGGTCTGATCACGTTGACCGCAACGTTGGTCGCAATGCTTTATACCACGGCAGCAGAGGCGCTAGGTGGGTTTGCTCTGATGAAAACACACCTGCATACTGATGATGATAGTTGCGCCCAAACTGCGGATGGGTCCCGTCGAACCTCGGGTCTTGGTCGGCAACGTATCCACTGAATTCGCCAATCCGTATTACCTCAAAACCCATTGCTCGACCCCCGTCACTGTGGCCATGGACCCTGAAGCGGCCGGAAGTACCTGTTTGGATCTGGAACTGGTCGGACAAGCGTACCACAACTACCAGGCCTATATCTCTGCATGGAGCGATCTGGTTAAGAGCAAGAACTTGACGTCGTCAAACCTAGCATCGCGGCTGCCCCCGACCGGCTCGCTGTACGATAACACCACCGTGACAGGAAGCTGGATCGACATTGGCAACATGACCGGATTGTCGCTGAAGCACGGCCGAATGGTCAACAACATCACTGCTGCGATGCCCCATGGAGGAATCATCGCCGCCGCGACGGACCCGCGGAATGGCATTCGCCAGCCGGTCGATGTGACCGGCGAAGGAAACTTCGAGATTGAGGCCTCCGTGCCCTCTCCGGCCATCAATGTGCTCTGTGTCGGGATGACGGAAGAGGAGCTCACCCCCTTGGTATACGAGAAATGGCCTCATGTGCACAACTTTAACCCACTGACCTGGGACTTCGAGGGATACACAAACGTCTCGAGCGACTGGTTTAATCGAACGGCCGTCGATGGCCTCTTCGGGTGGGACCCCGACGCCACGGTAAAGCAGACGCCTCCTGTGTTTGGCAAGTTGCCCAAAGCCAACAATACCATCACCAATACCACGGGCACCTGGCCCACAAACGCCATCTATATGTTAGGAGCTGCACAAAATAAAACCATGACCCCCCCTTATGTGCTGTGCGCACTCAAGGCGAAATTGTCCCCCGTGTGTTCGACCAAGTATTCGGCTGCCGCCAGTGGAGCGTCCTTTTCAACCAACTGCGAGAATCCTGTGAATCCGTTGCAGTATAATCATCGAAATCAGAGCGCCCTTGATGGAGTTTGGGAACCCAACTGGAAGAACGTGGCTGCCGAGTGGTCCAATTCTTTGAGTTTGAATTCGGGTATTACCGACGGCCGTGCCAGCAACGCTCGCCTCCTGATGCAGTTCATTCCGGCCCTCGATAATCGAACAAAGACCTATTCGCTTGACCCCAAGCTACCATCGGTTGGAGAGGCGCTTGCGGTTCTGGCAGGCAGTACCCTGATCCTTGGGTCGAGGAATGCCCCTTTTGTGCAATTCTTCAACTACACCAAGACCGACAACGTATCTTCTGCACTTGCCGAGCCCGTTCCGCAATACTTCGAGGCCACAGTTCGCGGCGTGGGATATGCCTCCGGGGGCACGGAGCAATGGCAGAACGTGTTCTATCTGATCCTGGTGTTTGCCTTCTTGACAAGCGCCATCATTCTCGCATTCATCTTGTTCGAGGTGCGTGGACGCCAAATCACCGACTTCACGGAGCCTCAAAATCTGTTCGCGCTGGCGATGAACAGCCCGGCCACCGCGCAGCTGCAAGGGGCATGCGGGGCCGGACCGCAAGGTCGTCAGCTGAACGAGCGGTTCTATGTGGCTATGGAGGAGGAGGATGAGCATTATTACATTCGGACCAAGGCCGAACAGCATGTGCGCGCGGCGTCGATGGGACCCAGTCGCTCCATGGCCTCGATGGATGTCGATGATATGCCGAAGACTGTCAGTCCAGCCATGGATGAGTACCGGCGCCTTTCCAGTAGAAGCAGTCTTTTGTCGAGGTTTTATTAGGAGTACATGTTATGACCCAGGAATGATTTGTTGGTGACGAATGTAATGTTAATGTCTTGCAATCACTATATGGATTTGAGGTTGATTCCAGGAAACACCATACTGTACAGTAGCTAGGGTGCCGCGGGCGCACCATTGATACGTTTGATGAAGCGATATCCATATGAACGCTGGTCTTTCACCTAAAACACTGGTGCTCCATAGGGATATCGAGATCCACCCGAGAACCGGATGAACTAGATAATGGTATGCCATTGACAATGCAGAACAGGGGATTGAGACCGCTCGAGCGAACTTAGCCAGCGGACAGAGTCAAATCCTCCGCCGTAGCTTCCCTTGTCCGCTCAGAAGGCAAAATAGCGTTCTGCAAGGCACCCAACGCATACGGATCTAAGCCCCAGCCACCAACCCACTGATGCATGCGCCACCCTTGCTTGAAATGATCGGCGAGATGATCCCCTCGCGATGTCCAGGTGGACAATGACGCATTGCAAAATCCACAGCGACTGCGGACGTCACTTCCTGCACTACGCCACTGATCCAAGTTCTCAATGGGCAGCTTGGTACATCCATGGAACTTGCGCAAATGCTGCCACAGATAGTCCTTCCGACTGAAAGAACGATCTGCCACAGGCTTCTGCGCGCATACCTCAAACTCGTGGTCATTCCAGTGATCGATGGATGGCGAGCTATGATCGCAGAATGGACATTCCGATGGTAAGTTGCCCGGCCGGAGTTCGTTGACACGCGGAGTGCAGATCCATGCGTCGAGTTGGAGGTGAACGCTCTTCTCATGTCGGAGCCAATCATGCTTCTTTTTGAAGGACTGCGTGCAGAAAGTACATTGGTATTGCCCTTCGTTCATTGAGCCTCTAACCCGAGTTCTCCTCCGCCGGGCCCGCGGATGTGGGTGATGAAGCGGGAACGGCAGTGAGCTGTCTCCAGAGTGGTGGCTCCATGCGGATGAGATGCTTGTCGAGCTCTGTGAGTGCCTACTTCCCATGCCAGAGACAGAAGAACCGAGATGCGACGATGTCTCGTCGAGATTCAGGAACGAATCGAACATGGCGGCTTCGGGTTCTGAGGGAGGTGCTACCTCACAAGAGGATATGGCATTCATGATGACTGATTCCGGTACTGCTTCATCCTCTGGCGGTGAATTCTGCCATCTCTCCATCGGCGTCATGAGGGTCAGCCTGCTCGATGGCATTGGAGATCCAGATCGGCAGATTTGAGCAGCTGGAGGAATTTCAAACCTCTCTTTCTGGCGGCGGCGTGCATTGGCGAACCATGTTGACATGCGCTTTCTGGAAAACCCAGTCTCGCGAACCAAGCGCGCTTTCTCATCTTCAGAGGGATATGGGAAATCATGGTGGTCGCGGAACCATTCCTTCAATATCCGGACGCCTCTTCTGACGAACTGTTTTGACTCCTTCTGCTTGTCTACACAGTTGATGTCTGGTACCAATGCCTCTTGGTCTCCCTACATCTACGTTAGCAACGTCCCATTATGATGTATGTCGCCGCGTACCTCGTCTTCCTCGAGTTCGGTGACACCATGCAGGTGGCCCATCACGGGAGAGAGCGTCTCGAACCGTGATGGTTGGCGCTTTTCTCCACGGGCCAGGCTGCACTCTCGAAATAGAGCAACACAGCTAGAACAAGAGGTTACTGGATTCGGATTCGCTGGTGTGGTACGGATGATGAGGCACTGCAGCCGGTGTTTCCGGCAGTAGCTGCAGGGCTGTGGAGGGCAGTAGGCACCATCTAGCCACTGAGTGACGTTTGACATACTTTGCGAGGCAATAGCTGGAGTCTGAGTTTGCATTTCCGACCGTATATTCTCGGCCGCTGTTGAAGTAGCAGCTTGGAATACGCCAGGGTCCTGCCTCGCAGGAGAAGGAAACAGTTCCGGCGTCTCTGGGCCGTTGGCGTCGAACCAGCTTAGCCATTCATCATTTGCAAACTCGGATGACAGATAGTACATGTCATTAAGCTGGTTCATATCAAGCGTTGAATCACTTTGAAGGTTGTTGCTGAATAAAGTGGTATCAACCGTGTCATCGGCATTGTACCATGTGCCATTCTCCACTGGATTAGGAGCAGGATGTGCGGAGAAGTGGGAGAAGGAATTCAGGTAATCTGAATGATCCATTATGCTTACTGAAAGTGACTGTAATCAGGCCATATTTACGATGCACAGATGAAGACACGACAATATCGAAGAGCACCCATTCCCCTCTCATAAGACTCATGAAAAGTCATGTGATTCGCAGGGAGTTCAACCGAGCTCAAAGCGGTTAGTTCATGTGACATGTCACGTGCTACCGTCCAAAGTCAATTGCTTCAAAAAACCCGCAACAAAACATGATGACATGCACATTGGATATCTCTAGCATTATTTCTAAATAGAGTGGTCAAGTCTCAGCTTGACGTATGTCTTCTTTGGCTATGGCGAACAGTCAAAATCTATATGGACCTTTTGACCTGTGCAAACGGTGCACTACTGAACAACATCCAGCAGGCCACCAGTATTGCCTGGCTCCTTCATTGTTGCGAGACTGCTTATCTACAGTATCTCCTGCCAGATCCGGAATCAGGACGCTCAAATACCTCGACCGGCAAGCTGATTTCCTCAGATGAGATATCCTTTTCCGTCTTGCGATAGCCTGGAGAATGTTCTCGACCTCTGGCTAAGATGAGCGAGACGATACGCGTCGCCCGCACCTCTGATCATGCCACCAGCGTGTCCAATTTGGTTCTTCCGGCTAAACAGCGAAATACGCTGCTTAGGAGGCATGTCTCTCAGCCGCCGCAACTGTTCAGCCACCATGAAGTAACTGGCAAGGTGACATTTCTCTAATTACAGTGTCGAACCATACCTCCGGATACCATTTGTAAGTACTGTAGGTAATATAGCATACGCCCACCTGCTGCTATCTGACTCCCGTTACTTCCACGATATCGATCTGGATCCGTCGGTGAAGGACTGCCGCCGCAGGGTGTCAGCTACGTCTGTATTCCATTGTCCAGTACATAGGACGATTGTAGTGACCTTAGGTACTGTATACGCATCTGGAGAGTCCATAGACCACAAGAGTTTGAGTCATTTGGGTCACATTTGAAGCTGAAAGAAGCATTCATGTTGTCTTCCAATAGTCCGTCCATTATACAGTTCCGACAGATCTAATAAAATATATTTTCAATCACAGAATTCTTGGATCAACTTTTCGAAAACTCTGCTCATCCTTTGGAGACTGTCGACCTCCACCCATTCCTCCTTGCTGTGTAGTCCGGCTCCTGATAGGCCATATACGATTGCAGGGACTCCCACCTCACTTAATAGAGCCGCGTCGCACCAGAAGGGTACGCTGTCGACTTCAGGACAGGCCCCGAGTACCTCAGTGGCACATGCTATAGTCTTTTGGACTAGAGGGTGGTCCGCTGAGAGCTTCTGCGTCGGACGCGACACGGTGAGGCGCGGCGGAGCATATCGGAAGCGAGGTTTCTCTTTTGCAATATTCCTTAGCAGAGCATTCATGTCCTGAAGAATAGACTCGTTGGATTGGGCAGGTATTGTACGGAACTCGATGGTGATGGTGCAGCGCTCCGGATACGAGGAAGGCTCCTGACCTCTCTTGATCATTCCACAATGTAGAGAGGCTTGTCCCAGCGTATCGTCGATGGGCAATCGCTTCTGATACTGCTCCAGAGATTGCAGGAACCAACCCGCATGAAGAATCGCGTCTTCTCCCGCTTGAGGATCCGAGCCGTGCGCGGCAACACCCAGAATGTCCACTTCCACCCAGACGAACCCTTTATGAGCAATTGCAATCGCCCCCATGGTGGGCTCAGGGACCACTGCTGCATCTGCACGCCATCCTGCGGCAATAACATCGCGAGTTCCCTGGGAAGCATCTTCCTCATCGGATACAGCTGCCACAATGACATCCCCACGAAGAGTGCGACTACTGGCTTTGATCGCTGCGAGAGCTGCCAGAGCAGCAGCCAGTCCACCCTTCATGTCCAGACTACCTCGTCCGAAAATCACTGGCTTGCCCTGCCTTTTGCCCAATTGGCCAGACAACGGATCGTGCTCGTAGCTAGTCAAACTGACAGTGTCAATGTGACCGTTGAACATCAACGACTGACCGCCGCCACTCCCCCGAAATACCCCGACGATGGATGGCCGATCGGCAACCGGCTCGACGCGATGGTAGTCTATCCCACGATGAGCGAACCAAGCAGCGAGATAGTGGGCGATCTCGGTCTCCCCCCCACCATCAGCCACCGAGAGTGTAGGGTTGGATGAGTCGATTTGTGTCAGGGCTTGCGTCAAACCCACAACGTCCTCGACTGCCACATCACGGGGAACGGAGTATGGACGGGCACCTTCGGTGCAGAGCAGTACCACCACAGCGTCCCTATACAGTAGTGATGCGGCCTGGCCTGATGCTTTCAACCGCTGGATGGCAGCCAAGGATGCTCCGCCACAAGGACCAGCGCGTACGTTATGAGATGTCAGATACTCAACTGCGCAGTGACTTTCATACGAAGAAACCGTGACTGCAGCATCAATTACTCGCTGCAGATCGGGCCACGCGGTCGCTGACACCGTGCCACAATTCATTCCATTCATGATCGTTTCTGAAGACTTGACTGTGACCATTTTGCCGGCCTGGAGGCTGGAGATCAGACACGGTCCGCTGTCCGGCTCAACAGCCACAACAGCTCCCGGGTTGGTCCGAGACTTGCAGTGCCTGACTACGGCATGCGCCAGGCTTCCGACTCCCACAGGGGTAACAGTCAAAGTGCTTTGCAGACCAAGTTGGCTTAGCTGTTCATCGATCTCCGTCATCATTGTCGAGTAACCCTCCACAATCCATGCTGGGACCTCTTCGTATCCATCGAACGCGGTGTCTTGGACCAGTAGTCCACCGTCGTTCCGCGATGCGACCCATGCCTCTTGGATTGCTCGATCGTAGTCGCCATCGGTGATGACCACCTCTGCGCCCTCGGATGCAATCCGGTTACGCGTCCCCTCATCCATGGATGCGGGGACGAAGATTCGCGCGGCTACTCCCAGATGTCTTGCCATAAAGGCGACCGCTCGTCCATGGTTTCCTTCGGTAGCTGCAAAAACAGTGATTGGGCTTTCCTTGAGCCGCCGCTTCACATCTTCAAGAGCGACAGTCGGTGGTAGTCCCAGATGTGACACCACAGCGCGATAACAACCCCATGATGCGCCCAAAACCTTAAAGGAAGGTAGTCCGAAGCGGTTGCTCTCGTCTTTGACGAAAACTGCCTTGACTCCTAAATTGGCTGCAATTTCAGGGAGAGAGACTAATGGCGTTAGACGGTAATCAGGGAGAGAGTGATGGAAATGCTTGAGGCCTTGGATGGTTGAGAAATCACAACGCTCGTCCGCCGCCGAAGGATTAAAGAACATTGGGCGACGAGACATCTTGCCAGAAGGACAACGTCGTTGCAGTAATTAGGCAGGATATGCATAGGCCTATAATTAGTGCCGTGTAAGTCTATATAAGTTGATTATTTTGGGCTGTCTTATCGGTGGGTCTCTGTGCCTTCTCACAACAGAGCGCGCCTTCTACGAACATTCTTGGGAGTGGGGAATATGGGCTCAGAAGGAAGAAAGGCAAACTAAGATAAAAAGGCCGGATGAAATGTTCTCTGGCGCACTCACATTTGCCGGCCATTCTCAATGTTCTGGATATGAACCCTTCTGGTCATGTTGCATGAGAATCACTACGGGCTATGATAGGCAACGTACCCTTACACCATTCAGTACAGTACTTCAGGCTCTACATTTGGGAGTTTATTATAAAACATGAAAGTCTACTCCTCTGCTAACTGTCTTCAATCCACTCAATTCATCATTTCAAGTTTTGCACCTTAGTCTGGTCGTAGTGAACCACCGCCTCCAGCAGCGTTTGAGCACCCAATGCACTATCAGAGTTAGCATCCAACTATGGCAAACATGGACAACCACTTACCAGTGCTCGGGACTACAGTACTCCGTCGGATGGTGGCTGACGCCATCGCGACAGGGAACAAAAATCATAGCACTCGGACAGTGATGGCTCGTGTACACGCTATCATGGCCAGCGCCGCTGGATATATTCATCCACTGGTCGGGACCAACGAGGTGCTTGGCCGCTGCCTGGATGGACTCGAGGCACCCTTGATCAAACTTCACAGCCGGGGAATCCGTGTCCAACGTCCAGTTGAAGGTGACTCCTTTTCCGTCCTGAGCGGCAATGGCAGAGAAGGCCTGCAGACATTCTTCTTGCACTGCATGCACCACGCTATCCTGCGGGTGTCGAATATCAAGCGTGAAGGAAACCTCGGATGCAACCGTATTGGTGGATGCGTTAGAAGGAATCCTGAAGATCCCAGTCGACGCAAGAGCATTGTGTTTTTGAGCGATGTCATTCGACGCGGCAATCATTCGCGAGGCTGCAAGTAGGGGATCTTGACGGGCACTCAAGGGCGTCGTGCCTGTGTGTGCATCGCGTCCCTTGACTGTAAAAGTAAGCCACCTGTATCCTTGCGCACCCTGAACGACGCCGATGGAGCGTCCTGTCTCTTGTAGAACGGGGCCCTGTTCGATATGGAGCTCAAAATGCGCCGCGAGGGGAGAAGCAGTGTGTGAGCACTCGATTTGGCCGAGAAAACCGTGTCTCTCAAGCTCTGATTTTAGTGTGACACTCGAGTCATGTATATCACGCAGATCCCAGGCTTTCTCGATCGGAATAGCTCCAGCCCAGACCCCAGAGGAGCACATTGACTTGGGGAATCGAGCTCCTTCTTCACTGGGAGTCAGTTAGAAGAAGTACGAGGAGAGAATTGGAAACAGGGTCGCACTTTGTCCAATTGACAATCCCAACGTCGTAGTTGGTTTGGAATCCGTTCTCCTTCATTGTTCGTAGCACTTCCAGCGCTGCCATCACCCCTAGAATGCCGTCGTACCGACCGCCCCGTGGTTGGGTATCAAGATGGCTTCCCATGGCGATCATGGGAGCAGATGTCTGCAACTTGCCTTTTTGGCGTGCAAACATGTTCCCCATCTGATCTATCGACAGCGAACATCCGAGTTTTTCGACTTCTGCGGCGAACCATCGCCGCACACGGGCATCGTTGTCATCCAGCGTGAGACGAGCCATTCCAGTGTCCGTCGGGTTCCTACTTGTGATGAGTTATACTATTCCAGTATAAATTCCGACAGTCCACGTACTCGCCATGACGATGAGCAGCTCCCCACTGACATGTCTCGTGTAGCGTTTCCCATAATCTGTTGGCGTTGACCTTGAGTCCTGATCCTTGACATGCTGTGGACAGCCGCCGCGATGCGTGTCTTAGGAAATGGTGGCTAGTGCGTCTGAAAGATTGCATGTTGACTATTGGGTGACTTTTAAAAGAAGGAGTTGATTCATTGCCGGTCAGGTCTTCCGTTTCAGTCGTTGCTTTTATTGCCCTACGCCTTCTGTTGACAGCTATGGTGGAACGGTTCTGGAATACAACCAGAAGATCCACTTTTAGTGCAAGCTTTTCAAAGGCCGTCTTCTTGAGTTAGATGGAAGCTGTGTCCTTTTCTTCTTCTCTGTATGTCATGTATGTAGATAGAAGGCGCCGGTGGAGACATATTCAAGGGATGGTAAATTGTGGACACCGATAAATGCGCCTTCCACCAACATCATTACAACGGGTCCGGCGGATCTCACAGACAACACCAGACGCTTAACCTTGCTACATAAAACTCACTACACGACAGGGGATTACCTCAAGAAGTTTCCTTGGTGTCTTGCTCATAACACCGATCGTCAGATCCTTCAACCTCCTTTACCAATCTCCCCATCTCCTCAACTTGCCGCAGGATCTCCGTCTGCTTGAGCCGTTCTTGCCTGTTGAACAGCTCCCGATTTGGCCTGCGATAGCTTCCTCCAATACGGTCCCAAAGCGTGGTGAACTGCACGTAGTTGTAGTTGAAATAGTAGTGGTGGATAGTGTGGCAGGCCGATCCATTGATCACAGGTGAATCGAGAGCGTACTCTCCGTCATCTGCGCATTCATCCCAACATAAGCATTTGACTGCTTCAAAATTATAGTATCTCAGGAGACTTACGAATCATGACCGTCCAGATGGTTACAAAAACAAACAGACCCAAATACGCCGCCTTCTGGAGTGGAAAGAGAAACGGATACATATGGTATGGAAGACTGTGACTCCAGCCGTCCACTGGATGGAAGGCATAGCTCGCATAGGGGGTGGAGATGATCCACTTGTGATGCGTCTTGTGCAGGCGTTTGTAGATGGCCGGATGATGAAGTCCTCGATGAATCCAGTAGATTGAAAAATCGGTAAATGCGATAAAGAGGGGGTACTGTAGGTAGGTGTAGAGGGGGAACGGACTCTCGGTGGGAAAGTCGTACAGCTTGCTGTGTCCACGCACTTCGGCCAGGAAGAGAGGGAGCAGTCAAGGCCGCCATCGCCGGCATTGCACGCAACGCCTGCCCAATCTGATGGCGAAGGAATTTGGGGTGTTGCATCGCACGTTTGTCAAAGACCAGAGCGAAGGAGAGAGTGGCAGTGGTCAAGTAGAGCAGAAGTCCGAAGCCCCTGAGAAGAAATCAATAAGCAGGCTGGTTAGGGCTCCTGGTCTGAATAAAGACAAACAAGACTAACCAGATCGTGAGGAAAAGACTCAAAAACTGCCTGAAAATATTGTCTCGCGACCAGCTGCTCTTGACGACATACTGTCTTGGCCTGAGGCTGACATACCGATTGATATGGCGGTTGTAATCATGCAGCGAGTCCCGGTCCAGAAGTTCAAATGATTTCGCTGGTAGAAGAAACGCATATAGCTTGTCGAAGACAAACATATCCAGAACATCAAGCACGACGTCCATTATACTGGTATTCGCTGATGCCCAGCAGGAAAACTTTTGACACTAAATGAGTGTGACGGAGGAATAGTCCTTGAGATATAACATCTGATCGTCCTTTAGCGCAATCGGTAAGTCTGCTTCCGATGTAGGATGATATCGAGTTATAGAGTGCACTACTGCCTGCACTACAGCATATCAAGGGTCAATGAATGCATCGAGGTCCGTGTATTGGCGCATGCAATTGTCTTGTTCAACGCATCGAATCACGTCTAGTCTACGCAAAAGGGGTGCGGGGCCCGTTGGGAGCTCATTGTCACCAAAAGTATCAGGGCAAAAAGTGTTGATTTGAAATTTCAAGTCAGCTATGTAAGCGATGCATAACTCACTGATTCCCTTGCATCCATACCGAAACAGTAGACAACGTCGTATAAATCATAAAGACAAACCCCAGCACCACCATTGTAAGGTCGCCAAGTTTAGCCAAGGGAGAGTCTGCGACCCCCTTCCAGTGCAAGTACGCCGGATAAATGTAGACCAGAGGAACACAAGCAAACGAGCCGATCAACGAGACAAACTTGTCCAAGTCAGCAGCGCCGACGGCCGACATCACAGCGCAAGCCAGCACGATCAACGATCGGAAAATGTTCTTTTTCCATTTGATCCAAGGGTCTCGCTTGCCCGACACCTGACCAAACAATTTGCCCTCCATGATCCGAACGGCGGGGAACAGCTGTACCGGAACACCGATCAAGATCGCCATGGAGTAGAGGAACTGCATAGCGTTCACAAACTTGTCTCCTTGGGGAAGATTGTTGATGACTTCGATCTTTGTATCGGAACCAAAGGCGCCGTAGGAAAGAGCACCGACGGCCGTGAAGAGCACAGTGATGATGATCATGACAGTGTAGAGGAGCCCGCCGAATTTCTCCGGGTGTTTCATGGACGATTGAATGGGGAGGATCAGACCGATTCCTTCGAAAGTGAAGATGCAGGAACCGATGGTCAAGGTAAATGACTTGGGATTGAACAGTTCAACTGACGATGCCAACCCATGTCGGGACGCAATAGTGGCAATATCGTAGTAATAGATGTACGCAAGACCCATGAGGATGAAAATATCCGCGAGGAGCGCCGCTGGTCCCAGTTTGGAGATGTTTCGGATGAATGCCAGCGGCACAAGAACAGCCAATTGGAGTGCGATGAGGATGTTGGTGGACAGAACGTTTTCGCTATTTTCAGCTAGAGCTGACAAGACCGCCCGAAAGTTGTCCGCAGTGAAGATGATACCTGTGCAGACAAAGCCAAGCTGGGAAATGGCGATGGATCCCAGAATGAGCGATCGGAATCGAGGCCCTGCTATACGCTCACCAATATCACCATAACCGCCCCCATGCCCTTTCCGACACTCCAGCAGAAGATGGAAGCAGAGACTTGTGACCGCCGCGACCGTGACCAGAGCGACCGATGAGAAGAGAATGCCACCGTTGCGAAAGGCCTTTGGCAAGAAGATGATTCCCGTCCCGATGAACGCTTTCAGTAGGGTGAAAAATGTCTTGACCCGAGACGCGTCCCCAGGGCGAGGTGCTCGAGTTGTTCTCCGCTGGCCCAGCAGAGGCCTTCGCTCGGGCTCATGCTCAAGATCTTCCGTTGCAATCGCAGACTCATCCTCTGTCTCCGCTAGATCCTCCCCAGCGAAACTACCATATAGATCGAGAAAATCCAGGAACGAGCGAGCAACGAATGCATCGCTAGCCCAGCCATTTTTCTGTTGTACAAAGTGCCGACGAAAGCTGCCAGGTTCCATGGCAGCCACGCCTTCTTCTATCGCATCATCGGGAGCTCGGGCAGGATAGGAGAAGCTGGCGGCTCGTCTTTCTTGCAGAGCTTGTTTGGCCTTGGCCTCGAGCCGGTAGAGATCGCGATGGACGTCGCCACCCAGAAGCTTCAGCGACGACTGTTGTTCGGGAGAATCTGAACTGGAGGATGCTTCAGCTGCAGCGCGGGCCTGAAGGGGCGATTCTTCATGAAGCGAGCCGGTGAACTGGGGATGAAGATGTTGTGATAGAATCTCGGCCTCTCGCTGGTCATCTCGGACGTGGGGCAACGACTGGGATGGGTCTGCCATTCTGAGCGGAAAGAGGATGAAATACCTGTCAAATTAAGATCAGGTGTGATGGAGGAGGAATTAAGAAATATCCTGGATTTCGAGGGACAAGAGAAAGAGCCTCATTGTGCAGAATTGATGGGGAAAAGGAGATGCAACGTGCCAAAGTGAAGTCATTCCATTCGACACTGGGCAGCAACTTGTTGGATCTTGTTATGCCTTGTTTTTGAGGCGGAGGAGAGAGAGACAGAGAGAGGGAGGAATGGAGAAAAGATCCACGGGGATCTCGATTGTTCTGCGCCACCCCTGCTGACTCAGCTGCATAGCACAAGTTGCACAATCTGAGCATAAATGCGGGGAACGAGAGAGACATTGTCCCGAATAGGCAATCCGACGGAAACCGATGAATGGTGAGGTCATCGGTCCGATGATGGTCCTTTGCAAAGGTGTCCATATACCAGAGGTATTCAGACTAGTCATTGTACCGCTCTTCATCTGTACATTTTCATGAGTATATGATTGTCTTACGGACCATGTCTGAAACTGGCAAGCTACAAGACACTTCGCAATCTTCAAGCCGGCGTCGGTCCCAGTCCCTCGCCGATCAGGAAACGCACCAGGAGGGAGATGGGCCTGCCAAACGGGAAATATTAGGGGATCAGAAGTGTGTTTACCCTGTATGCTTGCAAGTGTAGCAGTGGCCGTGTCTAACTGCCCATCAGCACCAGCAACCCGGAGCTCTCCGACTTTCTGCTACGAGCCTCTTCGATAAATGGCCTCGATTCTACTCGCTATATTGGTGGAAAGAATCGAAAAGGCTCCTAAACCAGTCACTGCTGAGATACCCATTCAGACATTCATTGAATAATGACAAGTGACTGCGTTCGTTGCTCTGTATCACACATATTGGGATCTTCTTGTGGCGTGTCTCAACAGATATATAATCAAATTGAACTAGTGGCGCAAGGGGACAAATATGAACATAAACATATATCTTATCAACATATTTCTCCATAGACCTGGCACGTTAATCCTTACAACGGCCATACTTCCTTGCAATAAGACTCGGGATTGCTCGCAAGCTTGGCCACTTCATCCTTCGTGGCTTGATCGAGATCTCCGAATCCAGCTTGACCCTGCAGCCAGCTGGCATAGTCTTGGAGTCGGTTCCGAGCATTGCGAAATCCGCCCCTGTACTTCTCCTCGAAGAACTTGGCGTGGGCCGACTTGAGGGTCTCATTCTTGAGGGGACTTGGAAGGTAGATGTTGACATCCTGCTGCATCTTGTCTCTGCTAAACGGTCAACAAGGAGCTAACAAAGAAGGAGATTGAGAGAAGACTGACAAAAGACTGTCTATGGCTGCGACGGTGGCCTTCATGCGAGTCCGAATCTCCCCATAATTCATATACTGACAGATGGTGACGATGCGTCCGAGAGAGCACACTCGCTGGTTGGTATTCTTCTCAGAAGTCTTGAATTTGGCATCGATATCATTACCAGCGAACATCTGGCCCAGGAGTCAGTCATTACCGCATTTGCGGTCGACATCCATAAAACTCACAGAATATTTCATGCTATTTTGTCTGTTGGGGAAGATCGCCATGAGCGTAGACGCCGTATGGACGGTGCCCAGATTTTGCATCAACGCCTCCGAGTAGTTGAACGCGACAGTAGGATTGGGCGTGCTGATATCGCGTTGGATGCCAAAACTGTTCATCGCTCCCTTGCATTTGGTGTTGTCCTGGACCGTGGGATCCTCGATCGTCGCTGGATAATAATTCTTCACTAAATAGTCGATAAAGTCACGGACCCAGTTGCCCTCATAGATATGTTCCGCTACATTCGTCAGTCTTTCTCTGTGCATCAGAACAGGGCACTTACAGGCCCATCCTTGTCTTGTCACGCCAGCCCGGTCATCCTTGGGAACCTCCTTGATATTCCAGGTGCTAGCAGGGCATTGGTTCTGCGGGCTATTACTGCACGTCATTCCCGGCTGGATGATAGGGACGGCAAGATTGTTCCTCAGCCGCGAGGGGCGCTGATACTTTTGCACCCAGATCTGTCTCGTGCGGCCTTCGTCGCATGCGACGTAATACGGATCCCGACCCTGGTAAAAGGCGCTGTCTGCATCCCGTCTGGAGAGGGCGACTGAGCGTGATGTATCTCTCCGCAGGACGCCCGGAGCAACCCCATCGTCGGGATCCAGAGGGTCTGACTGAGGAATGCAGGTTCCGGGAGACTCTTCTCCGGCGGCCAGACAGAGCTCGGGGAACGTGTACAGCGTCGGTGTCTCGTACAGAGTGACGTCCAGGAACACGTCCCGTTCCCCCTTCACCTCGGTGTAGCCCTGCAGCCCCAGACTGGCACCCAGCGTGGCATCCAGCTTGACTCCATAGGGTTTGTTGGGGTCATTGGCGCAGAAGCCGGCTACATCTGATGATAGAGTCAGATTTGAAGAGACCTTGTTTAGATAGAAGCTTACTGTATCCCGCGGCCGCAGTCACTGTAATATCGGGGACTTTGATGCCCACTTCGACGTTCAGCCCATTGTCTGCAACATTCGTTAGTCGCACATGCTTTAATTCAATAAGAAAGGAGGGTGCTGGATACCAAAGACTTCAATGCTGGCTGCCACCGCAACTTCCGTGTAGAGTTTTGCTCTCGCATGGATTTGTGCCTCGATCTCGAGAGGCTTGGTTTGGATTTCTGGAATCCATCCCGAGATAGTCACCGGGTTCTTACTGGCCAAATCTACCTTGGCCACCGAGCTGTCGGGCACCCTGGCTGAGATTCCTGTAGTGACAGATGCCTCGCCTCCAATGTATTCAATACTGTAACCTGCATTGATCTTGACATTGGGTCCGAATGTCAACACCCCCGGAACCCGCCAGCCACTGGGTAATGGCAGCTCCACCAGCGTCCACTCCTTACCTGGAGCGGGGAGGCCATCAAAATCAACCTCACCTTTGAACTCCAAGCTCAGGTCCAGATTCGCCGCAATATTACGGGGTGTAGCGGACAGTTCGAACTTCTCCAAGCCGCCAAACAGACTCGCTTCGACATGGCCGGCGAACGCGAGAGTGCCTGTGGTGCCGCAGTTGACACAGTTGATGGCGAGACTGGCATCCACGAACGGGGTGTTCATGGTCCAGTTGACAATCTCAGTGGGAAAAGAGGAGCTGAGATCCAGGGTAAAGGCCTTGTTCAAGCTGACATCTAGGAACCGCTTGTCCTTGGTGCCCCGATGGCCGAGGACGATATCTCCAAAATCAAGAACAGTCGTGTTGGATACCTTCTGCCAAGTACTCTTGGTCGCTGCCAGTTTGGCCGTCGAGGCCTTGTCGTCAAAGACAGCGTTGCTGACCACCCAGGGGTCTCGCTCGCGGGGAGTACCACATCCCTCCCAGCTGGAGACCATTACGAAACTGCGCATGTCGTTGTAATTTACCCACTGCCATGCCAACTTGGCAGCAAGATAGAAGAGCGGGTTTTTGAACTTGAGGGTCATCCCATCGGTGCAGCTGACCGAGTCCAAGGCAAAGGAAATCTTGTCCATGTCCAGGATGCGTTCATCCTGTCTGGACCAAACAACCATGCTCACTGCAGTGACTTTGGTGTTTGTTTCTGTGAAGGTCAGTTAGCAGTTTGGAAAGCTGATTTGATAAATACCATTGCCAGAAGTCCACATGAATTGTTCATGGTCCTGTAGTGCCACACTTCCAGCGGGATCATCTCTCTTGTGCAAAGCATCCTTGTCCCAAGCATGTCGAGGAAGAGGCTGCAGGTCAATCAGCTTGTTTTCAACAGCAGTGGCAGCGCTCAAGAGCCATAATAGGGCAAATGGGACAAGGAATCGCCTCATTTCTGCTGGAATAGGCAATCGAAATTCGGGTTGAGTTGCTGTTGGTCTTGTGTTTTTAGACTGAGGAGCAGGAGGCTTTATATACAACTATCGAACCCATCCTCCACGCTTGAGTACATGCGAGGGATCTGTTACAATGATACTCAAGGCTGGCATTATGCTTCTTGAGGAATTTACTCCGGTCTACATCCAGAGTCTGAGGCCATGCATATACGAACTCTGCCGCACCGAGTCGTCAAGAAATTGTATCTGCCAGCCAATGCCGGTCATCGTCGCGAGATGCCCAGCATGGCTTTTTTCACCAATCTCTTCCGGGAGGCCAATTCACAATGTATAGAGGCCTCGCTTGTAGTTCACAAACCGCAGAGAGCACAGTATCACATACTCGGACTCCCTGGGCACGGCAGAATACGAGTGCTTACAGTAAGCTTGGGGCACCGTAGCATTGCTGCAATTCAGCGCAATGCTCTGTATGTCTTGGCCCTCGTATATCTGAATCCGCCCTCAGGGTATGATTTGTGGGTGATGGATGGCACAGACGACTGGATGTGATGGACAGGGGTACGAAGGCTAATGTTGTTGAAGAGATGCGACCAACCCCGCATTCTGCTATCGTCCCTGCGGGATACACAAGCCAATGCCGATCTGKATATCGAGTTTACTGGTCAATGTGAATCAGCCAATGCAACCCTGTCTTTAACTTAACTGGTCGTGATGATCCCAAAAAGATGATGACCAAACCAGGAGTAGCATCGCAAGCGGATAAATGCACCGACCGCCACACGGAAAAACTTTAATGGCCTCCTATTTCGGGCAGCTTTCCATGCTTATTACTCTTTCGACCAAACGATGCTATACTTGTCTAGTTTAGTTAGGGTACGGTCAAATGGATTTGGACAGCCTCATTTTCAATATAGGTGTCTTTATCGCCGGTGTCTATGTCCTTGATTATGGCGCCGACACGTTCATTGACCACACCGTCATCGTCGGCCGTTCCTTGGGGGTTTCGCAGACGATTATTGCCTTGCTGACGGCAGGAGCGGAGTATGAAGAGGCAAGTCAACTTTGTATTTCTAATCTTGTTATGTAAACTGACCGTTCAATTAGCTCGCCGTGGTGGTTGCTGCCATTCTGCAACATCGCACTCCCCTGGCCTTGGGCAACCTCATGGGCTCGAGCATCTCCAACGTCCTGGGCGCGTTTTCACTCGGTCTATTGTTCCATCCGACTCAAATTGACTTTGACCGGAGCGCCAAAATATATGCTGCAGTGCTTTTCGCAGTTACGACGCTGTTCGTGGTGCTGGCCTTCTTCAACCAGCTGAACGAAATCGTCGGGGGCTTTCTGATTGCGTTGTTTGGCATCTATGTTATGTCAATCCTCTATGCCATCTACAAAGGAGTCGCAACGGCACCCGAGCTCTCGGACAGTGACAGTGACAGTGACGCAGGGTCGACCGATCATGTCGTGGATTCTGTGACTGAAGCCACCCCTTTGATTGAGTCTCAGTCAGATCAAATCCCGGAACGGTCGACTACGAGCCTTCTATACCACGTCACCAAGCTATCCTTGGGCCTCATCGCGCTATCACTGGCTGGGTATCTTCTGTCGCATAGTGCCGTGAGCATCGCCGATTCCTTGCACCTCTCCGGAACTGTCTTTGGTCTGACCATTGTGTCGTTCGCCACCACCTTGCCTGAGAAGCTGATTGCAGTCGTCAGCGGGTCTCGCGGACATGTCAACATCATGGCGGCCACTACTGCAGGAAGCAATATCTTCCTCCTGACTCTCTGTGCCGGCGTGGTGGCGCTTGCTGGTAATACAAGGAATCAATCAGACACGTTTGTCCTGTTCGATCTGATCTCGGTGTGGGTGTCATCCTTGGGCTTCTTCCTCGTGGTTATCCTTGGCCCCGGGAGGATAGCCGGTGTGATATTCCTTGCTGCGTATCTGGCATTTTTAGCGCTTGAGTTTACTGTGTACAGAAGATGAGTATTACTTATATATCAAAATAAATTCCGGCTGTCCAAGGAGACAAAGGTAGGCCCGTTGAACGGAATACCTTCCGCATTCATAGTTGCGTCTCTTGTTCTTTTCTCAATTACGGTCGTGTTTAGACTCTCGTCGTTGAAACATACTACCTGAATAGACTAGAAACATGACAAACCCTGGACCGATGAATACAGATTGCAAAGAATGATGCTATTGTAGTATGGCCACTTACTATAAGCGAGGATCCTTTCACGGTAAGCTCGATATAGATTATACGATGCTGTCCGAGGCATGTCATCTTCTCCGCTCTGAGATACGAATGCCCCTGTTGTTTGCGCTTTTGCACTCACCGTTGAAGGAACTACACGCGCGAATTCATATGCGCACATCGCGATGAGCTGCACAAAACGAGTCTTTCCACTGCGGCAGCCCAAAGGGCATCGTCCGCCCGTTCCGAGATGGATGGCAAAGTTCCCAGCTGATATGGACTGTGTCTTCACCGCATATATTGGGGTGCAACGACATGAGGCCCAAACCGATGAGGGATTACCGACCGAGAGCGTTAACGCGGCGGTCGAGAGCATACAGCGATGGATGGTCGAGGATGCATCCAGCGCACCTGCGTCGATCGAACAATTTCAGGTTCTTGACGGCGACGATGTGCCCGATTCCACAGTTTGGGTGTGCTACTGGAATGATGCGAGCAAGTATGAGGACAGTATACGGCGCTTGAGCCTTGTGAACATCCACCAGCAGTTGAACCCTTCCCATAGACAGTCTGTTGGCCTGTGGTGTGAGCGATTCACCAGCCATATGTCGCGAGTCGAAACCAACTATTCAGGCCTCGACTATCTGCCGGGACTGGCGCGCTTGCCCGGAGTGTCGACTGTGGAACATACGTTGACTGCATATTGGGGGGCTGCCCGCGATCGCATCCCAGCCTCGGCCACAGATCGGTTCGCCGAGAACGAAGAACCTGAAAAGACACAGGTGGCAGCAGAAACCACCTCGCAGCGCGAGACACAAAATTATCACGTAGTAGGCACGAATCCGGACAACCTCATCCACATCCGCTCGGGCCAATTCTGGGCTAACTGCCCAGAAAACGAAGCCAAAGCATACGAGGAGACGCTGGAGCCTACTCTGCGATCTGGATTGGCGTATCTATGGGATAATCCTCAGAAGCGTGGCGCTATGGGGCTACGGTATCTCTACAATCGTCCACTCGCTTCTCGGGCACTGGAGAAGACGCGTGAAACCAAAGAGTCTTGCGTGGCTGGATTCTTTCGTAACCTTGCAGACCTCGAACACTGGGCCAAGTCGCATCCCTCCCACTTGGCCATCTATACTGGAGCCATAAAGCATGCAAAGAAGTTTGGAGACCAGCGCAAGCTCCGCACCTGGCACGAGGTTTCAGTGCTGAAACGTGGTGAGGCACATTTCGAGTACGTCAACTGCATGGGCAGAACATGTGTTATACAGGGATGTCGATGAAAGTTTATAGCTTCTAAAGTTGTGAATTTAGTCAACGCCATATCAGCCGTAGAGCGATCTGGTAGAACGTCCATCTGCAAGTACCTCTACGGAACAATATTTTGGGTGTGCTTAAGGTCACAATATGCGACAGGTAGAGTCTCCGCAACGAAGACTGAAACATGTCAAGTGGCATTTCATCCAGGTCGCAAATCCTGCCGTCCTCGATGCAGCAGGGGTCTTCCTGGAAGCAAATCCTTTAGAGCTCTCCTCCTCCGTTTATTCGATAGTGAATTACTATTTGCTGTTGAGGTTGTTCTTTCTGCTCCAAACCACCTGGCCTCATGCATCTGACAGGCCTCCGTGGTCTTCATACGCTTTTGCACATGCGCAACCCCGCTTCATCAGATCGAGGACTAAATGGACGAGCAGAACCGGCATTTCTCGAAATATAATTGGCAGACCCCAGAATGTCGTATTTGGCCTTTTTCGAGTGCTGATCGCATTTCTTGTGTAGTATCAGATGCGCTGTATATATATCCCCGGACCCCCTTCCTCGGTCTGGCAACCTCTTGCATGCCCTATACAATATACAACAACATTGTGACATTGACTTACTACCGATTCAGGAAAATTTTCTGATACGAAGTCATGGCTCGGGTCCGGGACGAAACTGCTCAGGTCACAGAGGCAGCGAAGTCGTACGAATCTCTACACATCTACGACACAATTGCCGAACCCACAGACCTGAAGACGTTGCTGACGGAAGATATCTATCTTCTAGCAGGCCAGTTCGCTATCCTTTGTCAGTTTGCCCATCCTGCCCTGGCCAAAGGTAGCTACGACCATTCCAGCTTCGCCACTCGCATCCCCAGCCGTCTCCGGAATACCGCCCGTTTCATCAATGCGGCCGTCTTTGGCACTCGGCAGGAGAAGGCCGCTATCTTCTCCGTCATCCATCGCTATCATGCCCGAGTCAAGGCAGAAGACTACGATGCAAATGACCCGGAGCTGCACAAGTGGACCGCTGCTACCCTGTTCGTCGCCATCGTAGCCGTCCACGATACCTTCTTTGGAGAGCTGCCCCGAGACAAGCTGGAAGCACTCTACCAACAATCTGCGGTATTTGGCACCTCCCTGCGGATGCCTCCCGAGATGTGGCCAGCCACGCTTGACAAATTCTGGGAGTACTGGAACCACAATATCGAGACATTGGAGGTCACCGATATGGCACGGGAACTGAGTCGCGATCTCCTCTATCCGGTCCATCTCCCTCTGTGGATGAGAGTCATGGCCCCATTATCGCGGCTTTTGACTGTGCATTTCCTCCCGGAAAGACTGGCCAAGGAGTACGATCTGCAACCGACTGTATTGAGCCGGATCCAGTTTCAGGCCACTGTTCGTGCGATGCGCATTGCATACCCCAGCATACCGCAACACCTGCGACAGACACTACATAGGCAATACATGGAAGATCTTGGGAAGGCAGTGGACAGGATCAAGCAGACTGGACACTGGGCGGGAGTATAGCAAGTATGGGATTGTAGATTCAAGGAGTATTATTGAATGATACTTTCCCGAGATATCGGATAGGCTATAGTAAGAGGACGCAATTCCATTATTCTCTCGATGATAGACCTATCTCCCGTTATACCGCCTGCATTGAATCGGTTTTCATAGAACTCCTAGTGCAGTAACCTTTATATCATAGAACGGAGACACAGAAGTATATTCAGTCCATTTCCGTCCAGGGTTATGTTTATGACCATCCTCAACAAGCCATCAACAAATCCAGACTCAATAGCCGTTTCCAAGCTGTACATCATCGCCGCCACCATACCACAGACGACCACTGCGAATGACCAAGCCCTTTTCCTGGCCAACCAGCCACTCTCCGCCAGGCTTGATTGTTCCATTCTCACTAGGCCAATATTCGTCCTGCAGCTTCTGGTTAATTTCGTCAATCTTATCAATCAGTTCTTTGACCTTCGAAAGGTCAACATGTCCCTCTCCAACTGCATCTCCTTGTTTGACGAAGCCGTCCTGAGTGACGAACCGAGCAATGGTGAGATGGGCTGAAGGAACAATGTACCGGGACGCAACCCGGATATCAGCCGCCCGAACCATGTCAAATATATCACGACGAAGATGATGATAACTGTAGGTCTCGTCTTCGATGCTGCATTGCGCATCTGAAGCTTCTCCAGCGGCTGGGACAAAGGTCAGTGCCATGGCTGCAGAATCAAAGCTCACCATGGGCTTTACAAGGCGCGTTCGATGGGCGAACGCATAGTCTGCAATTTCTGACGTGGTTACGCCCTGTGATGACTGCAGAGTATTTACGAGACTGTCAATCTGCTCTTCGGTCAAAGAATGGGCTATTTCCAGTACTGTTGTATGTAGATTCTCGGAGGGCATGCACCACAGGGCTGTCAGAACATGGTGAGCGCCTTGCCTCCTGGTCGCGAGAAGAAACTTACTCGGTGCAACGCCTCTGAGTTCGCTTTGCACGAACTTTATAAGAACACGAATTGGAGAAGGCGGCCGGGCCCAAATGACCAGGCAGTTACGAGGATCAACAAATCCCTCTTCCTTTGCAGGGCCGTCAAGGCGCATTAAAATCTCGTCGAGATTCCAGCCTGCGAAGTCTGGTGCCAGAATCTTCGCAGCTTGCTGTGCATTTCGATTTACTCGGTGATTCTCGTAGCGGGACTGCGACTGAGCCTTATAGAGAGGCTCAACATGGGACTCTCACCTGCAACCTTTTGAATATTACTCACCGCATCATTATTCGTCTCCGTAATCAAAGTCTGGAATGGATTGTCCTGGGATATCGGAAGCGTGGACATTTTATGACAATTTGGAAGATAATGCAGGCATAAGATGCCAATACAATACTGAGAATGAAACCGCTCTACGGAGTATACAAAAGATATTGGCAGAGTAGGATGATTCGAAGTGAGTCGTAATGAAAGGGTGGCTGGGGTCAGACGCGCGGTACAGTCCTGTCTAGCCCACGAGGAAGACGGACGAAATGACCCCTTTGCCAAAGCAGTAAGACATTACGGATATATAATACCATGACAGTCAGACCGCTAAGGGCAGGGTTAGAATCGATAGGGGACAACTTTTATATGCAGGTCACTGATGGTGGAGCTTATAAGAAGCATATTAGGCAAAAATCCCACAAACAGCAAAACCATCTACAACGGGGATTCGCATCGTATGGCCTTGCAGTCTTACTGCTTATAAAACTTATCATCACGATGTGGCCGACGCAATTAGTTATTGACCTGTGGCTTGCCGGATAAGATCTTAAGCAGTCCGGCTCGGCGTATTCGGATCTCATGCCTAATGGAGTAGGACGGCTCAAAGCTCGGAGATATGATCCTCGGGACTGGCAACTGCCGAGCAGAAGTGGAATGATCAGATAATTCTTATCAATCAGTTGTGCCTCTGCCCTGTTGATCCGGATGTGTATCCGATCCTCTAATGCCGATATATAAATGCACATCCCCGGAGTCGGGGTCATCCTCATTCTCTACTTTATACACTAATTCATAAGCTGCAAAGAACATCAGATCAACATGGCAGCACCTCTGAAGAATATCATTGTCGTGGGAGGATCATATGTGGGAAGAGTACGCCCTTTCACCAAGAGACGTAGAATGGATTGCATACTGACAAGTTGTATTAAGGCCACTGCCCAAGAGCTGGCACGAGTCATCCCAGAAACACATCGGGTACTTATACTCCATTGCGGCCTGGATACACATGTTAATTCTCTACAGGTCCTCCTGATTGAACCGCATAGCCATTTTCACCATCTCTTTGCTTTTGTGAGTGTTCTTCTTTCATATCCCGATGTCGCTAACCTGTCCATCTCAGCCACGCTTTGCCATTGTACCCGGTCAAGAACATAAAGCTTTCATCCCGTACACCGGAATCTTCTCCTCTGTTCCCCGTCCGTCCACACATGCAGTGGTCCAAGCGAGAGTACTTTCGGTAAATCCGCGATTTGTGACGCTGAATCGCCAGTGGCAGGATTCCAAACAGATCCCCTACGAGTATCTAGCCATTGCCACTGGAACTCGGCTCGCTCGGCCGGCGGGTATGAAAGATGACGACAAGGTGTCCTCCGTCGAGTACTTGCGAGACCACCAGGCCGATATCAAGCGGGCCAAGTCGATCCTGATTGTCGGTGGAGGCGCTGTCGGGGTACAGATGGCAACCGACCTCAAGGAGTACTATCCCGATAAAGAGGTCACTCTTGTACAGTCTCGGGCACAAGTCATGCCTCTATTCCATGAGCAGTTGCACGAGCTGATCAAAAAGCGATTCGACGAGCTAGGGGTCCGGTATGTTTACGTGATCGTCTTACCCAGCACTGAACTTCGACTGACGAGTCAATTTCTGTAGACTTATTGTCAACGCTCGCGTCAGCGTACCTTCAGAAGGATTCCCTACCGATGGAAAGCCATTTGATGTGCAGCTTACCAACGGCAGCAGGGTTTCGACGGAATTCGTCATTCTGGCAACGGGCCAACGGCCTAATAATGACCTTTTGACCAGTTTGACCCCTTCCAGATCTGGCTCGTTGATCAATCCGGATAACGGGTTTGTCCGGGTTCGGCCTACTTTGCAACTACAAGATGAAAACTTTCCGAATATCTTTGCTGTCGGTGACATTGCCGACACTGGTGCGCAAAAGGCCGCTCGGCCAGGATCCGTGCAGGCCCGCGTGGTCGCCAGGAATATCCAAGCGTTGATTGAAGGACGAAGAGCGGAGGAAGAGTATGCACCGCCGCCTGCAGCCATTCACCTCACCCTTGGCATGGTAAGTCCCATACTCGAAAATTCTCGAAAAATACTCGCGCTGGCTGAAGCTCACTGTCACCAGAAATTGAATGTCATATTCCGCAATCCGAACACTGCAGAAGGACAGACCGAACCCTGGATAAATGAGAAGACCGAGTAAGTTGTATTCATTACTGTTGCGGAATATGACACTGATCGATATGTATAGTGGCCGAGAGGACATGGGAGTAGAAGGCTGGTGGGAGAGGCTGGGAGTTCAGGTTGAGAACCCTCGCTCGTACCATCTGTAGGAGTCAAGCCATATGATGATACCCAATAGACAATCCATTCGAATGCTCTTTGATTGACCTCTATCCCCCGAAGTTGCCATTACCAATAGCTTTTGTCTGACAGACCTACCCTCTACATGTACAGAGAATGTCCTGGTGTGGAGCGGTTAGAAAATGCCTGTTCCAAGTCACCTGGCTGGGCATCCTCGGCCTGCTTGAAGATGGCAAACGGTGGTTCCAAGGTTGGCATTCTCATGACAAGCCGCGACCACTGGGGCGGAATATCACCTTGTCAGCTCTTGTTGCTGGACGTACATGATTGCACATGGTGCCACTTAGGTATCACAAACTCTCTGGCTGTTCTGTGTAGCAGCGGGAGCATGTACCTTCCAAAGTTCAGGTTCGCCAAGGCAACAACTATTACACTCGACCGGGGGAATGGGATGGCACGCAGAGGTAAAGCCCGTAGCGCGAGACGATTCTAAAGTCTCCTTCAAGACAATGAGCTGCGCACTCGGTGTTGATATTGCACCCGTCCAGGCGGCATATTTCTCAGCCATGAGCGAACCGGTCGGAAAGGTAATGAAGGAGATTCATGGTGATCTGCGTGATGCGTCCCTAAGCACAATTGCAATAGAGTTGATGTTAGTCACAAAAACGTCTCCCAGATGATGGATGGGCAACGTGTTACGTATGTGCTGACCAACCTATTCCCCCTCAATGTGGGGTGGCTCTTTCTGACCAACATCCAAGATGCTTCACTTGGAAAACTGAGACGGTTCAACGTGTCGGGCTGGGCATTACGTGTGGAGGATGAGGACTTGGTGGAAAGCGAATTGATCATTGTTGTCCATCCCTTGCTGAGGCTGATGAATCTTACCTTTAAACCATTTGCGCCCGATGTTGAGACGAGACCACGTGATAGCACCAGGGAGGATTGGGTGCCTTATCGCATAGGTATCAACGAGAGCCTCAGGTATCTGACAAAGGATACTGCTGATAACTAACTAATATCCCGGGCTTATCGCTTTTCGCAGATAGCACGAGTCACTGAGATAGTCGATCTACTCCGTACTGCCTATCCATCTCATCTGTTGCTGTAGCGACACTTATCAGTGATTGGACTCCCTTTGCTAGCAATGCCCCACACACGACGGCCATTCCCTTGAGTCCTTGACGCATGACGATCATGATTCCTACTCCTCCAGTATGACCTTGCTCTTGACAATTGCACACCACTGCCGATGTTCAGAATGCTAGCATCACCAATACACCTTTTGGCCACCTCTCTTGCTCTCACAGGCGAAGTTGCCGCTCTTCAGCTCCCTCTCTTCGGTGCCTCGGAACCCCAAATTCCGGTGGCTGGGAAGGAGTTGATCAGCTCCTCTGAACTGCAGAGCCAGATCGATGTTGGCAATCTATTCAAAAGAGCCAAGCACCTGTATAGCATTGCAGAACTTGGGACTGACGAGTATAATCATCCCACTCGGGTGATTGGCAGTGAAGGTTCGTTTGATTTGTTTGGCGTCGCGTATCACAAGGCGACTTACTCACGTGACCACAGGGCATTTGGGGACGCTGGACTACATCTATGCGACTCTGACGGATTTCGACGACTACTACACCATCTCCAACCAGTCCTTCCCTGCATTTAGCGGCAATGTGGTGGAATCACGGTTAGTGCTGGGCCACACCGTGTCGGAGTCTGCTCTTCCCATGGGCTTGACACCACCCACCAAGAACCACGAACCGGTGTACGGACCGCTGGTGCTTGTCTCGCGCCTGGGCTGTGACGCGGCAGACTACCCCCCAGAGCTCAAGGGTGCCATCGCATTCATCAGCCGAGGCAGCTGTCCTTTTGGTACCAAGTCCGCCTTGGCTGGAAAGGCCGGAGCCGTGGCTGCGGTGATCTTCAACAACGAAAAAGGCGGCCTCGGAGGCACTCTGGGCACTCCGTCTCCCGACCATGTGGCTACCTTTGGCATTTCTGACAGCGATGCGGCGCCGTTCCTAGAACGACTCGGACACGGCCAGAAGGTCGATGCGATCGCCTACATGGATGCGACGGTGGAGACCATCACCACCACCAACATCATTGCACAGACGAAAGAAGGAGATGCCGACAATTGCGTGATGGCCGGTGCACACAGTGACAGTGTAATGGAAGGCCCTGGCATCAACGATGACGGATCGGGCTCCTTGACCTTACTGGAGATCGCTTCTTTGCTGCCTCAATACCGGGTCAATAACTGTGTACGTCTGGCTTGGTGGGCCGGGGAGGAGGAGGGACTGCTCGGGTCGGACTACTATGTCTCGGTGCTCTCAGAGGCTGAGAACCTGAAGATCCGGCTGTTTATGGACTATGACATGCTGGCCTCGCCCAACTTTGCCTACCAGGTCTACAATGCCACCAACGCGGTCAACCCGGTCGGATCGGAACAGCTGCGGGACCTCTACACCGACTTCTATGAGGCTCATGGATTGAACTTCACCTACATCCCGTTTGATGGACGAAGCGACTATGATGCATTCATCCGGAATGGCATCCCCGGCGGCGGAATCGCTACTGGAGCTGAGGTGATCAAGACAGAGGAAGAGCAGAAGATGTTCGGAGGTGTCGCTGGAGATGCCTTTGATCCCTGCTACCACCAGCTCTGTGACGACGTAAGCAATGTCAACCTCACTGCCTGGGATGTGAATACCAAGGTAAGAGTTGTTTGTCTCTACGGTCGAGAACGATTACTGACATGTAGACAGCTGGTCGCACACTCGATTGCCACGTACGCTCGGTCATTCGATGGCTTTCCGAAGAGGGTCGGAGTAAAATCTGTGACGAAGGATGAAGGGCAGAGAAAGTATCATGGACACGCTCTGCTGTACTAGCTGTAGATCTGAGTCGATTCATGTATTGTATAGATCTAGATATTCTGGCGCAGATTTGCCTGTAATGACTCCTCAATCAATTTTTAGCTCAAATGTAGTCTCCCAGCTACTTGACGTCATCTGATCCATAAAATCAATCTATTACCTAAAAGCCCAGTAAGGGGGAAAGTCATGGTGAGGCATTTCTTGGTGCCAAGGACAATCCTCCTGACTCTTAAATTTTCGACAAAGCACGCAACTGGTCTAGAACTGAACGGGACTTTAGCTAAAGCTCATTAACACTGTCAGATGATGAGTGCAGGCCAATATTTTACCTAACAAACTACGAGGAGAGCCTATCAGCACCAATTCCGGTATGACCGCCTCCTGGCTGCCGTCATTCCCGGTGGAGCGCTGGATATCCTCGGCGCCCCCATTTTAGCGCTTTGTGGGGAGAGCAGGAATAGCAGCAAGCCATCTGCGGGATCCTTTACCCCAGAATTATTTTGTGCTTGAATGATAGTAAGGAGTAGTATGATTCTAATCAAAAATCTAGAGATGAACAGTGATGACTTGTTTTATATACCCTGGCTTTCTTCCACTATTCTCTGGTACAGCTACAGCTCCGATCGCATAACATGATCAATCAAGTTGTGTCATCCCGCTTCACTCGTATCCTCTCGTGCACCTCTACACTGTCATGGCGTTAGAAACTCTTCCAGCAGAGCTCAGGATTCACATCCTGAAGTCTATGCCAGATGTTGAAACCCTCCACGATCTTATCCGAGTTTCCGCAGCATACCGGATCACCTACCGTTTCGCCCAAAGAAGCATTCTCGATCGCCTGGTACGAGAACACTATGGCGCAGTTGGGCTGGAGGAACCTATTATGGCCCTTCAATCTGCCGGTCTCCATGCCGAGGAATCAGCCAACAAACAGAGAATCATCGAGGTTCTCGATCGCCAGCGCATCTCCGATTCAGTCCCCAGCAAGCTGAACCCCTCCGATAGTATCGACCTTCTTCACATTCATCAAACGTTCCAGACGCTATTAGACTCCCTTTGCTCGCATGCGAGACGTTCGAGCCAAGTCGAACCCCTTCCACGGCAGCAAACCGCTCCCTTGCGACTCTCACCAACGGAAAAGGCACGGATATTGCGAGCGCTGTGTCGGTTACAAACGTACTGCAACGTCTTTGGTGCGCGAGAGTGGACAGAGCCGGCCAATGACCTCTGCAACCCGTCAATTCCCAAACGGACGTCTTCCACCTGGTACAAAAACTTCACTATCCACGAGATGTGGCGGCTTTGTTTCGGCTCGATGGCTCCGTGGGAGGTGGAGGAGTTTGGATCGGTTTGGGTTCTCGTGCGGAACGAATACAAGCGCATGTTCAACGAAATTCAGCAGGAGTTTCCCCGTACAGATAGCCGCTGGAGGTTACTGAGACCAGCTTCATTGCCGGCTGATCCGTGTGAGCTGTACCCCAGTTCTTCCGGTACGTTCTTTCCATTTGACATAGCTACATCTTCAAGGCTGACCGAAAATAGACGATGCAAATGATTATAGCATCTACTTGAACCATCTCGTCCTTTTGGGTCCTACTTTCCTACACAAGGTCCTCTCCCAGAGCACGCGGGAAGATCGCTGGCGATTGTTGGCCTGCAATGCGATATCTTCCAAATCCTCCTTCATGGACACAGTACGGGTCGCCCGGAATCCCTCGCCTCAACTGTGGTCCGTAGAAAGATGTACGAATGATGACACTCTGCAAGGGCTGCGGACGATGCCGGCCATCGACCAGCCTAATCCCGGTTGGAAGCAGCACTGGCACGGTCGGGATGTGGCCGATTGTGAGAGCTTCACTCCCAGATCGACTGCTGGCACGTCCGAAGATACTCAATTACGGACATTCGGGCACTGTGCCGGCTGGGAACGGGGTTACGCACTATGGGACGCTGCGAGCTGACCTGACTCCAGGGACATTTTAATGATTAATGACATTGCATTGGATAAAGAATATGGGAATAGCGTCCTGGGCTGTACTAGCATGATAATCAGCCAACTAATACAAAAGTTGATTCCCTTTGCATAGTAACAAAAATGTCACTGAGTGTGTATAACGGCCTCGGCATTGGTTCAAGCCAGCCATCCTTGGACG